CCGTGCCCCGGGCCGCCCGTTTGGCCCGGCCCATTTGGCCACCTCTAATCCACCTCAAGCTCTTTCTTTGCTTCCTGCGTGCAAATCCTAGGCAATTGACTTCCTATGATCCGAATGCTCTCAACTTTTGTATTCCTTTGTTTTTCATTTCATTCCTCTTTTTCACGCTTTGATTCTTTTCCTATTCCTATACTTTTCCTATCCTATATTTTCTTTCCCTATCCTATGATCCGAACGAGCCCTTAGGCGTTAAAGGAGGAAAGGGTTTAACATTTGAGAGTAACAAGGGATGGCGTGAGTGTGGTTTCATGGTTTGTGGCTGCCCATGTTCTTTTGTTCTGAACTTTGGAAGCAGGTTTCAGAATTAGTCTGATGATGAGATTTTAACCAGCACTTATTGCAGTGCCTCTTTTTTCTGGGGATGGCACAAAAAAGGGAGTAGAGCCTCTTTTTTTTCTTCGTCTTTTTACCGGTAGTATTTTTCTGACAGAAGTGAAATAACCTGGAGTTTCTGCCCCAGTTTTTTACAGCAAGAATACAGGCATCAACTCAAGTTTTATTGTCTCCAAGTCTTCAACATCTGTGCTAGGTAAGTGACAGCGAAGTTTATGCAGTACCTTGACACCTGAGAAGTTGATAGCACCATTGGTTTTACCTGGACTTTTGCTCATTACAGTTAATTAAAAAAACCATTGGGTTTTGCAAGTTTATATGGACAGGATAACGCAAAAACCAGAAAAGGAATAAACCTTGAATCAACTGAAATACATCTAAGATGGAACTGAACTTCAGTTTCATTAGTTACAAGAATTAGTTTGCATATTTGACCTTCCAATAGTACCTTCACTGCACCAGAGACCAGACTCCAGAGTGATCCCCTAGTTTGCAGAATTTCCTTTTGCATACTCCAACAATTTTACACAGCTCTGCACCGACATAACACCAGAGACCCAGAGTGACAGCCTGACACTCATGGACTTAGGAGACTAAACCCAAGCAACTAAGCTAGTGTTCCATTTTTTTATTAAGAACAAGAAGAATATTAAGTTAAGCTAGTACTTCTACTGGTTTTCAAATGTATATGCTGTTAGGGATAAGGTACAGCATGCCATGAAGTTAACACCAGACAGCCGTTTTAGCCATGAAAAGAAGTTAAGAAGCATACAACCATTTTCAAGACAAAAAAAAAAAAGGAGGGATGAAATGGTCCGATGGATATAAGTATGCATAGCGAACATCACTGCATTCTAAATCCATTCTTTTGATCTGTACAGAATCTTGTTGGTAGAAATAGAATGGAGTACTGCTACTAATCTTGCACCCCCCACATTGGCATCAACAATTGGTATCAACTGAAATACATCTAAGATGGAACTGAACTTCAGTTTCATTAGTACAAGAATTAGTTTGCATATTTGACCTTCCAATAGTACCTTCACTGCACCAGAGACCAGACTCCAGAGTGATCCCCTAGTTTGCAGAATTTCCTTTTGCATACTCCAACAATTTTACACAGCTCTGCACCGACATAACACCAGAGACCCAGAGTGACAGCCTGACACTCATGGACTTAGGAGACTAAACCCAAGCAACTAAGCTAGTGTTCCATTTTTTTATTAAGAACAAGAAGAATATTAAGTTAAGCTAGTACTTCTACTGGTTTTCAAATGTATATGCTGTTAGGGATAAGGTACAGCATGCCATGAAGTTAACACCAGACAGCCGTTTTAGCCATGAAAAGAAGTTAAGAAGCATACAACCATTTTCAAGACAAAAAAAAAAAAGGAGGGATGAAATGGTCCGATGGATATAAGTATGCATAGCGAACATCACTGCATTCTAAATCCATTCTTTTGATCTGTACAGAATCTTGTTGGTAGAAATAGAATGGAGTACTGCTACTAATCTTGCACCCCCCACATTGGCATCAACAATTGGTATCAACTGAAATACATCTAAGATGGAACTGAACTTCAGTTTCATTAGTACAAGAATTAGTTTGCATATTTGACCTTCCAATAGTACCTTCACTGCACCAGAGACCAGACTCCAGAGTGATCCCCTAGTTTGCAGAATTTCCTTTTGCATACTCCAACAATTTTACACAGCTCTGCACCGACATAACACCAGAGACCCAGAGTGGCAGCCTGACACTCATGGACTTAGGAGACTTAACCCAAGCAACTAAGCTAGTGTTCCATTTTTTATTAAGAACAAGAAGAACATTAAGCTAAGCTAGTACTTCTAGTTTTCAAATGTATATAGTCCACCTATAAACTGCTAGGGACAAGGTATAACGTGCCATGAAGTTAACACCAGACAGCCGTTTTAGCCATGAAAAGAAGCATCGAGCCATTTTCCAGAGATAAAAAATGGAGGGATGAAATGGATGTGTTATGCATAGCAAACATCAATGCATTCTAAATCCATTCTTTTGATCTTGTACAGAATCTTGTTGGTAGAAATAGAATGGAGTACTGCTACTAAACTTGCATCCCCCACATTGACATCAACAATTGCTCCCACTGATAAGTGAGATAGTATCATAATATTTCCTCCACACCAGTCTGTCCAAAAGGCAGCACAGCACTGCATCTGCATGTGCAGTTTCTGTATGCCTACATGCATTGCCTCTAGCCATGGGCCATGGGCCTCTCCCTCCACTAAGGCTCCGTTTAGCTCCCCAAAAACTTTTCTCAAAAACATCACATCGAATATTTGGATACATATATGAAGCATTAAATATAGATAAGAAGAAAAACTAATTGCACAGTTTGCATGTAAATCGCGAGACGAATATTTTGAGTCTAATTAGGCCATGATTAGCCATAAGTGCTACAGTAATTCACATGTGTCAATGACGGATTAATTAGGCTCAAAAGATTCGTCTCGCGGTTTCCAGGTGAGTTATGAAATTAGTTTTTTCATTTGTGTCCGAAAACCCCTCCCGACATCCGTTCAAACGTCCGATGTGACACCTAAAAATTTTCGTTTCACCAACTAAACATGCCCTAATAGTGTGTGTCAGAGTGTGTGTAGGCAGGTTAGCAGGTAGGTGTAGGAGAGCAGCCAAAAGAGCAAGATGAACTGTAGCAAAATGAGCAATAGCAAGATCAAGTGGTGCATCAGACTGATGATAATGGAGTGCAGGAATGGTCCTACCTCAGTTACCTGTCTTTTCCTTTGAAGTTGAACCATGGTCAATTTCATGGATGATGAAAATGTGTGTTGTTAGTAGTAGTAGCAACAGTAGTAGTACTCAGCTATGATCAAGGTTACTAATGATTGCTGTTGTTACAACAGTGTTGTAGATACTACTCCTAATTAGGAGTACTAGAGGGTTTTTCATTGAGTCAACTAGCAACAGAGATTTTGTGAAATTTCTTTTTCCTGGTTGGCAGGTTCTTAGCTAATGAAAGTCTTACTTCTGATGAAGAGAAGGTAGTAAAAGGGAGAAATCATATAAGGCATATATGGCCAGCATGTCCAGATTGGATTCTATTTGTGCCTATTGTTTCTGGAGTGATAGTACCGGTCAATTTTTCCAACTAACCTTCTTTTCTGTCGGAAGATAAATGATTCAACATTCTTTTCGATTGTAGGTGTTAAAATATGCTCGATCTTCTGGGACTTTTTTTACCCACTTTGAATGGCGGTTACTATTAGGCTTCATGTTTAATGTGTTTTTCACCTAGTGCATCATGCTTCATATGTTCCTACGCAGGGCATGTTTTGCTTATTTCATACCATAAGGATTCTTGTCTCTTATTGAGCTTTGCTTATTTCATCTCATAGGGGTTTTTGTCTCTTATTGAGGCTTTCTTTAACAATAATTATGCCTATGTTCATCCTAGATATAGAGGCCTAGGATGTAATCATCTTCCTTATCTAAAAAGTTGTTAAACTAAGCAGTCAAGCCTGTTGGAATACAAGAATTCCACCACATGCTCTGTAGATGAACCCATTTTATTTAATATACTGTAATTTTCCAACGAGGTAAGTTTTGCCAATGGCCTTTTTTTAAGAGAAATTTTACGATTCTTAAGAATTAACAATAAGCAGAGCTTGCTCCTGTTATATCAATTTCAGTTTTTTCTTAGGACAGAAGTAACATTGTACTATTCTGACTAACTAATTTTCCATGCATTGTCACAGTAAAAAGAAAAAGGCATACTACATTAATATCAGAATCTCATGACAATCCACTGACGTTATAAATTGTTGCAGGGAATGATCATATGCATCCATATGATCCACAAAGCATAGCTGAACAGTTATCACATTTACTCCTACTCCAATAATCAGAGGGGGCAAAACCTACCATCCTCATCATGAACTACAGCTTTATTACATAGTAACCGTAAAATTCAGATCAATTACACATTTGTACCATCATGTATAGCTGCCATGCCGTACCACTTACCTGAAGTCAGTAAAAGATTTCAGTAACTTAGTAAAAAAAAAGGAGTCACTGTTCACTGTTGGCTAGCAAAGCAACAAACATGGCCACAGATGAATGCAGCTGCACTCATCAGTGACCAGTGACCTCACTATCTAGTCACATACACCAACCCCCACCATGACTGACTCTAAACTTTCACAAGGAAAAAGCAATGAGCATCATGAAGACTGAAGAACCCAGCAAACCTGGAAATGCAACTGTTGCATATCAATCATCAAGAATCTCTTCAGAAAGAGGAGATGATACTTCAGAGTTCGAAGACTACTCCTTTAAGATAACTGAAGCTTTTTATCCCACTCAGTCAATTTCATCAAGATGATACAATTTACCTTAATTACACTCCCGACCTCTGCATAACTAGGATGAACGCATGGAGAAAATTATACTGAAGCTTCAAGTGCTGAACATTTGGTCCAAAATTTAGGAATGCCTTGCACCTTGGCCACATGGAGAGCACACTTGGAAAGCTTCACTTTAGCATCTTACGCTGGACAGCATCCACCAACATCTCTCTCTCTTTCTCTCTAGAAAGTTACTGGGTGACACCACACAGAACCCCACTGAGAGAGGCCAGCCAAAGGTCACCAATGGATTCTGGAGAGAGAGAAGGAGAGAGAGGGGACATGAAAAACATATGGCTAGTAAAATGATGTAAGCATGGAGATGTGGGGTGCTCATTTTGAGACAATTATGCTGGTCCTTGAAACCTAAAAGCTGTGCTGGTTGGTGAAGATCACTGCAATTCGCAGCCATTTCCCATTGCTAATTGCTACCACTCCAACATCACAACAACTTTGCATTGTTAGTTGTTAACTTCACCTCCTACTCTCCTAGTTTATTTTTAGCCTCATTTTCACCTGATACATGGACTATCTTTCTACTACTATGTGGTAACAATATCCATGTATTTATAGGGAGGAGAAGAAGAAGACAAGAGCACCAATGTGTGGCAGATACAGACAGTTTTCAGGAGAGAGCACAAGAAGAGGCAGCAGCAGAAGTTGCAGCAGCTAGCTTGTCATTGATCGGAAATCGGATCCCACTACAAAATTCAGGCGGCTCCAAAAACCCAGATCGATGAGCTCCACTCTGATGGCTTCTTGCTGCTTCATCATCTCTTACAAGAGGCCTCGCCCAATCATTGCCACCTTTGTCCCCTTCCTCCTCCTCCTCTTCTTCTTCGCCGTCGTCGTCGCCGCCTCGTCGTCCAGCAATGGCACGGCGGCGGCGCTCCACCCCGGCGAGGAGCTGCTCCGGCTTGAGAGAGTCAGGGCACAGCTCGCCAGGGTCAGGAGAGCTTCCGTCAAGACGATCCAGGCATGAGCATGATTACTCAATCTTGATTAGCTAATCTTGTTTGATGTTCTTGGAGTTCTTGGTTGATCGGCATATTTGCGGATGATTGTGCAGAGTCCCGACGGCGACGTGATCGACTGCGTGCCGTCTCACCTGCAGCCGGCGTTCGAGCACCCGAGGCTGAGAGGCCAAAAGCCAGAGGTGAGCAGCGGCGGCGGCGGCGGCCATGGCTGCCGCTGCAGAAGCAGTGGAGCAGTGACCTGACCTGACCTGACCATTGCGTCGCTGTACTCAACGTACGGTGGCGCGTGTGCTGTCGCGTCGAGCTGATCAATGATTGATTGGTGTACGGCTCTGCGCTGCAGGAGCCGCCCTCGGCGAGGCCGACGGAGACGACGAGGAGGAGGAGGAGGAGGAGGAGGAGTCACGCCCACGGCGGCGGCGGCGGCGAGCACCGGGAGGAGGAGGACGACGGCGAGCACGGGTTGCGGCAGGCGTGGTGGGCCGCCGGCGAGGCGTGCCCGGAGGGGACGATACCGGTGAGGCGGACGACGGAGGCCGACCTGCTGCGAGCCAGCTCCGCCGCCGCCGCCGGCGGCCGGTTCGGGATGAAGCCTCGCGGCGTCGGCGTCGTCGGCGGCGCGGCGCGGCGCGACTCCACCAGCAGCGGCCACGAGGTGAGTGCCACGTCACCTCAGCTTCAGCTTCCGCTGCCGACGGATTCAGACAAGCCGTACTGCCGTGCTGGAGTGCACCGGCGCTATAGATGGCCATGTGGGCCGCCCGGCACGGCACGGCCCAGGCCCGGCCGTGCCTGGGCCGAGGCTTGTCGGGCCGGCACGGCCCGACCGACGCACCGGGCCGTGCCGTGCCAGCCCACGTGCCGCACTCACAGCCCAGGCACGGCCCAACACGCCTCGGGCCGTGCCGGGACGGCCCGAAGGCACGATGGGCCATCGTGCTTTTCCTCAGAATAAGTCTAAATTTTCTCCCTCCTATTGGGCTGTGACATTGTATAGCTAAAAAAAAGTCTATTTTACCTCCCTCTTCTTTGTGGTGTGGTATATAAATAGCTAAAATAAGTCTATTTAAGGTCCCTATTCTTTAGACATTGACATTTATATGTCTATTTTTAGTCCCTATACTTTGTGTACCGGGTCTGGCCTGCCAGCCCATCGTGCCGGGCCGGCCCGACCGTGCCGGGCTAGCCCAGCGTGCTGGTGGGGAGGCCCAGGCACGGCCCGACGGTCGGGCCGGGCCGGCACGGGCCCGACCCAAGTCGGGCAGTGCCGTGCTTGGGCCGGGCCAAAAAGGCGTGCCGTGGGCCGGGCCTTCGGGCCTCGGGCCTTATGGCCAACTATAACCGGCGCGGCAGGTGGACACGTCAGCGTGCCACGTGGGCCCCACCACAGCTGACAAGCCCTGTGCATGCTCAAAAGTTTATCTATCTTTTTCAACAACCAGGGTTAAAATTCTCTTTTGTGAATCATTTGAAAAAACTGGATTCTGAAACAAATGAGTTTCTTTTACTGTCAAAGGGAAACTACAATGATTTAAAATCGAGAAAGTTTTTTTAATTCGGATAATAAATTAATTTCTTTCTTTATCTATCATAGGTCATGTCAAATGCTACTATCTCCGGTAATAAATATTTAACGTTTAAGATAATGGTTTGGTTAAACTTTAACATCAATTTTGTGTTAGAATATTTTTTTTAGAAAAATGATAAATTTATGATAATATCATAATACTTTTTAAGAAAAACATATGCATGCAATTTTTTATTTTTTAAGACTAAGTATTTAATAAATTATCGATAGTATAACTATAAATTTTAAAAGTTTGATTGAATCTTATCTTAAGCGTCATACTAAACTTTGAGAAACTTCAAATAAAATAGACAAATTTGATTTTCTTTTTCTCGGACATTGTTTTATTATTACGTCCTTTCCGAGATAATTTTTTTTATTTTTTATTTCATTCCAAAACTCTAAATCATATGAGAAGGAAAAATCTAAATAAATAATACTTCAGTAGTAAGAAGTCTAAAGAAGTACTTTTGTCGGTAAGAAAATGTTACTGAGTACAACTTTACTGAATTGAGCTAAAATAACCCCCATATATACTTGTATATGGTAGTGATGCGAAGTTTGTTAACTCGTGTGTACTACCTCCGTGCCAACTCCCAAAATAAGTTTATTTTAATATATTAATTTAGACATAACTTATATCAAGATTAATGTCCAAAACAAAACTGAACTTGATTTGAGATGGAGGGAGTGCTTACTTGTTACTACCGTCATTGTTTGGATGTTGTCTTCTCAGGCACAGTCAAAATTTGAATTATAATATTTAATTTTAAAGTTAATCTTAAGGTTTTTCCTTCATTGTTTATTTATCAGTATTAGCTTTTAAATCGCTAAGAATACAAATATAATTGTTTTTACCTGTATTTTTTTTCCTGTAATAACCAACAAGGTTTTGTTTGCCAAATAAACTGGCGTGTGTCGGTCAGATGCCGATGGTTAATTTACACGCACACACGCCTTACGGCCTCATTGTTTCACTTATTTGTGGAATAAGCCAATAGGTATATTTGCAAACGAAAAATAATTTACATATAAAACTTTTATATAAATGTTAGTGATCTAAAAGTAAATGCTGAAAAATAAACTTCGACAATAAAACCCTAAAATCAGCTCTAAATTTAAGGTTGAAATTCAAATTTTGGTTGATAAGCATAGGGATAAGCGAAAAGATGAGGGCTTTAATTTGGTTGCGTTGATACTGACATTGGTGAGCAAAACAAATTTATGCATATGCAGCATGCGGTGGGGTACATGAGCGGGGGGCAATTCTACGGGGCGAAGGCGAGCCTGAACGTGTGGCCGGCGAAGGTGGCGTCGCCGGCGGAGTTCAGCCTCTCCCAGATCTGGCTCATCTCCGGCTCCTTCGGCAATGACCTCAACACCATCGAGGCCGGATGGCAGGTGCTACATTTTCTTTTCTTTCTCTCCTCCTTTTCTGAAACTTGTTCAGTCAATCAGGCCTAGCTAGCTAGTAGCCAGTTTCAGAGATTACATTTTACTCTCAGCTCTGCATACTGATCATTCGGATTTTATCGGTTTATCGACGGATTCCGTGGATACCGCTCGTGAGCGGATTTTGATCCGGTATCGGGATCGTTAACCCTGAAACCAACGCTACATTTTCTTAAACTTATTCAGGCGTAGCCAATTTCAGAGATTGCCATTGCTCTCAACTCTCAACTCTGAATACTGATCGTATCTAGCTACCTGTATCTTTCTGATGAATTTTCAGGTGAGCCCTCAGCTGTACGGTGACAACAACCCAAGGTTCTTCACGTATTGGACAGTAAGTTCTTTGCTAGTAAAGTAGTAATCTGTTCCTAGTGTTTCAGTATTAGAAGAGAGATAGATCAGTCAGTTCAAAGAACAAGTTACTGAAGAATGATGCATTGTGCAGAATGATGCGTACCAGGAGACGGGTTGCTACAACCTGCACTGCTCAGGGTTCGTCCAGACCAACAGCCGGATCGCCATGGGCGCCGCCATCTCCCCCATCTCCTCCTTCGCCGGCCGCCAGTTCGACATCACCCTCCTCATTTGGAAGGTATGTTGTGCGCACTTTTCTGTGAATTTCGAATGAAATTTGACGAATTTCAAACAAAGCTTGAAAGCCAAGATTTGAATATAAACTCTCCCGATGATTTGCGATCTTGAACGAAATTCGAATATATTGACTGGAAACTGAGATTGTAAACATATAGGTGTATAAGAAGTTAGTTCTCTCAAATAGGCTCAATAGGCCAAAAGTGATGGGCTTATATAGTCCATGAAGTCTTTTCCTTTCTAAAAGGCAAAATTTTCATAGATGGAGATCTCAAACTACATATAATAAGTTAAACTTTTTTTTTTGAAAATTTACTATACTACTTAGTACTACAAATGCCATGGTATTTATAGGAATTTAATTCAATTCTTATTTTCTATTCAAATTTGAATTTTCATGAAACCATTCTATTCCCATCTTGAGCTGTCTCGAAACACCAAACTTTGCGGAATTCACTCGATCGATTTTTATTGGGAATGTGAACTTAGCTTTGTCAGCATATACTCTAACAACATTATCTTTTCGCTTATACTTATACTTATCAGCTAAAATTTAAATTTTCAATCTTAAATTTAGATTTAATTTTAGGGTTTATTTATCGTAGTGTATTTTTCACCCTTTGCTTGTAGATCGTTAAAAACACGTATATAAACGTTTTATTCACAAATTATTTTTCACCTGTAAATATGCCGTTTTGTTTTTTCCTCCAAACAACCAAACAATGGGGTTGTAAGAATCTCCACCTTCTCAAAGCAGTTCGAATCCTTCCTCCGAATTCAAACTATGAAAATACATATAGAATCTAAGAATGAACAGGTAGCCAAAAGTTGCCACCGTAGCTTTTCCATATTCTCACCAGCTAGTTACATATCAATTGTTTTCTTCAAACAGAGCCTCAGTTTAAGCACTGCGAGATTTGAACAGTTTTTTTTTGTGTGTGTGCTTAATTCTCTCACAATCTGAACATATTTGAACAGCTAAACTCCAAGATGATATTTGAAACTGCACGAAACGCACCGTTTAGTAGCTTGAAACCGAGATAAAAAGTCTGAATAAGCGCACGAATCTCAACGCAGGACCCGAAGCAGGGTCACTGGTGGCTGCAGCTGGGGTCGGGTGCGCTGGTGGGCTACTGGCCGTCGTTCCTCTTCAGCCACCTGGGCGCGCGCGCCGACATGGCGCAGTTCGGCGGCGAGGTGGTGAACACGCGGCCGTCGGGGTCGCACACGCCGACGCAGATGGGCAGCGGCCGCTTCCCCGGCGAAGGGTACGGCCGCGCCGCCTACTTCCGCAACGTCCAGGTCGTCGACTGGGACAACAACCTCATCCCCGCCGCCGCCCTCCGCCTCCTCGCCGACCACCCCGCCTGCTACGACATCGCCGGCGGCCAGGGCGCCGCCTGGGGCAGGTACTTCTACTACGGCGGCCCTGGCCGGAACGCCCGCTGCCCATGAGATGATGATGCTAGCTAATTCAAGGAAAATATACGATAGAGTAAATCTTCTCTTTGTTTTTTTTGCTTTTTCTTTCCCTCTCAATCTTCTTCAGGTTCTTGTGTGACTGAGCATATGTTCATCGAGTTTTAGCTTAGTTTGATTATTTATGTATATTTTTGCATTCAAATTTACAGTCTTACATCTTCTCTTTGTTGCATGTGTAATGCATTCGTCTTGAGATTGCATGGATTAATCGGAGAGAAGAATTGCAAATTTTGGGGGAAAAAGTACGCCGGAGGTCCCTCAACTTGTCATCGAGTTACAAAATCATCCCCCAATCGTAAAACCGGATACAACGCATCCTTCAACTAACAAAACCAGTATAAACTAGGTTCCTCAGCAGTTTGACCCTGATTTTATCCGACGTGATGGCTAAATCAACGTAGGACCCGTGTTGGCCCCATATGTCAGGTGCCACGTCAACAGGGTCTCTCTTCCCCCCCTCCTCTCCCTTCCTCCTCCTCTCTCTCACTTTCTTCTCTCCGGGCAGGCCGGCCGGCGGTGGGAAGGAGGTCGCCGCGCCGTCGCGGGAGGAACCTGGCATCTGATGAGGCGCGCTGCCGTAGTAGGAGCCGGGAAGCGGTGGCGGCGTGCGGCGTCGGAGCCGCGGCGGGGCGTCGGGGAGGCGGCTCGGCGTCGTCGTCGGACGGGAAACAGATGTATGTATGAGCAAGTAAATCGGCAATGGTGATTAGTGATGCAATGTCACATCGAGCTTTCACGCCATAGCCGCCAGAATCTTTGGAACGATATATAAGAGCAGAGCAAGTCAAGCAGTCAAATCAATAGCTCAAGCAAACAAGCTTGCTCGGTTCAGTTCCGACACAATGCTTGCCTTGAGCTGCCAGCCATTATGGCCGCCGGATTCGTGGACGACGAGGGGCGGCGCCGGGAGGGTCATGGCGTTCGTGGCACTGTCCTGCGCCACGGTGGTGATGGGCGGCGCCATCTACGGCTACGACATCAGCACCGCGGGCGGCGTGTCGTCCATGGAGTCGTTCCTAAGGGACTTATTACCGGAAGTGCTCCGGCGGATGGCGGGCGCCGGCGCTGGCGCGCGCCGCGTCAGCAACTACTGCAAGTTCGACAGCTAGCTGCTGACGCTCTTCACCTCGTCGCTCTACATCTCCGGCCTGCTCACCTCCGCGCTCCTCCGTCGTGGGTCACGGCTAGCCGCGGCCGCCGCGCGTCCATGATCCTCGGCGGCTTCGCCTACATCGCCGGCGTGGCGGCCAGCGGCACCGCTGTCAACGTGTCCATTGCCATCCTTGGTAGGGCTTTCCTCGGCGTTGGCCTCGGCTTCACCACCGAGGTCACAACACTGAAAAAATCAAATTATTCTCAAATTCTTGATGTGCCATTTGGACAAATCTTCTGCAAAGTTTTTTGAATTTTGCAAGTTCTTGAAACATTTTGCTGTCTATGCCACTCTGCATGGCTGAAATGGCACCGGCGCGATACTGGGGAGCATTCAGCAACGGCATCCAGTTCAGCCTTTGTTTCGGAGCTCTCGCCGCCACGACCGTGAACTTTGCCGTGGAGAAGATTAGGGGAGGTTGGGGATGGAGGGCTCTCGCTGGCGCTGGCCGGCGTCCCCGTCGACGACGAGCTGGACGAGATCATCGCCGCGAACGCCACCGCGGCGCAGGGAGAGAACGCCCTGTGGCTGTTCTATCGACGAGGAGCCATGGCGGCGGGATCTGGCGCCCGCGCCGCCGGCGACAGTGGCGGCGGCGGCGTTGGGAGGCCCTCCTGCTCCCACGTCGTCGCCTCGTTGCCGCCGCCGCCTCGCCGCCGGACTCCCGCCTCCCCACTGGCCTCCTCCTCACCGGCCGCCGGCTACGCTGCTAGTGAGAGAATAGAAAGAGGAGGAAGAGATGTGGAGAGGGTAGGGGAAGAAGAGGTTGACACGTGGGACCCACATGGGTCTCACGCTGAGTCAGCTGCCACGTCGGAAAAAACCGGAGTTAAAACCGCTGAGGGAGCTAAAACCGCTGAGGGAGCTAGTTTGTACTGTTTTTGTAAATTGAAGGATACGTTGTATCCGGTTTTACAGTTCGAGGACGATTTTGTAACTCGATGACAAGTTGAGGGACCTTCGGTGTACTTTTTCCAATTTTGGGATATGGTGATGTGGGCTGAAATTTGATTTTGATTTTAGAGAGGTAAATGGGCCTTGGGAAGTTGGGATGTGCACACTCTAGCCCAAGCCCAAATTTGAAACGATATGAAGCCCACAATGTCTTCTTTCCTGAGATGAGGCCCATTGGCCTTTTTAGCCTTTGCACAAAACAAACTTGTTCTTTTTTTTTTCTTCGGGGACACGCAACACAAAACAAACTTGTTGCACTGAAAAAGAAGAAAAAAAATAACTTGGTCAAATTTAGAAATGCTAGGGAGCTAGTTTGTGACCAAATGCATAGTGGTGTGCTTGTGTGTGTGTGTATCTACTCTACACTCTCTTATCTTAATTCTGATGATAGTGCCCCTTTTCTAGGAGACTTTTATGCCAACATTTTTCAAGGATGTGTGAATGTATGGTTTTGAGTGTGTCAAGTGGAACATTGCGTCCAAAAATTGATAACGATAATACTCATACAGAAAAAAAAAAGGGGGGAAAGAAACACTAGGCAAACATGATCCATGCATGACTAGGGTTTAATGTTTCGGTTTGCTGATTTCTATTGGGGGTGGCCGAAATTCTGAAATTTCGGTCCGAAAATTTATGAATTCTTGAATAAAATTTGATCAAATTTGAACAAAATATTACCAAATTCATGAAAAAAATGAAAAAAAATTTAAAAATTTTGATCGTATTGGGGGGGGGGGTCTCCGATAGAACCGAAATTTCGATCCGAAATTTTGAACCCTGTGCCTGACTGCTGGAGCAATTTTAGTATTGTCGCCAGTAGTTTCTAACAGGCCCCCTTTTAGAATTTTTTTTTTGTATATAATATCACTGAAGTTTGGGACATGCAAGTCCTAAGTGAATGCAATGGCATATTGGCATCGGAAAATAGGACTATTGTTGATGAGTTGGCTGTCATCGTCCTTATTAAATGATTTAATCATTGGTGGCACGCTTCCATTAATTCTGATTAATGACCCATGTTGCTCTACAAAGGGCCCTAAACTATTAGCTGGTTCAAAAATGTAGACCCCATGTACAGACTAATCCACATCTAAAAGAGCATCTTGCTAGCTTACATATGCAGTTGATAGCACAAATCAAGATTGGACCACTCAAGAAAGAAACAAAAGAAATGGGACAATATGAACAACAAGAGGAACATGTGCTCTCTTTGACAAACATCTTCACCCATAATATGGCTAGCAATTATTACTTTAGTGGGATAATTTACACTAATAATCCATTGGGCGCATTATGCCCCAATTTATGGTACAAAAGATTATTGACCGTCATATCTCCTATGATCACTAAATAATAAAACCCTAAGCACAAAGATAACATATTCCCAATCTGTACCCACAAGGGTGCACCTAGCAAAACGACACACCCCCTACAGTCTATGGCAAGCTGGGCCCACCAGCAAACAGTAAACCATCCTTTTCTTACAGGTCCCCGTGAGTGCCTACACCCATGGTTGCATGGTCAACATCAACAATCATCACCCTCACATCACACTGCTAGTGGGCCCCCTTCAGTTTGAACTATCTATATTACTGTATTACTCACTCCTGATCGTTGAGCAGGCCCAAGGAACCGGAATTAGCACGGGCTTGGAGTTGGGCTTGGGCCTGGGCCGGTCTAGCAAGGGCCATGAGTTTGGTCGGTGAAATGGGCTGTCTCGGGTCAGCCCGCTTCCTTGTCTCTGCATCAGTACCAACTCCATTGCCGGCTTTTCTTGCCTCGACGCCATCATCGTGTCGAATGCCACGTAGCAACGCCGCCACATCCTTCATGGTCGGTCGATCCTCAGGTCGTGGGCTTGCGCATAGCAATGCCATGCCGAGAGCTTGCAGCATCTCTTGGACCTGGGTATCGGGCCGGCCCTGCAACCTCACATCGATGATCTCCGCCGGGTCTCGCTTCCGGCAAAGGTGGTCGCGCACCCATTGCACCACGCTTTGTCCCTCCCCGAATGCCGGGTCCAGTGGGCGGCGCCCGGTGATCATCTCGAGTAGCACCACACCGAAGCTGTACACGTCACTCTTGGTTGTGATCTTGGTCATGCATCCATACTCTGCGTTGATCAAGATCAAATATCAGCCATTGATTAATCTTGTGCTTTTCTTTTTAAAACAAATTCAATTAAACTGCTGAAATTTTGTTTGAACTGGTGAATGTGTGTGAGTGTGAGAAAAGGCTCTTACCGGGAGCGATGTAGCCGTAGGATCCGGCGAACGGCGGAGGCGATGAGCTGGCACCGTCGTCGGCGACACGGGCGAGGCCGAAGTCGGCGAGGCACGCCTCGTAGCGGTCGGCGAGGAGGATGTTGTCGGCCTTGACGTCGCGGTGGATGATCCCTGGAACGCAGTCATGGTGGAGGTAGGTGAGGCCCTCGGCCACGCCGACGGCGATGGCGAGGCGAACCTCCCACTCCACCACGGCGGCGGTGGTGGTGGCGCCGCCGCCCATCGCGCCGCCGTGGAGCAGGCCGCCGAGGGTGCCGTTCGGGAGGTAGTCGTAGAAGAGGAGGCGCGTCCGGCGGTTCGCCGCCCAGCCCAGCAGCCGGACGATGTTGCGGTGGCGGACGCGCGGGAGCACGCTGACCTCGCCGGCGAACGCCTCGATGGACGCCTCGTCGCACGACCTGAACTTCTTGACGGCGATGGTGACGCCCGACGACGGCATGCTCGCGCGGTACACCTCGCCGGACCACCCGTGGCCGATCACGTTCGCCGGCGTGAGGCTGCGTGCCACGTCGGACACGCCGATCTCCAGCTTCTGGTACAGCGTCACGTCCCACGGCGGCGACATCTCGCCGTCCTTGTCCTCGCCGCCGCGGGCGCCGCCGCCGCGGCGGTGCCACCCGAAGAGGACGAGCGCCGCGGCCGCGAGGAGGACGACGAGGGCCGAGAGCAGCACCGCCATCGCGACGCGGGCGGCGCGGCGCGCCTCCACCTCGCGCTCGCTGGCGTCGCCGGAGCACCGCGAGAGGCACAGCGCCGGGTTGCCCTCGACGTCGCTCGTCGGCAGTCTCGCGAAGAACGCCGTCTCCGGCAGCCGGCCGGTGAAGCCGTTGAACGAGACGTTGAGCGCCACGAGGTTCTGGAGCGCGGACAGCGGCTGGAGGTCGCCGGATAGCTGGTTCCGCGACACGTCGAGCACCCCGAGCCTCACGAGCCCGGCGAACTCCGCCGGAATCGCGCCGGAGAAGCCGTTGCAGCTGAGGTTAAGCGCAATCTCCAGCCCCGGAATCTTGCCGATGCTCCCCGGCACATGGCCGGAGAGCGAGTTGCCGCCGACGTCGAGGAGCTGGAGGCGCGTGCACGAGCCAATCTCCGGCGGCATCGGCCCGGACAGCCGGTTGCCGCCGAGAACCAGCTTAGTCAGAGACGTCAGCATGCCAATCTCCGGCGGGATTCCGCCGGCGATGACGTTGTCGGAGAGGTCGAGGTACTGGAGCGAGAGCCAGTCCCGGAACAGCCTCGGCGGCAGCTCGCCGGAGATGGCGTTGTCGTGGAGGTCGACGAACGTGAGGTTCCGGCACCCCGACATCTCCGGCGGGAGCGCGCCGGCGAGCCGGTTTGACGCGAGGTCAAGGAAGCTGAGGTTCCCGAGCATGCCGATCTCCGGCGGTATCGCGCCGGCGATGTGGTTGCCGCTCGCCCGGAACCTTACGAGCGCCGCGCAGCTGCCGATCTCCGGCGGGAGCTCGCCGGAGAGGTTGTTGTTGATGAGCAGCAGCTTGGACAGCCGCGGCAGCCGGAAGAGGGAGCGCGGGATGGCGCCGGTGAGCGCGTTGCTGGAGAGGTCGAGCGCCTCGAGGCTCCCGCACCGGCCGAGCTCCGGTGGGATGCTGCCGGTGAGCTGGTTGGCCCAGAGGTAGAGCATGCGCAGCGCCGGGAGGCGGCCGAGCTCCGCCGGGATGCCGCCGGTGAGCTGGTTGTTGTCGAGCTCGAGGTCGGTGAGGTTGCTGCACCGGGCGAGCTCCGGCGGGACGGCGCCGGAGAGCTTGTTGACGCTGAGCTGGAGCTCCTGCAGCGACGAGAGGTTGCCGAACGACGGCGGGATGTGGCCGGTGAGGCCGTTGAGCGACAGGTCGACGACGGCGAGCGCGGCGCACGAGCCGAGCTCCGGCGGGATGACGCCGACCAGCTGGTTCTGCCATAGCAGCAGGTTCCTGAGCTTCCCGAGCCCGCCGAGCTGCGCCGGGATGGAGCCGGACAGCGCGTTCTCGTAGAGGTAGATGTTCTCGAGGCACCCGCACCGGCCGAGCTCCGGCGGGATCGGGCCGGAGAGGAGCGCCGTGTAGATGGCCAGCGTGGTGAGGTTCTTGAGCCGGCCGAGGCTCGCCGGGAGCGGGCCGGTGATGCTGGTCTCGGCGAGGCCGATCATGGTGAGGCTGGAGCAATCGCCGATCTCCGCCGGGAGCGCGCCTTGGAGGTTCTTGTTGCCGCCGCCGCGGAGCACCTCGAGGCTGGACATCTTGCCGATGGACGCCGGGATCTTGCCGGCGAGCTGGTTGTCGTAGACGATGAGCTCCCGGAGCGAGGTGAGGTTGCCGATGGTGTCAGGGATGGCGCCCTCGAGGCGGTTGGAGTTGAGGTAGAGGGTCTCCAGCTTGCTCCCCGGCCGGCAGAGCGCCGCCGGTATCGTCCCCGTGAGGGCATTGTTGCTGAGGTCGAGGTGCGCCAGCGCCGGCAGCTCGCCGAGCTCCGGCGGGATCGGGCCCGTCAGGTTCGCGCCGGTGAGCACCAGCCGTGTCAGCGTGCGCCCCACGGCGGCGGCGAGGTTGCCCGGCACGCCGCCGAACAGGTCGACGAACTCCAGGCTCAGCTCCGTCACGCCGCCGTCGGCATTGCACGTCACGCCGGTCCACCGGCACGGCGACGCGTCCCCGGCCTTCCAGTCCGCCAGCGCGCCGCCGTCGCCGCGCAGCGTCGCCTTCCACGCGAGCAGCGCGGCGCCCTGCTCGTCCACGGCGAGCACGCAGCTCACGCGCAGCACCACGACCACACACGCCATGACCATCGCCGCCGCCGCCGCCGCCGGCGACCTCGACGCCATTGGCGCCGCCCTCCATCTGCTTCTGCTACTCATCACGCATATACACTAATAACCACACTCTTTGTACCTCTACTTGTATGCAAGTATATCCAAGAACACACACTACTATGCAAAGTGTAGTAGCTAATCCTATAGGGATTCTAGTGTACTTGTGTTAATTGCTCCCAAATCTTGGTCTTGCTTATGTCGCAAGACTAGTACTAAGTACTACTAACCTCTAACTAATCAATGAAGTCCTAATAAAGTTTTAGTATGAAGGAGAGAGAGAGAGAGAGAGAGAGAGAGAGAGAGAGAAGAGAGACCATCTCAAATGGTACAGTTTTTATATGCTTGTAGGGAAGAGGTGAGATCAAGAAACAAGAATGAGGTGTCTAAATAGGTAGGAGAGGTTGAAGAGTTTTTGAGTCTGATGAGATCATGAAGGTGAATGAAGCAATGGAGACTTGTCCCTGTCCCTGCAGAATCTCTGGATCCAAGGCCACAGAGCACAGTACTAACACTGCACTCTGTCCCTTCTATGACTACTTTAGTAGCAATCTCTTATGGCCTCTAGTAGCAATGCACATAATCACCATGGTTAATGCTGCTGTTAGGATTGGTGATTGGGTGTATAAATTTTTGACAGCCATCACCAACGACTAATTGCTTTGCAATGCAGTGCAATGCCCCAATTGGAGCTTAAAGAGGGGAGTGAGAGAGGATGCAGAAATTTTTTAACTGAAGCAACAGCTTTGCTGGCTTGAGAGTAAAAGATGGTGCCCCCAGAGACATGGCAATGGCATCAGGTTAAGCAACTTCATGGAAAGGCTGTGTGTGTCAAGGGGGATATGATTAAATAAGATGCAGTTAGAGCAACAGCTTTAACAGACTGTGGGTAAGGACTTGGCTGTAGATTTTCACATCTCAGGGTGGTAATTGAACTTACTAGTATGAATTAAGAACATCAAGAGTTGACAACTTGGAAATGGGAATTAGTAAATTCTTACTTGAGAAAAATGGGTCATCGGTACTTCAGAAATGCAGAAAAAAACTCTGAATATATGGGCAGCAAAGTCTCAAGTCAGTAACTCAAAAACATAGATGTTAGAAAGAATAGAGTCATGTTGATTGGAATATAAGACAACAATTAACTGACCTTTTTGCCTTGTTTGATTACATATTAACAGCCATTTCTGAATGTGATCGTGTAAGTAGACAGTAAAGCCCTGCACTGTAATTATGATCATTGCAGGGTGAGAATTGAACTAACTGCGCTGGTAAGAATCTCCAGAGTTGAAAGTTGAAAAATAAGAATAAAAAGGGACATCACAGCTGGGTGCTTAGTGGTAACACATGACACACAGAGAGAAGAACACAGTTCATTCCATGCAGTAACAATTATATAAACCGCATGGCAGAGGCTGTTTCTTGTCAGGATAAACAGAAAGGATTGGATCTTAAAAACCCCAGCAGAGGCTGTCACATGCCCCTGGTTAGATCTAATCTCACCTTTCCACTGTCAAGTTCATAGTTAATTACTACTGCCTCTTGTACTTTGTGTTAATGGTGAGGAAGCCGCCATCTAGCTAGCAGCTGGATTATACTAGTAAAAGTACAGGAAATTTTGCAGGCTCGCAGATCTAGATCTACCTTCTTCTCCAAATTCCCATCGGTAAATGGGCAGTTCGGATTGACCAATGCTGAACTACTAATCCCGTAGAAGATAATGGAAACTTGCAGAGTATTTACATTGGGGTTAGAACTTCCATTTGCAGTGTTGGTCGTTTTACCCGAAAAGATAGGGTACATGCTTCTGCCTTTGCAGTAAAAAGATATGTTTATGATGTGTATTTAACTAGCATGTAGAAGTAGAATGCTTACATGAGTGAACATTCTAGCATGTTCAAATACAGTGATTGACAAGTGTACATGAACAAAATGAGGAGTAAAGTCTAATGATAATTTGGTTACCGGTTATTACCACCAGTAAAAATTCACGGATGATTCTTGTTCATACCTTACAGTTCTCATGAATCATCCTGAGATTAGTGTTCATTAACTTGTAACAATTCATCAGCAGCGAAGCTGCATAACTGCAAAAGCTAACCAAGTTATACATGAATGGAAGGGAATGGAGGGAGAGAGAGTCGTACTTGCTTAATTACTGATAAAACAACAAGTAAACAAATACCAAAGAGTACAATCATTTGTAGGGTGCACAGTTTCCAAGGTTTTCACCACATCATCACCTAGATCTACCAGCCTAAACATGTTTACCCAATTCATTTATTGTGTCCTTAGCATATGGCACTGTCAGTCTTGTTGACAAATTCCTGATCAGTTCATCTATTCTCGTGATGCTTGTGCATGCAATTCATGACAGTATTTTAACCAGCGTTTAGTTGAAAGGCATCTCAAAGAGCCAGCAGTACATATCATTTTTTTGACACTAGCAGTATATATCTTTGATTTCACTAAGCAAAAGTGATTAACCTGTCACGTGAGGCAGTGGACTCTTGAGATACTTGCCGCGTGACTGTATCCAACCATCAATAATATTCCAATTCGTCTGTAGCTCCTCCTAGACATGGTGTGCTATTGCTACTCATGTGGCTCATCTTTTGTTAGTGTGGTGCAATTACATGTAAATAATTCAAACTGAAATGAAAGGGAAGTTTTAAGAACAAAAGCAAAGATCACACTTATAACAGAAAGGGGGGAAAGAAAAGGAAGAAAGGCAATCAAAATCAGAAATATTTTAAAGCTAAACTGCAACTTGCTAGTAACAATAATAGGCACAAAGATTGCATTGTTTAAAAGAACTGAAATGGTGTTAGTGAGGGGAATTGAGGAGGAGGGAATCTAGGCATGAGATGTGGGGAGGTGGTAGGGCACATGCAGGAGTAGAAGACATGAAGAATACAATAGCACAGGGCCTGCCTAGGATAGGCATCATGTGAGAAGGAGATGGTGGAACAAGTATACATAGATGACAGATATCATGGGGGGAGGTGGCCATCTGTTTAACTCCAGTGCTCCAGGAAACTAAGGGCATGAATCATGATAGACAAGTTTTTTTTTTTGGATGAAAAATGATTTTTCTTTTTGTTGAAAACGCAGGAGGACCACACTTCATTTCATTAAGAAGAAGAAAAAACACACTTACACAGGAGAGACCAATTTGATGAAAAATGATAAGGAAGCTATTAGCAATAAACAAGTGGAATTAGTGCCTTAAGTGGTGCTTCGTACTCTCGTGATGAGCAATGCACAAAAAAGAACAGCCATGGAGGTACAGGGTGGGGCGGCTAACAATATGCAATTTCTTGTCTTTACAAAAAAGAAATGTGTTTTTTTGTCGCTTGGTGAGGCAAAGACTTAAGCAGACAAACAGACTCACCTAGTCCATTGTACAACTCCACATTCCAAAGAGGATATGAAGATAAGAACAGAGAAAACACAATTGGTTGCTATGTGTGATTGTGTGATGATCTGGATTTTTCATAGAAGTGTTGAAGTGCAGTTTTGCTACATAGGTTAATTTTCACTTCATCTCCAAATGGTTACCTGATGAAATATTTCTCAACACAAATGCATCTGCCACTGGAAGCTAAAATCGTAAACCTCTCCCAAGAATATGGTTTCCTACTGAAATCATGAATGACTCAATGAACGAAACAGTTTACCTGCCAACAGAGAAACTTAGAAGGTTTAGTATTAGTTTAAACATATACTCCCTCCATTCTCTTTTCTTTATTTTATAAATTTTCTAAGTCCTGTCATGTTTGAGGATAATGCCATTACCAGTTAAATCGAAGTTGCAGAAATGAAAGAACCTTCAGGTATGAAGCAGAGATTTTTCTTTTGGATATCTCATTAACAAATGCGTGATACAAATTTTGTTTATGTGTACCAAAATTTCACATAAATACATAGCATGTGCTTCATCAAGACTATTACATATGAAACTTGGTCAACACTAACATCATGAGGTAGGTATTTTTTAAATCACAGTTTCATGTATTAGCATCACAGTGTTTCCATCAACAAGTTGGCAAATAAGGAGCTTTACTACTTTTGCAGTTATCAATTACTCCAATAAAACTTTCAATTAGTAACATGGTGAATCAATCAATACAAAGCTCTCAGGGGGTGGACTTGTAGACCACACAAAAATCAATCAGTTCTTTAGTGCATACTGTGAAATGATTAGATTCAAATATAGAACTGGTAGGGGGTCAATTAACACACCCAAACTATAATCTTTAGCTATTATTTAATTGACAAAGATAATATAGTTCTTTAGAGAACCATCTTGGGGGCAGTGCCCGGGTTTTGAGGGTAGTGGAATTAAGTCCTTTGATCTCTTTCGGCTCTAAGCAGCAATTAAACCAAAAGTACTCATATAAGCACACCATAGCTGTTACCATCTACCTCTACTTTCTGACCTCATCACCTTTTATCATGTGCACCTAATTATACAGTATATTCGTTTCTTGTTCATCATCAGCTTAAACCTTCTCCTGAAATTTTCAAATTATTAATGGTTCCCAAGAAAGATTAGCTTTGCTTTTCACTGCACTCCTGTTCCATTGTAAAGAGGTTACTTGTGGAATTTGCTAACTACATATGAAGTTAAATGTTCCTGAATGATCATATGAATTTATATCGAAACTGTGTGGTGACAAAAGTCTTTTGCACTCAACCAGTGTCAAATAAAACGCATCACACTTTTCTTTGATATACTACTTTCATTAAATCCTAAGTTTGTACTTACTACATTCATTTCCAATATCACCTTATGTTACTTTCAGGAGTGAGGTTCCATGGTCAAATCAAATGACATCAAGACATAGAACAATGAAGCAAAAATCCAAGGTGCAATGCTTCCAAAACAGATGCTATAGCATCTTTGCATTGAAATTACAAATTGAAAGGGAATGCAACTACAGTAAAATTGACCTAAGAACTCATGATCAAGAACCAATAGGTAGGAGAGAATCCACGTGCATTACAGGAACACATAAATACAAATAAGTGGATTCCCATTTTTCCATCGCTTGAATTGGATAGATAAATCACCCAGGACAACTAATCAAATACCGCACCAGCTAATCCAAAATAGAAAATTGAAATAATTCAGTTTACGGGAAGCATTACAATCACCAAATGTGACTTCTTATTATTATACAAATTGTAAAACTGTGTGGGAAGGATTGCATCATCTCATAGTGATCCCTTCCTCAATTTAAGGGAACTGCTACATTGCATTAATTGTATAGCAACAAAAAAGAAGCAAAAAAGGCTCAAAAGCTCAAGGGCACTTACATTTGGACGGTGTAAAAAGACAGAGAACTATGGCAGTAAGCTATGATCCAAAAATACAGACAAAAATGAAGTCAAGTTAGCTTTTTGCAAGTCCAAGGAAAAACTGTGTAGTATGTCATGGCACAAAAAGACATACCAAAATGATGTCACCATTTTGTTTCTCTAAACACTAATTCATAAGGAAGTTGTTTTCTGTAGCTCAATGTATGGACCTTTTTACACGGATAGTTCACCAACTTTATGCCATGAATCTTAGCCAAGATTATTTCAACAAAAGTAGAGTCTGGTGAGAATACAGTATACCACAGTCCACATATAAAATTAGTTTTGGTAAAAACTATTGTTCTCTTCAGCACGGCCACTAATTGCACAGCAATTGCAGAGCAACAAGGACCAGAAACTTTCACATCGATCTTCCATCAGTTTGTTTCACAGGCATAACTCTTCAGCACTTATATTATGTGATGTCACCATCATTCTCATATTTATAGGGAAAACGTTCAGCAAAGGTAAATTTCCAAATACTTAAGTGCTAAGACAAAAGAATGGTCTCACTGCAAAAAGAAGAAAAGACAAAAGCATGGTTTCAAACGGTACATTCTAATTTATTTCCGGAAGGAGGCCCCGAATGTTAAAACCAAAAAATTGTACATTTGGCACTAAATGGTGAGCCCATTAACAACGGAACAAGGGCCACTTTCATCTTCTCACATGGGCAAACAGCACATTGACTGAAAGTGATAGCACGAAGTAGAACTATAATTGAGGAACTTACTGATACAGAAGGAATTGAGGCAAATTTCATAACAATTTGTAGAAACAAAAACTTCTTGAAAAAAATGAAGGGATCTTCATGATTCTCAAATAGATATACTGCGATTACCATTTTCCCTATCAAATCAAATACTTTTACATTATTACAATAAACACTTCAACTAAGAATAACCAAAATCTTCTTCATTAGAAAAAGGAGAACATCACCACACGTACCATTTCATAACAAAATACCACTTACAACAATAGAAGAAGATTTCAGAATGGTATAACAAATAACATGTTATGGCCATATAAATTTTGTTCCTGTTTTATATAGAAATAATTGTGCCAAAATCAAACCACCTAGAAAACTTCTTTACTTAGGTTTAAGCACATAGCTGAATAGTTTTGCTTTTAATGTCCGAATCATAAATATTTTGGGGTTTCAAAAAAAAAAAGAATCATAAACATTTCATGAAGATTTCCTTTTTTCCTGAACACATTTTTCTCCAACATGGTTTTCAATCAAATTGGATTCATCACGAAATTTCCTCTTCCTTCATGCTGCACTCTTGAAAAATGCACAGCAAGTAGCAGTTTCAAAAATAGCATCAGCGTGATACAATATCCAGAAGAAACACAAAGGCCATCACAGGGAATAAGAAAGCGAGTGCATTGCATATGCTTCCTGCTTTATCCATATAATAGGAACTCCTTTTTTCAGCAGCCTATTAGACAATGTTTTTGCCTATCATACGGATACAAAACAAAAGATATGAAATAAAGTTGAATGGAACAGGATGTGCAGAGGATACAACACAAAAGACATGAAACAAAGTTGAATAAACAGGATGTGCAGCAAAGCGGAGATGCACAACAAGTGAATCAGACAGAAAATGCAGATGCACAAGTGTATCAGACAGAAAATACAGATGCATACATGCTAACCAAAACCAAATTGAGAACTAAGATGAACATTTTTGGCTAATGCTGTATTTTGCCAATTACAGTACAAGTTCATAACCCCTGAGACCATTCAGGCAAGACAGAATGGAAAAGACGACACATCACCTCTTTTGCAGGAACAGTGTTCATGATGAAAAATTGAAAACCACTAGTTAATTAGACTAAGCTACTACCTGTGATCTGTGTAATGGAACAGCAAGCAAGCAAGCACCTCCAGTTCATCAGAACTCCAATTCCCAGGCAGCTCTCTATATATATATCACTATATCAGAATCTGGTGAAGCCTCTGAATCATGCTGTAATTGCACAGTCAAAAAGATCATACAAGCTATGATGATCGAAGAATTGACTGAACGAATGATGGTACCTTAATCTTAAAGCACACTCCAAATGACACACAACTAATGAACAAAACCAGCGTGAAAAAAAAAATAATCAGAAACCCCTTCTCGTTTTCTCTGCATAACCAGTAGCGGGAGGACGAGATCCCGCGCTCGCGCTCGCGCGATGAACCATTCCCCTTTCGCTAACTCATGCAGTGCTACGACTACGAGTGATTTCCCCCATCCCGCGACGCGCAAAGCGGAGTGATGGTCGGAGTCGGAGAAGACGAGCACAAAGAGAGGGAGGAGCGTGTTGGGATCCGAACCTCGCGGCGACGACGACGGAGCGGCGATCGGCGGCGCTCCCGCCGGCGTCGAACCGGCGGCGGCCCGCGCCACCCACCCTACCCGCGGTCGCCGCCGCCGCGCCGGCGAGCCTCGCCTCCCTGCTGGGCCGGATCGGGCCGATGCTATGCTGGTCTACTCATAATGGGCCGAAACAGGTGGGACCCACTCTTAAATGGGCCGAATCTTCTCCGGCCCAACGAACTCCCAAGCGGAGGACTAGTCGTGTACTCCAAGTCGTAAGTCGTCTCCTCCAGTGAAGAAAAATAAAATTAAATAAAATTAAAAAATATTTTATTTTATTTTATTTTTAATTTGAAGCCCAACTTTAATTTCCTTCCTAACCAAGCAGTCAAGCACTTCATTCACCTTGCTCCCCTCCGCAAGCCGCCGCCGCAGCAACTCCGGCGAAATCCCCGGCCGCCGCCGCCGCCGCCCGCCGCCGCGATGAACGCGTCGCAGTTCATGGACAAACAGATCCTCGGCCTCGCGGCCTCGGGCGCCGGTGCGGCCGCCGCCGCCGCCGCCGCGTCGTCGTCCCCTCCCGCGGCGGGAGGAGGTGGGGGCGGCGGGCTGTTCGATCTGATGAGCCCCGACCCGCAGGAGGACGGCGGCGGCCACGCGCGCCGCGGGCAGCAGCAACACGGCGGCGCCGACGAGGTGGTGCCCAGCTACGACTTCCAGCCCATCCGCGCCGCTCCCGCCGCCGCGGCGCCGGCCTCCGCGGCGAGCCCTTGGGGGTCGCTCGACTCCAAGGCGGCGTCCTCCAACCTCAAGGTATCATCTCCCAGCCGAGGGCGCCTCCGATAGATCTGCTCAGCTCGCCTCGCCTCGCCTGCTTCACACACGAATTGAACAAGCGAAATTTCCAAACATTCGTAAGCTTGTGTGCTTTTCTTAGCCATAGGAATGTCCAGTTCTAGGTGATTGGTAATACTTTGTGACTCTGCGCTGTAGTGATGTCGAATTGATTGTGTGAAGTTGTGATTGCTCGTTTGCTATTACATGATTCAGATATAGAAAGGAAAGTGACATTTTAGTATTCGATGTTGGTGAAGATTGATGCCTTATCTGCTCATAAAGGGGAGACCACAGTGCTAGTTAGGATACTACTAGTTAGCTTGATTTCTACATTTAGCAGTTCAATGCTATTTCTGTGGAAATAACCCTGAGCCCCTGACTGTAATCACCACTGTATTACGATACTGAGCAGTTCAATCAGTTTGTTTTCCTAAAACCATTTGAGGATATTTTCAGATGCTACTCTGTTATGGGTAAATCATGCTCTTATCCCAAGAGGCAAAGACCCGAATATGTCAAGTGTTCACTTTGCTAGGCTTATACCCTTGTCAGGGAACGATGGATATTTGCCAGCATTGTTTTAATTTTGTGATTCTAATACTTTATCAATGGCCCTGATTTGTTTTGATTCCTTTATTTAGTTGGTTCTGATTGTTCAAGCCTTTAAGGTCTAGGTTAGATAGTTTGGCACTTTGCCCAAATAAGAAAAAAGAACTATCGTGAAAAATATGTAGGTTTTATATGATATTTTTTATTTGGCAATTTTGTGAATTTCTGATTTAGGTAATATAGCAATACAATTTGTTGCCAACTCATCAATCATTAACATGGACAATAATTACATGTATCTTTTCATCCCAAGTCCAGCAAATTACCTAATTTTTTGATACTTTGATTCATGGTCATTTATCAATTCATACAAGTGATCTGCCTCTCTTCCCTTGTGATATATTGCTTAACATGTTTATCCTCTCTCATTGTGCAAAGAGTGCTGGCATGTTGGAGTCTCATGTGCTCAAGAAGGTCAGTCACGAAGAAGAAAGGGGCAACTTCAGTGCAGTCTCCATAGCAGATATTGATCGCACAATGAAGAAATATGCTGATAACCTGCTACATGCACTGGAAAGTGTAAGCTCAAGGCTATCACAGCTAGAGGGCAGAACACACCATCTTGAGAACTCTGTTGGTGAGTTGAAGCTAATAATTGGTAACTACAATGGCAGCACTGATGGAAAACTGAGACAATTTGAGAACACACTGCGTGAGGTAAGCTTCCCTCTCTTTTACTGTTAGACAATATGCTGTAATATCTGAATTGGTAACCAATTTATGGATTTGATTATCAAGAGGTAAAGTAAGTAACCAATTTATGGATTTGATTATCAAGAGGTAAAGTAATTTAGTTTTCTATTGAGTAACAGTAGTCTTTTCTTTACCTTCCCATGTGAAATGCTGCTATTTTTATTTTTATCCTTTTGAGAGAAAAAAGCTGAAGCCAGTATTCTAAGTTTTTGTCTTCTTTTTTGTGTATTTATATGAATAGTAAAATGTACAGCTTCTACTTTACCCTGTCTTGGCTTATTTGATTATTAATGGTCCATAGCTTCACATGCCCTAGCTGGGTTGCGACATTGGTTATAGTTACTATTTGTGATTTAAAGGACAATAACATGAGCAGGGAGCTAATATGTACCTTAACTGAGTTTATTCTTTAACTATAAGTATATGCAGTTTGCCTGGTGTTGTAGTCTTTAAGTTGTGATATAATTGTCTTGAACATTACTAAAAACTGCTTATTTGGTTCTAATTTGTATTAATTTGTTTTATACCATTGTGAGGGCATCCCGTATCTTACTATGGCATGTGCTACGTGTAGGTTCAAGCTGGTGTGCAGATTTTGCGTGACAAGCAAGAAATTGTTGAGACACAGGTCCAACTTTCAAAGCTCCAATTGTCAAAAGCAGAGGATGCTCAATCAGAAAAGGCTGGTGTTGGTCAGGCAGATTCAAGGCAGCAGCCAACTCTACCCCAACCTCAGCATCAAGCCCCTCCGCCTTCCCATCCACCGGCATTGCCTGCCCTTCCTGCTCCAAATGCACCACCTCCACCTGCACCCCAAAGCCAACCTCCATCACAATTCCCAGGCCATTTACCACATTCCCAGGTGCAATCAGTCCCACCTGCTCCACCGACTCCATTAGCACCAACCATACCACAGGAGTCCTACTATCCCCCGTCAGCAGTACAGCCAACTGACACCACACACCAGCAGTATCAAGCTCCACCCGCCCCACAGTCGCAGGCACCTCCAGCACCACCACAGCATTATCAAACACCACCTCAGTATGCTCAGTATTCTCAGCCTCCTCCTGCAAGTGCTAACCCCTCAACTGCAGTCCCACCGTCAGTGCATCAGCAGCCTGAAGAAGTAGCAGCGCCGTATGGCCCTCCTCCTCAGAGCTATCCCCCAAATGTGCGCCTGCCATCTCCTTATGTGCCACCACCTAGCGGGCCTGCACCTCCTTTCTATGGTCCAAACCCTGGCATGTATGAGCCTCCAGCAGTCCGGCCAAACTCCGGGCCACCTCCATCCTACAATACTGGATACAAACCACAGGGTGGAGGCGGTTTCCCCGAGCCATATGGTTACAGTGGATCTCCATCTCACCGTGGCAATGCTGGAATGAAGTCGCCCTCGCCGTTTCATCCAACAGGCTCTGCGGGAAGCGGCAACTACAGCAGGCTCCCTACAGCTCAAATGCTGCCCCAAGCCGCGTCAGCGAGCTCCACCCCAAGCGCCTCCTCGGGCAACAGGGTGCCGATTGATGACGTGGTAGACAAGGTTGCCACGATGGGGTTCTCGAGGGAGCAGGTGAGAGCGGCCGTTCGCCAGCTGACCGAGAGCGGTCAGAACGTCGACCTGAACATGGTGCTTGATAAGGTGATGAACGGCGCCGACGCCCAGCCCCAGAGAGGCTGGCACGGGCGTTAAAAGCTCAGCTGCTATCCAGGGCCATGAAGCGCTCTCCCATCAACCTGTGCATATCACTGAACATCCAATCCACGGAGTCATTTTGTGCATTCGCGTGAACGTCAGATTCGGAATTCATATTGTCGATTTGGTGGGGAACAGACCAGGTCTGCTCGATTTGCTGTTGGTGATCTTACAGCAAGTGTTCTTTATCTCTTTGATTCGCCTGGTGTTGGTTGGTACTAGCAGTAGTACTAAAACTTGGTATCTGATCTCCAAAAACGAGTTTTTCTAGAGATGGTGTTATGGTTGTTATCCACTGATGATATGTTAATGATTCACGGGCTGCACTGTTCTGTTTAACTAGTCACGCTGCTAAGCTGCCTTCCAGTTTCCAGAAACACATTCTGCCGGACTGATGATTGATTACCCGATATTGTGTTGTGATAGCGTACGTTGTGATGAGTCGCTGGGAGAGCTGTTTGTTGTCTGCCCAAGACGGACAGCTCGGGACGAAATACACTGAAGCAGAAGGGAAATTTCGATAATCGAAATCGTCTCGAAACTTTGGAACGACATTTCGAGAACACAACAGAAATTTAAGAAAATTTGGCTAGCATATGCAGCATGCTTGATGCGGATGCATCTGATCTCCATCCAAGCTGTCTTCCCCGGCCGGATCGATCTCTCACCACGACCTTGGCTTCGAGGTGGTAAGGTTGTTTCCCACCGAAAAATTTCGGATATTTCGGAAACCCTCTCGAATTATATCAAGACAATCGAAATTTCGGAAATATAGTTCCCACCGAAATATCGGATATTTCGGAAACCCTCTCGAAATACAATCGAAATTTCGGAAATTTAGCGCCTACGGTTTCCCACCGAAAATTTCGGATATTTCGGAAACCCTCTCGGAAATATACAACCGAAATTTCGGAAATTTAGTGCCTAGGGTTGCGTTGATCCCTCACTTTGCCGCCCCAACCTCGCCATCTATCTATAAGCAGCCTGGCCGCCGACGGCGGTGGTCGACGGCGACGCCGTCACCAAGCACAAGCGCTCCAACGCCGGCGCCGGACCGGGCGACGAGGATCCATGGCGCCGCCGCCGCCGCCAGCGAAGAGGAGGGATATATATACGTTCGTGAATCTTTGACGAAGAGGCTGGACCGGCCCGATCATCGCCGAGGTCTTGGGGAAAGATCCACACTCGCCCATTGCTTGACGGCCAGCCTATTCCCAACGAAAGGCTGGAATCTCTCTCGAATGCGACGCTTGGAATCTTTGGATAGATAAATTATGGACTTGGATATGCGTTCTTCGACTTCGTCGACCAGCACCGCGCCAATGGGATCGACGACGAGGGGGTTAGCGGCTCGATCGCCGCCGGCGACGACGAAGACGACGGCGAAGAGAGGAAAGGACTATGTGGGCCGGCCGGTGTGGCGGTGCCAGCAGTAACTGACATCAAGCGCGTGTGTAGATGAATGGAGACAAAGTTATACGCGTATTACTCAAACAAATCCACGAGAGAAATTTTGGGAATTTTCGAACAGGATTTATATTCAAGCAAATTCTATATAATCAAACATGAAATTTAGTGCAGTGTTTTCGATTCAGGCAAAGCAAATTTTGCTTGCTTGCTTGCTTTTGTTCTAGTACACTACACCACTCTGCAATGCATATATCATGCACGCACGGAGATTTTAATTAAGCTTCTCTAAATTTCTGAGCCCACCGAAATTTCGGGAATTTCAAGATCCTCTCGGAAATTTCGAAAGATATTTGTCATACTTTCGGAAATTTCGGGAATATCGCAATCCTCGCGAACGAAATATCCAACAGAAATCGAAATTTCAGAAATTCCGCGCCGAAGAACTAGCTTGCGCGCGCGAGTGATTCTGCCGCCGGCCGCCGCAGACGGAACTCCTCGATGCTGCTCTCGTGTTTCCACCGGCGGGCCGGCCGGCTCGGACGCCGGCGGCGGCGGCGGCGAGCATCAGAACCTCACCGTCACTATACCACGAAACAGCCCGATGTACCACGAACTTGATCCACGAGCACTAGCAGAATCTCACCGTCACTATAACAAGGGTGGGTTCTTTCCCTAGTTTTCTCGGCTTCTACTCTCTCGTTTTTCACATGCAATGCTTCCTAAAGTGCTAAATGATGTGTTTTTTAAAAAAAATTCAATATGAAAGTTACTTTATAAAATTATATTAATCCAGTAATTTTAAGCTACTACTTACTACATCCGTTCTAAAATGTGATTTGTACCAAAATGAAGCTATTTTTTCACCTGCCCTCTTATCTCAACCAATCGCAACCATTCTCTTCTCCACCAATCATAACCCTTCTTTAATTATCTATACCTACTTTCTTAATATCTGTGCCTACCTAAAAAATGTTTATATTATGGGATGGAGGAAGTATTTGGGTGTAGCTCAATTCTATTTTTTTTTTTTGAGAAAATTGTAATCCTTAATTTGTATAGGCAAATTAGCTCAAAGGATACACTCACTAATTACTATGAAAAATTTAATTACAAGCTTGTTACAAGCCCAAGGCGCGAACACAGGGCGTCTCTATCCTTTCCATTAAATTAAGTTTAGAATTTAAGTGTGTGCTTCATATGTATCCAAACTTATATGAACGTTAGTGAAACTAGATAATGAATGGAGATACCAAAACGTCTTATAATATAGAACAAAAGAATAATAATATTTATAAAATATCTACTATTATCGATACCTATATGCATGTTAAAAAAAATGCTTAGGATAAGATTTTATTTAACTTTTAAAACTCTAACAAATAATGACTTCTCAAATACTTAGTTTTCAAAATATAAACAAAAGGTATGTTCGTGGAATAGTCTTGAAAAGTACGATAATAACAGCGTAACTTTGGAATGTTTCATAAATTTCTATATTCTAACATAAAAATCGATGGTCAAATTAAAGTTTTAAAATTTCGGCCAGCCTTATCCTAAAGGTTATTTAGGAGAGTGGATATACAGTGTAAGCGCCAGTATTAGGTGACATCGACCACTTTCGATAAAATTTATGGTTAAACTACTTATCAACATATTATAACATTATGGTTTAAGTATAATTAGTACACTATGACACTGATAGGCACGTTATGACATCAAGAATATTTTTTTTGGCCCGCCACTATATATTTATGAAAAAAAAAGAGTACTAGTTTCCTTTCCTGGTTTTTCCAAAGAGCGGTCAGGCGCATAAAAGGAAGTTCTCGTTTCTCAAGAGTAGGAAAAAAGAAAGGAGGATTTTGAAACTCTATGGACACATGGAAAGGCTAATGGGCGGGTGATCGCTCCCCTACCCGCCCACCCTCTCCCCCGTACTACTAGATGTACTCCTCTCTCTTCTCCCCCTTCCTCCTCTCCTTCTCCTCTTTCTACTGCAGTAGACCACATAAAAATTTTTGAAAAACAAAAGTTAGAAAAATTTATGTATAAAAATATTATATATAAAAATTTGAATTCAAATTTAAATTTGAATCGGGTATGTAAACTTGCGACTTATAAACTTTGGGTCTATAAACTTTAGGTGTATAAACTTTAGATGTATAGAAATACTATATATAGAAAATATTTGAATTCAAATTCAAATTTGAATCAGATATAATTCAAATTCAATTTTGAATCGGGTATATAAACTTTAGGTCTATAAACTTTAGGTGTATAAACTTTAGATGTATAGAAATACTATATATGAAAAATATTTGAATTCAAATTCAAATTTGAATCAGATATTTGAATTCAAATTCAAATTTGAAACGGGTATATAAACTTTTAACTTATAAACTTTAGGTCTATAAACTTTAGATGTACAGAAATACTATATATAAAAAAATATTTGAATTCAAATTTAAATTTGAATCGGATATATAAACTTTTAACTTATAAACTTTTGGTCTCTAAACTTTAGATGTGTAAACTTTAGGTGTATAAACTTTAGGTGTATAAATTTACTAAAATAGGAAAGTAATGCGGTGCCAAAAAAGGAAACCAGGTGAAGGGAGAGAGGGGGGAGGTGGGGAGCGAATCTGATCGCTACCCCATCCCCACGGCGATCGATCGCCCATTAGAGGTACCCATGGACACAATGCATGGGATATATATATGGAAATGAACATGCATGAGATAATCCAAGCTCTTTGCGGTTGCTGATGTGGATGATGAGCCTGAATGTTGACACAATTAATGGCACTGTCAGCGATTATTCCACAGCTGAAATATCTTTAAACAGTTCAAAATATGATCAACTAAGGCCCTGTTTCTTTCAGCTTGGGATTATTATAATCCAGATTATTGGGAGTAAGCTGAAAGAAACAGACAACTTATTGAAGTAGCTTATTATAATCTGGAGCCTAGCTTATTATAATCTGATAAACTCATTTAGGTGAGCTTTTTCCAGATTATTGGGTAAAAAATTACCCACCATGCCACCCCACTCCCTCTTTAGACTTACAAACCCAATAATCTAGGCTCTAATAATTTAGGAAAGAAACAACTAACCGCTTATGCTACTACAGATTATAACAATCTAGTTTATAGTAATCTGACTCAATAATCTAGATTATAATAATCCCAAGCTGAAAGAAACAGGGCCTGAATACATTCAAAGTAATCCTATAAATTATTTCACGAACGCAAAAAAAAAGAAAAGAAATTACACGTCATTCTATTAGAAGAAGTAAATTAAGGAAATTAAGTTTTTACACGACGCACAGCCATATCGCCCAACCATCTACTCTCCCAAATCAAGCTCCTACACTACAATAAAAATGCTTTGTAGAGACATTTTTCTAGTACTATAGAGGTACTTATCAAATGACTTTACAACAATGTAGAGGCATTTTAAAAAATGTCTAATAAGTGTCTTATGGTGAATTGTCTCTACAAACGAAAAGACATTTTATAAAATGTCTATAAGATGGTAGAGGCATTTTCTAGAGACATTAAATTGTACCGCAAACATATAAAACCAATCCAAAAAAGATAATAAAATAGTTTCCTTGGTTTTGACAAGTGTTGAACTCATGATCTCTTGATTCAATCATTTTAATCTTCAATACACTAACCAACTCAACTCCATGTCATTACTTGTATGCTTGGTCCTCTAGTTATTTATATTTAGTCCTTTAGTACATATTATCATTCTAAAAAGTGTCTCTACATAGTTTAAAATGTCTCAACGAAATGCCTTTATATATTAGACGCATTTTATAGTGCCGAAAGAATGCCTCTACGAGATAAAATCTAACAAACTGATCTAAAAATGTCTCTAGAGTAAAAGTTTTCTAGGCAATTTTTAAAGTGCCTCTATAAAGTGTCTCTACACTATAAAACTTCTGATTTTAGAAGCAATTTGCAAAACGTCTCTACAAAAGTGCCTCTATACGAGGTTTTTGTTGTAGTGAGCTAGAAGAACTAGATGCAATTAAAATACAAAAACAAATTAAAATTAAGTAGCAGATTACCCAGCCGCGCGTATTTTCATTCACCTAATTAATTAATCGCAAGCCAGAAAATCACAACACATATATACTTAATTATGATCCATATTGATATCCAACCAGCCACAAACTCACAAATTAAAGTCTCACAACACAACATCGAAATTTTAAGAGTCGATCCAAAATTATATAGAGTTTTGGACTAATATTAACCAAAGCACATTACCATGCATGCACCCCAGATCGATATCTAGAACCGAACTTGATGAAGCAACCAAAGACGACGACGATAACTAATTAAGCTTGATCTTAATCCTCGCAACTTAACTGACCATCTCATCGTCGACATCGATCAAGATTCAAGATCAAGCCCTAGCTGGGGCGAGCTCGCTCGCTCGATCGACCGATCAGTTCATGGCGGCGAGGCGGTCGACGAAGATGGCGAACGCCTCGTCGGTGTCGAGCATGCTGATCCTGACCACCCTCCCGTCGGCGCCGAACTTGCCGCCGCCGCGGCTGATGATCTTGCGCTCGCGCAGGTACCCCTCCAGGTCGTCCACCCCTTCCTTCCCGCAGCGCAGCCACGCGAACGCTGCACCCAAATCAAATCACATCATCAATGGCGATCGATCGAACACAAACATGTCAGCAATGGCGATGCGATCGAGCTTCGTGTGTGTGTCCGTACGGGGGTAGGCGGAGACGGTCTCGTTGGCGAAGGTGCAGTGGCCGGGGAGCTCGTCGGGGAGGGTGAAGATGCCGGAGGCGGCGACGGCGGCGCGGAGCTTGGCCCAGCGAGAGACCATCTTGCGGCGGGCGAAGTGGAACAGTCGGCTCGAGTCGTCGTCGTCGTCGCCGGCGGCGGGCGCGCGGTCGTAGCCGTCGGTGATGGCCTTGAGGATCTTGGCGGCGCGGAGCTGCGAGTCCTTGGAGACGCCGATGGTGTTGAGCTCGATGAACTTGCTCATCTTCTGCGCCACCGCCCTGTCCTTCACCAGCGCCCACCTGTGCCAAAAAAAGCCAATCACATTGAGCCAAAATTTGTTCGAATTTCAAAAGTATTCGTACGATGAAATTTGTGTGTACGTACCCGAGGCGGGTGCCGGCGTGGCCGGTGCACTTGGAGACGGTGAAGAGCATGATGTCATGGGCGGCGGCGCTGGTGATGGGGGTGTACTGCGGCCAGTAGTAGGCGAGGTCGTGGACGGCGACGCCGTCGCCGGACTTGAGCACGGCCTCGCGGATGCCGCCGTCCGGGTTGCTCGGCGAGCAGACGAGCTCGACGTAGGTGTCGCCGTCGAACATCTTGGCGTCGCCGGCCCACCTGTACAGCCCCGACTTGAGGAAATCCGTCACCGCCGGGTACGACTGCGCCCCGCCACGCCGCATCCACACAACACAAAAGATATATTGTGTCAAACAAAAATAAAGATTAAATCATGTCAAGATCAATCGTACTTCCTCCGTTTTACAATGTAAGTCATTCTAATATTTCCCACAGTTCATTAACATTCATACTTCCTTCTAGATAGATATATGTCTAGATTCATTAACATCAATATGAATGTAGGAAATGTTAGAATGACTTACATTGTGAAACGGAGGGAGTATTTAACTTTACCATTTCTATCATTTCGAGTTGGTAATATCAGTCTATCTTGTTGATGTATTTCTTTTAAAAAAAATCGCAACAACTTAGATGATATGCGAACTATGAGAGAATGTCACCTCTCGAGAGTTTAGAATAGTTTCCCTATCAAGATCAATCAGAAAAGAGTAATTTTACTATATTTGAGAATGTAGTTAGAGGTATCACATTTACTAGCATAAAACTTATATTTGTACTTATCAATTTTTAATGTGAAATTTAATTAGGTACTTCTCAAAACTTTTAATGTGAAATTTAGGTATCTCAAGACACTTTCTCGAGGAAGAAATTTTACGGATACTGAGAAAATACCTCGTAGTACCTAAGTTTTACACTAGAAATAAGAATTTTGGTACCAAGTTTTATAAAATAAAACTTGGCACCTCCATGTACTTTCTTAAAGATATTAAATAAATCTACCTTTCTCAAGGACACTAAAATTTCTAATGAGAAAACGAAAAACTACCTTTTTCAAGGATGAAGATACCACTAGAAAACATGGCATCTCCAAGTACTTTTCCAAAAATGATAAAACTACATTTTTCAAGAACTGTAAAATTTCTCATCTGGAAAAGGAAAAAACAAATTTGATTGCAAGTGATGAAATCGGATTGATAAATTACGGAGTAGTATGGTGCGGGGGAGACGACGTTCATGGGGGCGGAGGGGCCCGGCGGCGAGAGGGCGTAGAGCGCGGCCTGGAAGAGCTGGGTGGATCCGGTGCCGACGAGCACGTGGTAGCCGTCGGCGACGGCGTTGCCGACGAGGCGGTGGAGGCGGCGCACCTCCCGCTCCAACCCGGGCTCCAGGAACCAGCACAGGCTGCCCACGTCGGAGAAGTAGCTCATCGTCTGCCACCCCGGGATCACGATCGTCGCCCTCTCCCCGGCGCCGCCGCGCCAGAACGCCTCGTACATCGTCGGGTCGCCGCTGCGCCGCCATCACCACAAAGAGATCAAGATCGGAACAAAACTCACTCGCCACGCCACGCCGCGCCACGCCGCGCCGCGTCGCGACGCGAGGCGTCACGTGTACAGTGCCATGCATGGACGAACAGGTGGTCGAGATCGATCGATCGATCCATCGATCCACCGGCGGCGGATCAGACGAGAACACTTACTGGTCGAGGTTGATGATTGAGTCCTTGGTCACCGGCGGCTTCCCGGAGGACGGCGCGACCTCCGCCTCCGCCTTCTTCCTCACCGCGGCGGCGTCGTCACCGCCGAAGTATCTCCGGCGGAGGTAGAACGCGAGCGCGGCGAGGTTGAACGCCACGGAGGCGACCACCCCGAGCCTCCCAGCCTGCGCCGCCATCCCGCCACCGCCGCCGCCGCCATCCTTGCTGCCCATCGCCGCCATGACCAACTCACACTCACTCTCCCTTCTCCTCTCTATTTATAGATAGGGGAAGTGGTTGGAGACTGGAGCTGAGATAGGGGTCCCCTATTTATATCTAAATCGCGTACACGTTTCTTCCTATTTTTAGCAAGCACGGCGTCGCCGGCGCCGGAATATTTCCTCCGCCGGCGCCGACAAGGCTACCGGCGGCGGCGGCGGCGGCCGGAGGAGATCTCGCCGGCGAGGGAGCACGTGGGGGGAGCGAGCGGTTTCGATCGAGATCACGAGGAGCATGGAGAGTTTGTTCGATTTGTTTGGTTGCCCCGGATTAAGGAAAGAAAAGAACTCCATCGATCGTTAAACCTCGGTGATTAAGGTTAATGACAGTGCGCATCATGCAATAATGACATGTGTACTTGATTTATTTGGAAATTTTAAAATTGGAAATTAGAGTTGGTGTAAAAAGTATATATAGAAACTGGTTTTATTTGGAAAATTGGAATGCAGGCACAGTCATGCAACCGGGGTTAATTAATTGGATCTTGTTGAGTGCTAACCTGTGTTAGAGGCGATGACTGCATGCATGCTTTTGTTTGGAACTTTTCTTTATTTAGATTAGCATATGACTCAGATCTATTCGCGTGGATAAGTACAATTGCCATATTTTAACTTAGGCCCTTATTATATATAGAGTAAATTTCACAAAACTACATATATATTGACCAAATTATCACAAAACTACATATTTAAGGAGTTATATCACAAAACTACACATTTAGCACCAAATTTATCACAAAACTGCAGATTTTAGGTTAAGTATCACAAAAATGCATATTTAATATTGAACTTATCACAAAACTACAACTTTTGGAGTTTAAATCCCTAGCACCATTGTTATGGTGGAGCTATAAACATTATTACTTTGTGATTAAATTGGTTCTAAACCTGTAGTTTTATGATAATTTAGTTACTAAACGTGTAGTTTTGTGACACTTCATCTTAAATGTGGAGTTTTGTGATAAATTTAGTGCTAAATATGTAGTTTTGTGATACAACTCCTCAAATCTGTAGTTTTATGATAGTTTGGTCATAGTATCTGTAGTTTTGTGAAATTTACTCTTATATATATATATTGGAAGAAGAAATTAAAATAGCTGCATATGCAAGAACAATATACAGAGAAAACTCTATTAATTTGATCTCCCTGAAAGATTATGCATATTATTGTTATAGAAACATTAGTTATTTTTTTCTTGATGAAATTTATATATCGAATCTTAGACGTCGATTGATCATATCAACAACTTACATTTGCTTGGGTCATTAGTTTTTTTTTTACGAGGAGCAGAGGTAGAGTTGCATAATATGTTGAAAAGAAACACGTGAGTATATCTATAAACGGTTTATAGTTAAATAGATATAGTGAAAACCGACAAACGGATGTCGCCTTGCGCATTTTCCATAATTGGAAAGAATGATATGTTTTGGTTGGGTACGCGTTTAACGTTTTGTATATTGGAAAGTAACCTATATTATAAGGTGGTGTGTGTGATATCCTTAAACTATACTAAAATAGATTGACAACCTCCATCGAAAGCGACAAAAAAACCGTTCCACAATTTCAAATACAACAAAAGCGCGGGAAAGAATAGAAAGAGTGTGCTTACTCTTACATCCTGTAATTATAAGACCTCTACATGTATGGTCTCATCCCTATGCAAATAACCTTGGGTGGTTTTTCCATCGGTTCAGTGATGCTAGCAACCATCAATGAAATATTTTTATTTTGACAATGCATTTAGCAATATATATATATATATAGTCTGGCACCCAATTATCTACTAAGATATATGGGATAATGGTTTTGTTTGTTCAAGGAATAAATATCCAATATGGAGTGATAAAGCAGGTAAAGACATTGCACATTGCGTGACATAATTTATACAAGCTTCCAAACAAAACAAAGTGTAATCATCTTTCAGCATAACACCACCACTTAAATATACACGTGTTATACAAAACATCAAATGTACCCAAGAAGAGTCTGAAACGAAACGATATAAAGTACTATTGTGGGATAAGTCCATTTGACAATTCTAAACTCTTCACTTTATCTAAAACTCACCCCTAAACATCAAAAACACGTATTTGACAACACCCTCGCCCCTTGTCCAAACAAAAAATGGTTGGTTAAATATTGCTAAGTGCTAACCTGTTAGGTGGAAATGACTGCATGTTTTTTTTATAACTTTTCCTAATAAGCTATTCGTTAGATTAATTAGTATGGATTGGTTAGACTCGATATATTTGCATGGATAAGTACACTTGCTTCTTTTAACTTAGCCTCATTGGAAGAAGAAAATAGCTGCAAGAGCAATACTTAGGAAAACTATTTTGATCTCTCGAGCACTAGAAATATATTGTTGTTAAGAAACATGAGTTAAATTTTTCTTAATGAAACATCTAGAATCTTAGATGTCTATTGATCAGATTAAATAACATAAATTGGCTTGGGTCATTAGTTGTTTTTACTTTTTACAAGGAAGAGCAGGGTTAGAGTTGTAAAATATATTTTAAAAAAATGAGCATGTGCATATATCTATGAGCGGGTCATATAGTTAAAGCAGATATGGTTTGGCGGTTCATATAGTTAAAGCAGGTATAGCGCAAATCGACAAATGGCGGGTGTTGTTCATGCACTTTCCGTAATTGGAAAGAATGATGTCCTTAGTTGGGGAGTTGCACGTTCGTTGCATTATGCGTTTTTAACATTTTGTATATTAGAAAGTAACCTAAATTATGAGATTGTGTGCGTTTGATATCATTATATTATACTAGAGTCACTTGACAACCCCGTTGAAAGCGACAAAAAAACCGTACCACAATTTCAAATAGAACAAAATCATAGGAAAAGAAAAAAAAGAAGAGTATGCTTACTCTTGCATCTTATAATTATAAGATCTCTGTATATATGGTTTCATCCCTATGCAAATACCCCTTAAGCACTTTTACCATCGGTTTTCAGTGATGCTAGCAACCACCTATGAAATAATTTTATTTTTAAAATGCAAGTAGCAACATATGAACTGAAATGTCTGGCACCAGATTATCCACCAAGATGGGAATTTATGGTTTAATTTGTTTATTCAACGAAAATAAATAGTAAATTGCACATTGCACATTGCGTGGCATAATTTACATAAGTTGTAACAAAACAAGCGTAAAGCATCTTTGAGCATAACACCACTACCTAAATGTACACGTGTCATAGAAACATCAATCTGTACAGCAGAAGAGTGTGAAATGATAAAGTACGTTTGTCACACCCACAACTGTACATATCACACTTTCCCTGATCCTCGGCCTTTCTTTTCCATCAAATCTAGCTAGCTAAATTCTAAGCTTATAATGATCAAAACATGGTGTTGGTGGGGAAGCACCGATGTTATGCACATATGCGTCTTCCATGTAATCGAAAAGATCACGGTGTTTGCGCTCTTAAAAAATCAAATGAAAACGGATCTCTGGTTCCAGATTTTCAGATGTTGTGTGCGTATACGTCTTCCATGTATCAAAAAGATTATTATGTTTGTGCTTTTAAAAAATCAAATGAAAAAGTCTCTTTGGTTCCGGATTTTCAGTCCAAAGTTCATGAACATTATATTACATGTTGAATGAAGTATTTAATTTATAGAAAAAGGTCTCAATACACCAAAACTTAAAGTTGGTCCCGTTTGTCGATGCTTATTAACTATGCATACAAGTTAAAATAAAATTATAAGTTTCACAAAAACAAACTACTTTTTATTTGGACAGTTTTAAAGCCAAAAGCCATATATGAGAGCAGCTTTTTTCGCTGGCGTTATTATGCGTAAAGATTGCTTATGCTTGCAGTTTTGTACTTTTGCATAACTCAAAAGTCAAAGGCATATACTTGGTGAGGTTGCTTCTCGCGTTTCAAATTTCTTAATTTTTGGCAGATAGCAGCTGGCCAGATTTTTGTGTTGGTAATCCAAAATGATGTAATAAATAACTAATAAAACAAGATGAAGGCAGGGAGAAATCCCTCCACTACGAATTTAAAGTTACAACTAGGTCACATCCGGTGGGAAATGACTCATTCCTAAGAAATTTATACATTTCAGTTAAGCTTACTGATGTAGAAAAGCCAACAAAAAAAAGACTAACCCCTAATATGTGCAAAAATTACGCCTAATTCGGAATGAAATAGCCTATGCTGATTAACCTTGCTAGTGAGAAATGTTACTAGAGAGAACAGTACGCATTGAACTTAGTCAGACCATCTAGATATAAACTGAGATGATGGTATGACCCACCATGAAGCTCAGGTGTTTGGAGTTCTTCACAAAGATTTGCTGGCCTTCAGAAACAGGTGATATTCCTTGAGCATCATCTCCCCGCCATTTACAGGGTCAAAGCTGTATCTGTAGAAACTGAATGTGCCAAAAAATTGTTGTTGTAATTAGTCGAAAATATTTCTCAGAAGACAAACCCATGACAATGCAATATTCAGCAAATAATTAATACATCATCAAAATCTAAATAAGGTTTATGCTAGTATTGCACGGACTACTTCAGTCCAACCTACTTAACTGATGCTATCCCCTGTCTAACTACACAATGCTATGGCATTTTAAACAATAATCCCAATAAAATATAATCCAAAAGAAGTACATATAGGAAGGCAGAAGTTACAGATCCAGATTGACTTGAACGAGCATGATTGCTCAATAAAAAAACAAAGAAAGAAACAGGGAACTGCTTACATTGCATATTTCTTTTGTTATTTTAATTTGAGTAGCAAATTGCCAAAAATAAAAAGTTATGGTGTGCACAATCATCGTTTGAAGAATCTGCAGACTGGATCTTTTCAATCCCTTTTAGCAATATGAATTAATTCCCAACATGCTTATCAGATTTTACCAAAGAATATTGACATTATTTTGCTTAGACATACATTTCTTGGGGGACGTTTGAATTTAGTAAGCATGTGAGTTTCACCGACAAGAAGGCCCCACATGTCACTGATAGAGGTGGTGGCCATCACCGCTACTACCTTTTAAAGTAGTATAGATAGTCTTTGAGATGTGACTTTTATCATTACATTTTTAACTTTACATCACTGGAATTTATATAGGTTGCAATATGACAAAAGTAATTCTTCGTGACAAAATCTAGCTTTGATAAAAGTTATTCCGAGTTTTCACATATCTAGCTTTGGCAGTTTTAAATATTTTTAAAACTTGGAATGTTAGAACAAAAGTAAAACACCATGTTTGTAAACTAAACAAAATGTCTAAAACCCATTTCTTAATTATCCTCTGTTGTCTTTTGTAAAGAAAGAGTACCTGCCATCAAGACCGATCATCATTACAGTGTCTTGATCTCCAAATGCCATAATATACCGCGTGATTTCTGGTAAACGGAACTGAGCAAAAGACCATTCTGAACTGAAGTATTTCGGCAGAATCCCTGTAAATTTTCAATGTATATAAGGAATTTGAACAGGAAATACAGATGGAAGAGCAAAAAATATGTATTGTCAACCCCCATGCAGAAGATAAAATTGAGTTTCTTTTCTCTATCGGCTCGACTTTAAACTCTCAAAGCCCACATGCCAATATAGTTAACAAAGAAATAGTTTTGTTCTTTGTGTAGTGTATATGAAACACCCCCTATAGTAATGGTTGGCAAACTGTAGCAAAGTATGGCTAGCAACCAAACACCCCCTAAAGTAAACAAATGAAATGGGATCGTAATTTGTAAAGTTGTCGCGGCCATGTTAATGGTATCATGGTATTAGCACACAAGAAGGGGACTGTACCGCATTACCAATTAGAATCACAGTACCGAGCATAAAAGAAGCTATCAACTTTGTTATGAGCTATAAGATGCTAAATACATACATGTCCCAGAACTGAGACAACACAAGTTTTCTATGTAAAATGCTTTTGCAAGGAAGTTTCACCAAAAAAAAAAAAAACTAGTGAAGACAATATTTGAATAACTGACAATACTGTATTTTAAAATTGATTGAAATATTACAAAGAGATAACTTACTAGCCCATAAGATTCAAACCTTAATCAACTAACCTTTCATGAAAGACAGGGATGAGCTCGTATTGGATCCAATCTTTGTTTGTGTAACTGGAACCGTAGAACCATAGTTGCAATTGTCATTCACCTGTGCACCTGCAGTTGCAGACTCCCCCTTTTTTGCATCCTCCTCTGCATCTTTCACCCTCAGACTGAAGACATGCACCGTTCCTTTGTCACTGGAGACTGCTAGCCACTGCACATTTGGTGACAGTGCAATGCTATATATCTCAGCTCTGTCAAGTCCTCTCCGCACCTAAATAGCAAGACGAGTACATTACTGTTTTTTTTTTTGAAGGTAAGTACATTACTGGTTACTGCTGAACATTTGTAAATTACATAGACTATAGCAAGGAAACATTTATGATATCCAAAGACATAACAATGATATAACAAAAGAAACAAAAGATTATTTTGCAGCGCAAACAAAAAAAGAAAAAAAAACAGCCTCACCTCCTGCACGCAGGTGCCGTCCCTAGTGTTGAATATCCTGATCAAAGTACCCCTGACACTGGCAGTAGCCAAGAGTGTTCCATCCAAGGCCATTGTCATGCACGAAAGGGGCGAGTCATGAGCAGCAATGAACCTGGTCTCCTTCAACCCGAAATGCTCAATGAGAACCTGCCCCTTGGACGTCCCAGGGCAGGCGAAAACGGAGGCGTTTGCGTGATGAGACAGGCAGCACAGCCCATTCGGGTTCGACACCGTCCTAGCCTGGTAGAACAGCCTCAGGTCCTTGAACCTGTAAACATTGATGGTCTTCTCAAGAACAACCACAAAGTAGTCCTTGGACAGCCTGACGGCTCGGATCTCGCTTGTGAAGTTGTACTTGTGGATGCGGCGTTCGTTGTAATCGTCCCAGAGCTGGAGCATGGTGGGTGGGAACTCGGTGTTGGACTCTGCACCTGCCAATCCGAATATGCTGGTGCGGAACAGCATCTCGGCGATTCCAATCCCTCCATTGGGGCCAAACATCCTCCTCATGGTCTCGTGGAAGGGCTTGCAACTGAAGACCCTGAAGCCATTGGTGGTTGCTGCAATGAAGCAGCTGTTGTCCTGGTTCCAAGAAACCGACAGCAACTCCACCCCATCGTCATCACTGCCAGATGCTTCTTCAACATGGCCCATAGGTGAAAAAGACTGAAGATTATGGCACGCAAGTGAGGTTAATCACCAAGATTCTGGCAGCAGAAATTGCCCCCTTCTTTTTTCAGAATTCAGAGTGAACCAATCGCTCCTAGAACAGTAGAGTAGAACGGCTTGTTCAGAGCACAAGAACTGAGCACTGTCGAACAATTATGCTCCTCAAGAACCTAAATCATATACATACAGAAAACATCATCAAGATGATAGAAAGCTAAGGAAAGCTATCATGTACATACAGAAAACATCATCAAGATGATAGAAAGCTAAGGAAAACGAGCACTAAATCAAGCAGAGATGGCCCTGAAATCTAAGATTTGATCTCTATAATAAATAACATCAGTTGCCTCTCCAATACTCCATAGTCAATCCATACACGCTAACAAGTAACAAGAGATTAGAACCAATGGCCTCGCCGCAAGAGCGCAAAAGGCAGGGAAAAATCAAACGCCGACGGCCGATCAACACCCCGCAAAAGAATCAGCCAACCGCCAAACCCAGAGGTTAACACGACGGGAATCAAACCTAACCAAGAGAGAGAGAGAGAGGAAGTAGGGGCACGTACCTACCTACCTACCTACCTAGCTCTTTCCCGCAGCCGTGGGATCGGGAATGCGGGGGCGGCGGCGCGGTCGCCGGCGGAGTTCCGGGGAGCTCGAGCTATCGGCGGAGGCAGCGAGCGGGAGTTTGGGCGGGCGCGCTCGCGGTCGCGGCCATGGTGGAGCGCTAGATGACGAGCGATGCCGTTCCGCTTCGGTGTTCAACTCGGGTTTGTTTGGCGTGGTTTCGTTTCGTGTTCGGGTTGTGGGAGTTGTGATGTGATCCGGGTTCACTTCACACGGCTCCATGGAAATCGGTTCGGATTTCGCGAAATTCAAAATTTCCTTTTATGAGATCGAAAACACGAACCACTCGATCTTTCTCTATCCTTCGATAAGTTTGACAAGAATAGACTGGATTTTGATTTTTTTTTTTTACAAATTTATGCAAATTTCATCGGTTTTTATTGGGGTTCAGATTTCGCAAAATTCAGATTGTTTTCATGAGATTGAAAACACAGACCACTCGATTTTTCGATAAGTTCAACAAGATTAAAATGAATTTTAATTTTTTGGTAAATTTATGCAGATTTCATTGATTTTTATCAGGGTTTGGATTTCACGAAATTCAGTTTTTTTTATGAGATTGAAAACATGAACCACTCGATTTTTCGATAAAGTTCAACAAGATTAAACTAGATTTTAAAAGTTTTGACAAATTTATGCAGATTTCATTGAATTTTATCGGTTAATCAATGGATTTCATGATTTTCATGAGTGAATTTTGATCTACTATCTGGATTATAAACCTTGGTCGTGACCGTAGTTCTTTTTTTTTGCGTTGAAACCAAGTATGTTTACCTGGTTCCGTACCACTTGTTAGCAGAAACAAACAATTTGTAGATAAATCTTTTATATACATATTCTTAATAATTCAAAACTAAATGCTGTAAAAATTCACAAAATCAGATTTAAAATTTAAATTTTGGTTTATACGCGTAAGGATAGGCGAAACAATAGCACACAAACAATTCGGCAGGTTAATTACAGGAGTACATGGCTTCTGAATAAGTAAGTAGAATGAAAAACGGGAAGATGAACATTGCTGATCAGATATACACGATGCATCCGATATTTAAGAGTATGTATGCATAGATGAAATAAGCAGCAACGGATTAGCGACACGAAAGTCATCTGATATATATTTCAGATAAAGATGTTCAACACAAGATAGCTTCAGACCAGGCAATATAGCACCAGACACTTGGTGATTCAGGGTTCAACAAAGTGATATATGATCGAGTCTACAAACAAACAAAAAGGTCCGATATTTCGTTTCCCACAGATGATAAGGATAGATATATCTAAGCGGCTGAGAGGAAGGCCTTCCCGGGGGCACGAGCAGAGAGGCGACCATGGCAACCAAGTAGCTGCACCATAGAGACAGTATTGACAAAGATTAGATTATCCGCAACGATGCATACGAGAACAATTACAATAGCAATTGACAGGTCATAAAAGCAAAGCGAAAAAGGATTTTAACAAAATAAGTTACTCATCCTGATAGGACCCAAGATAAGCATTAGTTTAGAAACAGCGTGTTTACCTTAGCATTGACACCATCAGGCATGATTCTACCCTCGCTCTTAAGCCTGACGTATTCATCGCGGCTGAACTTGGTGAAACCCCTGAACAAGAAAGTGCAAGTTAGGAACGGAACATGAGCTTATGGTACTCAGAGCACATCAGAAATTTAGATGTACTCGTATGCATCACCCTGTTTGATACTTACCACTTTCTACTCTCAATGATCTTTTGGCGACCAGGGAACTTGAACTTGGCACGACGGAGGGCTTCGCTGGCATGGACAGCATTGTTGGGCTTGCACCGCACAGAAAGGAGGACCTGGCCAATATCCACCCTAGCACAGGTTCCCTGTGGCTTCCCAAAAGCACCCCTCATTCCAGTCTGGAGCCTATCTGCCCCGGCACACGAAAGCATCTTGTTGATACGGAGCACATGGAACGGGTGAACCCGAACCCTGAGGTGGAAGGCATCCTTTCCTGCAGACTTGGTCATGTACTTGTTGCACGCGATACGCGCAGCCTCAAGAGCCTCACTGGTGACATTCTCCTTCTCCCAAGAGACGAGATGCACACAGTGGGAGAACTCATCCACACCCTTCTTCTTCATCCCGACATCGTAGATCCTGATCTTGGGGTCAGGGACACCACGGCAGTACCTTGACTTGGGGTACGGCTTGTTCTTGATCTGGCGATAGCACCTTGCAGGTCCTAACCAAAGCAAGCCACAAAGTCAAGTTAGTTACTCAGAAACACCCTAAAGCACCTACAGCCCCATCACTGTTAATCTGAATACTATTCATAACTGATCGATGAACACGCAAATAGTGAATATACAAAGTCATGAAAGAAACTAAATCCATTACATTAATCTAAATAATCATAATTGATCGATGAACAAGAAAATAGTGGATATAGAAATAGCCATGAAGTAACTAAATCCATTACAGGGATTCGCTTCAAACAACAAAACCACCACAAACAAGCCATTTCTAGCTAGGATAAATGCATCTACATCTGCTAGCTACATCAGAATAAATCATTTAGATTCACAGAGAACCACTAATCATATCATACTACCATTATCTGTGAAAATCAAAGATCGGTACAGTTCCCCCAACAATATTCACATCCTATTAAGTCCAACATGACTCCTTCAGGTTGAGTAAGCAAACTAACGAGATATGCAACGAAACAACTACAAAATCTATCTACACCTAAATTCATCAAAGCAAAACACAGATCAACACCGGGAACAGCAACAATCCAGCAGCGCCCAGCTACTATGGATCTAAACCAAACGCCCAAAACGCGCCTGAAATCAGGGAGCCGCGGCGACCGATCCAGCGCAACCGTGGAACAAACAGCAAGACAACGAGCGGTAGAGCAGGAAATGGTTAGACTTACTCCTCCCCATGGCGGCGGCGGCGTGCGCGCGGCGGACGGCGGCGGGAAGAGGCGGGGATGTGCGGCTAGGGTTCGGAGGAGCGCGGCGCAGAGGCTTATATAGAGGGGAGGGGGGCTGTGGGGTTTGCGTCACGCGTGACCGATGGTGGTGATTGCGTGTTGGGCTTGAGGAGCCCATGGAAGCCCATTGCAATTGGGCCACCTCTTCCTGTCATTATTTTTTTTTCTTTTCGTTTTTTATGGGAGTGGATATTGCTGGTCAGAGTCCACTCGGGTGTGTTCTCATGTTTCCAACTCATTTCTGTTTTTTCGTGCCTACATTTCGGTGTGTTTTAAAATATTTTATAGATAAATTACTTTAAAAATCTATATGATCATTTTTAGAGTTTTTTAATATAATATTTAATTAATTATACGCTGATTCATCCTATCATTTTGAATATCAGGGTATGGTTCCCAACTCATACCTTCTAATACAGCCAAGTCATCAGTTGACAGTAATATGTTAATTTTTTAAAAATATATATATGGGTTATTCAAGTTTTATTTATTTATTAATGTGCATTATATACCTTCTAATATATGTCTGTTTAGAACATATATATTTAATTCAAGGTTTCGATCATCGAAGTGTTTTAGTTGTCTTTTAAGTCAAAGCTCTCTAAGGCCCTGTTTGTTTCAGTTTAAGATTATTATAATCTAGATTATATAACTAGATTACTATAAGCTGGATTATAATAAACCGACATATAATAAGCTACTAGTTTATTTCTCTAGATTATTATCTGTTTGTTAGTTGTTAGCTACCCAATAATCTAAAAAAAGCACCTTTAGAATAGCTTACCAGATTATAGTTATCTGACTTATAGATTATAATAATCTATCATAATAAGCTATCTGTTTGTTTCAGCTTACTCGTAATAATCCAGATTATAATAATCCTAAGCTGAATCAAACGGGGCCTAAATTTTGATGAAAAATAAACTAACACATACCACATCAAATTAGTTTCTCTTTTTGTTAGTGTATTTATTTGGTATAGTAGGTGTTAATTTATTTTTATAAAGTTAGTTAAAGTTAGAGAGTTGTATGCGAGTGGGCCCCACCTATCAATGGCACATGAAGTCAGAGGAGCTCCTTCTAGTAGCTAGGCCCTGTTTAGTTCCCACACAGAAATTTTACACCCTGTCACATCGAACGTTTGAACACCTGCATGAAGTATTAAATATATCTAAAAAACTAATTGCACAGATTGCGACTAAGAGTGTGTTTAGTTCACGCTAAAATTGAAAGTTTGATTGAAATTGGAACGATGTGACAGAAAAGTTGGAAGTTTATATGTGTATGAAAGTTTTGATGTGATGGAAAAGTTGGAAGTTTGAATAAAAAGTTGGGAACTAAACCAGTCCTAATTTACAAGACGAATATTTTAAGCTTAATTGCTCCATGATTTGACAATATGGTGCTATAGTAAACATTTGCTAATTATGGATTAATTAGGCTTAATAAATTTGTCTCGCTGTTTACTGATGGATTCTTTAATTAGTTTTTTATTAGTGCCTGAACACCCTATACGACATCCTACATAATACCCGATGTGATTAAAAATTTACACTCCTAGATCTAAACATGGCCTTAGACCGGAGGATGTATTGGATTAAGTTACTCAAAATCTCAGACGAATCCGGAACAAGTTTTGAAAAAAATAAAAGGAGAGTAATGTTAATGAACAAAATTAAGTGCAGCATAGCTTCGGTTTGTACACTTATTTCGTAGCAAAAAATGTTGACATCTCGATGGGAATAGAAGGTTCTGACTTAAAGGGACTCTCTGGTTCGGGCGTTCAATGGTAGGAGGTTAAAATCGGACGCTGATATCAGCATAACGTCAGCGCTCGACTCACGTGCAAAACTATTTTAAACTGTTTTTTCTCTTAAATTACTTATCCAAATCATGATCCGATTGCACCATTAAATTCGTTGCAATTAAATCTTCAAAACAAGACCACACATAGATATATTCCGACTGAAAAATTTTAGCTTATCATTGAATTATTTTTAAATGTTACATGATGTTTCACCAGGTATATCGGAATTGTTTCACTAAGTAGATTGAAAATGTTTCATTCGTTTAAATCGGGTGTTGTTTCACCTTATATTAAAACAATGTTTCAGCAAACAGAGAAAGAATGTTTCAGTTCACTGCAACATTAGATATGTACATAGTGAAACATTGTGAGTACACTAGGTGAAACATTTTTTGTGGAACAAAAAAATAAAACGAATTCCCTTAATAGAGGGTTTTCAAAATATATGGGTGATTTGTTGCAATGGAATATTTCAGTTCACTGCAACATTAGATCTATACATAGTAAAACATTGTGAGTGCACTAGATGATATTTTTTTGTGGAACAAAAAAAATAAACCAAATTCCTTTAATAGAGGGTTTTCAAAATATGTGGGTGATTTATTGCAATGGAGTATATGGTGCGGCTACGCGTCAGGGAGGGGAGCACCTGATCCGACTCGCCCGCGCCGGTCGCCCGGCGTATAAAAACACGAAAAGAAGAATTTTTACGCAAGAAAACTGTTACAGGTATAATCAACGGTGTATAGTCATCAGGTATTTTGGTCTCACTATATTGGATTGGATGTGGATGTGTGCGTCACTGCCCTCGTGGATTCGTGGCCAATCTCGCGAAGTCGCGATACTTTGGCGTAGAGGCGCGCGCACTCCACAAATTCCGCTGTGCACACGCGCCAAAAAAGAAAAAAAAAACAATTTCTGGAGGCGGAGGAGCCGGTCGTCCAACCGCGAGTGGTCCGCTCCGACCGAAGCGGGGTCGGGTCTGGTCGAGCCACACGCGGCCGCGGCTGCGTCTCCGCGTCGCCGTCGTCGTCTCCAGAAACGCACGAGCCGAGCGGAGAATTCCACGAACCGTCTCCTCCTCCTCCTCATCCTCTTCTCCACTGCCCCCGCACAAATCAACTCTACTTTCCAAAACGCGGCGGCGGCGGCGGATCAAACCCTCATTTGGTGGGATTTTTTGCTGCGTTTAATCAAATCCTCTCTCTCTCTTCGACCGCGGGGAGATCCGGGGTTCGATTGTTTCGTCTCCTCCTCCCCCTCTCGTGCGGGCGTCGGAATCGATCCACGCCCCGCCCGCTCGCTCGCTCGCTCGCTCTGTGAGCCCAAGGTAGATTCCTCCTGATCCGTGGCCTTCTTCTGCTTCGGCTGTCGATTCGGCGTGCTTTCTTGGTTTGCGACGTTCATGGGAGGGGGTGTTCTACTGTTCTTGGGGGTTGGGGGAATGGGGAGATATGGTTCTTCATGTGTACCCTACTTTGCCTTCCATTCCATTGGGTTCCATGGCGTTGGGATTTCGATCCTTAAATTGTGGTAGTTGGGAGAAGTAGTACTGTCATTATGCTTTGTCTTAGTGAATTATCGTATCGGTGATAGTTTGTGGAACAAGAATTACTAGCAGAGATAATAGAGCAGTTCTGGGCATTCCTCGTGCTCTTAAGAGAGGCAGAATTCGTTATCTGTCCTTTCTTTTTTTCGGTGAATTATCAATAGGGATGATTTGCCTTCCTAGTCTTTATTCTGATAGGATCATCCTATGCTAGAATGTCTGCGAGTTTGTTCACTTGAATATATGATATCTTGTCCTATGCATTTGGTGTCCATTATCGCTTATGATCTATTGTTATGCCTAACTCAGACTTCAACCATGCCTTCCTAGATTTTAGTTTTCTTGCAGTGCTTTCGTAGTTTTAGTTGCTCTTTTTCTGATAGACCATGACATGCTTTTATCATTGTTTAGAGGACATTTTGCTCAGTGCTGTGCTAGCTTTGTTGGCTCAAGTTCACAATGGGAGGTTGTGTGGGCAAGGTGAGTCTTCCAAAACCATAATTGATATTTAGCGGTTCATCATGGCTGTTCAATTTACCACATATATTGATTTGTGATGTTTCTTTTATTTATGTTCATTTGTTCAGGGACGACGACATATTGAGGAAGACAAGCTTGATTTCAAAGGTGGAAATGTTCATGTCATAACAAGCAAAGAGGACTGGGATAGGAAGATTGAAGAAGCAAACAAGGATGGGAAAATTGTAAGCAAGCTAGCAATTTGCTCAATGGATTACAAATACATCTTTTGGTTCTTATGTTGTGCATTGGTTGGTGATCTATCAGTTTGCTTCACACTATACAACTTTACGAAGTTGATATCTATGCACTACTTATCACATGGTCCTTTCCTTTCCTTTCTTTTTTTTTTTAAAAAAAAAGAAGTGTAATTATCTAATGGGATTGAGAACAGACTGAAATCTGCATGAGAGTGAAAAAAAAATCAGATATTCCAGTTATAAAGTCAGAAATAATTCATGAAAACTGCATTCAGATATTCTAGCTAGTACCCTGTGCAAAAAGTTGCCATTTCTTAGTATTCCCTGATTTATATAGCTTTCTGCCTTTAGTCAATGCAAGATCCTTGTGTGGAATAAATCATTTCTAGTTATGCTGACGTGTAGAACTGCTTTTTCCATTGTTCTAGTTTGTTTCTAAAAGATTCAAACCTCATTTGTAAATTACTTAGGTCTGTTTTATGTTGGTTTTATTTCTCATCCAAAACAAGTTAAACAACATTATGCCATACTCCCAGTTATTCTGAATAGCACTTGCATGCTCATCCACTTGGTATTTCCTTTTTTTTTTCCTCAGGATTTGTTTTGCTTATTTTTAGGATGCCTGCTTGTTTTTTGGCAATACACACACAACATTTACGACTCATCCACTTTAGATGGCCATTCTGTTGTTGGCTGAAATCTCGTAACAAGATAAAGTTATGAAAATTCTTGATGCAAACTAGTACCTTTGACGTACTCACTGTTTTGTTTTGTAGGTTGTGGCAAATTTCAGTGCTTCCTGGTGTGGACCATGTCGTGTTATTGCACCTATTTATGCTGAGATGTCAAAGACTTATCCTCAACTCATGTTCTTGACAATAGATGTTGATGACCTAATGGTAATTCTAACCGTTTGTTTGGTCAAATTTGCTATTGAAAAATGATTAATTTCAGTTTTGTATGAACCAAGAAACCCCTTATACATCTGATGGCGGTCATTTTATCAATAGTATCATTTATCTGTAATCCTGTATAACTGATTGTGCATCCTCACTAAATGCCATCGATTAAGGTTTATAATCAAGAATAGATTGTGTACTGAGTTCCAGATGTGTTGAATTATTTGCTGAGGGATATCATACCCAAAGCATGACCTATCATCCTACTTATGGAGTAATTGCTGTCGACATACCATGAGAACTTTGAAAAAAAATAAGTTTGTTTGGTGTCTCTGTATTTTTTTGGTAAAGCTTCTTATATATTGGAAATTATCATATAAAGGCTAAACACATGTTGCGCCTGCACTGTTAGCATTATAGCATTATAAAGAGCTTCTCAACACTTCTAGAATTAAGTAAACAGATGTAGTGATTGCATGCAAATTGTCCTAAAGTTAACTGAAGTCCTGACATTAGAGTAGCTTCTCACTTAGCATATCTATAGGTCAGGGTGCATGTTGTAATGTTCTTCCGATTTAACAACTCTCTTGTATTCTCTGCAGGATTTCAGCTCATCATGGGATATCCGCGCAACGCCGACCTTTTTCTTCATAAAAAACGAGAAGCAGGTCGACAAGCTTGTGGGCGCCAACAAACCTGAGCTCGAAAAGAAGGTTCAGGCACTTGCTGATGGCAGCTGAACCTTATTATAGCGCAACGGCTAGAACTGAAACGAATTTGGCATGTCTGTCCGGCCAAGTTTGTGTCCGTGTGCTCCCTTGCAGCTTCTAGTGTATAGTTTTGGTGTCTCTGTTCAAACCATGTTTCTTTTTCTTTCTGAATTTTGCCCATGTGTCTGGCCACACACATATGCAATCTGTGAACTAAGAAGTTGTGATGTGTTCAGAGCTGTAACATAAGAGTAATGTACTAGAGTAGTTTTAAAAGACAGTGATATGGTTGTATTTTGAGCTATGAAGTTGTGCCAATAAATGAGTGGGTTTTGAAAGTGACTCTTTAATGATTCCTTCTACTAGAACCGAACTATTTGTCATAAAATTCCCATGAATTTCAGTTTTTTCCTGACGAACGGACCTCGACGTTCGGACCTCGGAGTGAATGGGCCTTAGCCCACTCGAAGATTAATTCTTTAGAAAATCACAAAAGCCCACCTTATGGTATGGCATGCATGTGTAGTTTAGTACCATCTTGCTTATTCTAGGAGAGGGAGACCTCCTTAAAAGGGAGGATGCCCTTCTAGCTACTTGAAGCATGTGTGGTGGAGAGAAGAAGGGGAACACGCTCGCTCGCCTCGCAGGGCAGGGCAGGCGGCGCGTGTGCACGACGTACGCGTCGAATGGTCCACCAAAATTGGTTCCTCTGGCAGATGCAGCCTCCTTTTGCAGTTTTGTTTTGCTGCAAATTCGGATTCGTTTTTTTGGAAACGTTCCGAAAAATGACAGAAAATCTTTCTGATTTTCAAACGTGGAGCTCAAAGGTTTTAATTTCTGGAATTCGATATATATATGCTATCTTATAAAAACATACACCTGGGAACAAAAATTGAAGTTTTAAATTGGAAAGCATTTGGAACCAAAGAAAAAAAAATGAAGTTTCAAATTTAAAACCAGATGCCTCTCCTAGTTGTGTGCTACTACTTGGATGGCATTATCCAATTGGAGACTTCGAAAAATGAGGGATCCAATGACCGGCTGCCGGCCTACGCCGCAACGCACGGCCGTTTCGCCCCCCACTCCGGCCTACCGGCGCCCCAGGAAACACGCCGCACGCGCCACGGCCATCCGGGCCCCACCACCAGCCATCACTAAACCCTGTGCTTAAATCAATTAATTAGACCTTAATCACCCAGCGTTAATCCCACCTGGCACTCACAGTGCGCTTAATAAACGGGCGTGTCCAGCTCAGCACCAGCCGTTCCAAAAATGTTTCGAAATCCCAAGCCGCGAGAGAATTGTCGTCTCGAATCCCAACCACGACTAGGGGGCCATCTCTGTAAATAAAAAAAATCAATTAACGAGACGACCAGTGATACTCCCTCTATCTCATTTTAAATACAGTTATAGATCTCTATGTCCAACATTTAATCGTTCGTTTTACTTAAAATCCTTTTATATAAAACATAAATAAAAAAAATGATAAAACATAAATAGTACTCCCTCCGTTTCAAAATGTTTGACACCGTTGACTTTTTAGTACGTGTTTGACCATTCGTCTTATTCAAAAAATTTAAGTAATTATTTATTCTTTTCATATCATTTGATTCATTGTTAAATAAACTTTCATGTACACATATAGTTTTACATATTTCACAAATTTTTTTAAATAAGACAAATGGTCAAACATGTGCTAAAAAGTCAACGGTGTCAAACATTTTGAAACGGAGGGAGTACTTTATGTATTTTTTTATATAAAAAGAGAATATAGTATTAGATGTTACTCCCTTCGTCCCATAATATAAGAGATTTAGAGTTTTTACTTGCAACGTTCGACCACTCGTTTCATTCATTTTTTTTGAAATTATTATTTATTTTATTTGTGATTTGCTTTATTATCCACAGTATTTTAAGCACAACTTTTTATTTTTTATATTTACAAAAAAAATTTGAATAAAACAAGTGGTCAAACGTTACAAGCAAAAACTCAAAATCCCTTATACTGTGGGACGGAGGGAGTACATATTTTACTATAATGAATAATTTAGACAGAGGTATATTCAGATTTATTGATTTTTTATAGAACAGAAGAAATATGAGTTTTTTTTAAATTTTTTTAAATAAGATGGACTATTAAACATTAAACGTAAAATCTCGTAGCTATATTTAAAATTAGAGGGCGAGGCAGTAGAAGAAACCGACGCTTTGATGGGTTTTGGGTTTTTGTGCTGCTCCTTTTTCGTAACTGGCTCTCTCCTCCTCTGCTCCACTGCTGCTCCGCCTCTGCTCGTGTGAGCCCCCAGCCTCCATTCCTGCCTGCCTGCCTGCCTCCTGCTGCTCCTCCCCGGATCGAAATCGATCTCTCCTCTTCCTCCTCCTCCTCCTCTTCTCCATCTCTCCAGATTCCACAAGCCACGCGGGATATGCTGCTCTGATTGATCTCTCTCCACGTCGGGGTAATGATCTCTCTCTCTCTCTCTCTTTTTCTTTTTCTTTTTTTTTCTTTCTTCGTGTGTGCGTGTGTGATCTCCGGTTTGGTTCTTGGTGCCTGCTGCTATAGTCTACTAGTCTACTGCTACTTACCTTTTTGATTGTTGGGAGCGGGGATGATGGGTTGTGTGTTACTGTACCTGATCTGCGGGTTTCTCGTCCCGTTTCGCCAAGATTTTTTTTCTCGTCCCCGGCCGCGAGTTCGTGCTTCTTGCGGTCGTCTGTTGTTGCCTGTTGGGTGTTCGATCTATGATTCGCGAGGAGAATGAGTGGCGGTTTGTGCTTGTGTTGCAGTGACTCTTTCTTTCTTTTCTTTTTTTTTTAAAAAAACTTTATTCTTTAGGGAGACCTGCGATTGGGGGTCGTACAGAGATTGATGCTATGTTGTGCGTATAAATCCAGTAAAAAGTTACTAGTTGACTCTTTTCAACCATTTTTCTGTATAATTTATATGATTTGAATGGCATCGATTCATTCATCTGTTGTTCTTATTACGCATGTCACCTAGTAATGAATGTGATCTCAGTTTCTTGAATTCAATGTTTATTTTTTCGGCTTGTTTAGAGCAGATAGATTTATTTGTTCTTGGATTAAAAAATGGAAAAGAAAAGAGCAAGCAATTCAGTATTCGTATCACGTATATGGGTTTATATGTATGTTGAGACTTAGGAATCTCTGAACCTGAAGTGCAAATGAGCAATATATGTTTGATCAAGATTTTCTCTTCCGCCGTAGACCATTTAATCAATTGTTGTCCCAATAAAGTTGGCAGATAATAGGGTGGTGACACTTTTCATCACTCGTCACCTCGTGATGCGTCTATCTAGGTGTAAGCACTGATCAATGCATGTGTTGTGGATCCCCGGCCTTCAATAATATAGAACTGGCCGGTCCTGTTTATCACTTCTTTGGTGGATAGACATCGACAAGAACATTTTTTTGGTTGCAAGCTTGTGACATCTTGCTTGAAGCACAGAGTTTTGATCGATGTGGGGCAGAATTTGTGTTGCCCATTCTTCTTGTCTGGAGGGAGTTATCCTGTTGCCTGACCTACATATCAGCAACAGGCCTGTAGTTGCTGTGTCTTTTGCAGTTGGACGTGTGATATGTGATAGATAACCAAGTGCCAGCCAATTTTATTGTGCAAATAAGTTTTTGACGATTTTGTAGTTGCAAGATTTGACCAACTTTGACTCCTCCAGTTTTTGGAGTATGCAAATACAAACCTTATATTTTCTTATCTATATTGACTTGAGAAGACTGGGTTATAGAAGCACATGATTTGTTTGTTACGGATGCTGTGTTATTTTTACACTCCTTATGTAAAATGTATTTTTTTTTCAGAAAATAGTCGTACAGTACACTGGCAATTTACTTTACTATAAATCTATTATTGGTCAGTTTGAAAGACGTTTCTTATATATTATTCAATTTCTAATATAGTGATATTCTCGAAGTAGTATGTTCTTTCTATTTCTAAAAGAAGAAACATCACTATCGTTCGCTAGTACATGTTATTATGGGCTTTCCGACAGTGAAACTGATAAGATCATGGATGATATGATACTTTTGCCTCCTCCATAGCTGTCAATGGTCTGGTCCCTGCGTTTCTGCATCTGATTTGTCTAATTTTGCATATTGGACATCTTCATTAGTAAGTTATATGTTGGCCTTCTTTGATAGAATTTAGCATTCTATTTTACAAAGTGTGCAAGACCTACTCTTCTGTTGTCTTAGACCATTGGATAATTTTGTTTTCCCCTTTGTATGAGCAAGTCGCTTAATGGGAGCTGAATATAAGAACATTGTTTTATTAGCAGTTTACATTTCTGGCTTTCAAGTTTCAAGATCATTTACTACTGACTATTGCCCTTTCTGTACTCTCTTTGTTTTTTAATATATGACACCGTTTATTTTTTTTAGATACGTTTGTTCATTCGTCTTATTTAAATAATTTATTTAATTATCATTTATTTTAATGTGACTTGATTTATCATCAAATGTTATTTAAGTATGACTCAAATATTTTTATATTTGCACAACACTTTTGAATAACACGAATAGTCAAATGTTTGTCAAAAAAATCAACGACGTCATATATTAAAAAAGGAGGTAGTACTAGATTACATTTTCCATGAATGTTGAGATGAATCAATGATTAACTTGAAATTTTGGGTCACTGAAGTCTGCTTTAAGTTTGTACTACAGATAATGTTCCTGCTGTTTCTTTCTTATTCTCAAGTGTATTACTAGTGTATGTGCATTTTTCTCATTTTCTCACTTGTTCTTGGAAATGCAGTCAGGTCTTCACCCTTGAGGGAATTGTTTTCATTATCTTATCAAAATGGAGAAAATGCAAAAGACGCAATCAAGGAAATCCAGCTCATGGTGGTGGGATAGCCATATTAGTCCAAAAAGTTCTAAGTGGCTCTCCGATAACTTAGAAGGTAAGGAATGAGACCATAATCTTTTTCTTGTCTTACATGCTGGAATAAGAACATACTTCGTTTGCTAGCCATGAGATTTGTAAGATCTTGGTCATGATGGTTTCAATATTAGTCTCCAATTTAACTAGTATGCTAGTTATTTATTCCCTGAACATAATTATTCTTTTAAATGAACAGTGATGGAGACACAGATAAAAGAAACGCTGGAGCTTATTGAGGAAGGAGAACCCTCTGCAGAAAAGGCTGGGGTTCTTATTACTCACGTACAGAACTTTCAGCAGATGTATCGTGTTCTTGCCAAGCGATATGGCAATGTGACTGGAGAATTGCGCAAAAATATCCCATCATCTCTGCAATCATCTGTCTCCTTTGGCATCTCAGAATCAGATTCTGAGGCACAGTCTCCTTCATCACCAGAGCGTGACTTGCAAGAGAAGATGTCACAAAAGCAAAAACCGCGATCAGATTGCTTTGATGTTTCTATTGGCTCTGGTATGAGTTCTGACGTATCCAAGAAGGGGAGTGATGGGTCTTCATCATCTTCAGAATCTGATTTAGAGCTTGATGAGGCTAAAGAAGAAAATGGCAATAGCATTTTTTATGCCCTAAGTCAAAAAATTATTGAGCTTGAGGATGAGCTTCATGAAGTAAGGGGTAAACTTGATGCTTCCGAGGAAAAGAACATGCGTTGCCATTGTAATTTTGGTGCTAACTCAGAACTGTCTGAACATGAGGAAAAGCAACAGGTTTCAGATGTGGAAACCAGTAGCCTTCAGAAGGATCTTGATGAAGTCAAAAGTGAAAAGGAAGCATTGGAAGCTGTTGTATTGGTGAACAAAGATGAAATTGATAGGCTGAAGGAATCAATGGTATCGGCAGCCAAGCAGTTTGAAGTTGAACTTGCGCATCGTGATACTGAAATTGATAAGTGCAAACAGGAGCTTGAGGTACTTTCGGAGAAGTATCTGCATGATATATCTGCTCTTGAGGCTGAAATTGGAAAGCTCCAGGGAGTCATCAAAACCTTTGAAGACGACTTTGCAAAAATATCACAGGAGAAATTGATGCTCGAATCTCGGGTTGAAGAGCTTGAGCAGTCAGTTAACAGCTCAAATTATTCGGTTTCTGAGATGGTTAATCTGCAAGAACTAATGAAGGATACACAAGCAGAATTAGAAAAGGTTTCACAGGAGAAAGAAGTGCTCAGAGAACGTGTTCTTGAATTTGAGCAACTTTTGGGGGACTTTGAGAATTCAGGCATGGAGGTTGCAAAGCTACCAGAAACCATCAAGAACTTGGGAGCCCAGATAGAGGGAACACTACAGGAGAAATCAGTACTCCAGGACAGGATTAAGGAGCTGGAGCAGGCTGTCCATGATTCATTGCAGAACCATTCACTGGAGAAGTCCTCTCTGAGTGCTGAGCTTTCAAAATTATCTGAAGCCAATGCTTCTCTTGAAGCCAAGTTGGCATCCGTGGAGGCAGAGCTCAAACAAGTTTACGACGAAAAGGCTAATGAATCCCTCAACAGCGAGAAGGAAATCTCCAGGCTGAATCAAGAACTGGCCAATGTCAAAACCGATCTGGAATTGCTGTTATCCGAGAAATCCCTGGTGGACAACAAAGTAACCACTCTACTAACCGACATCACAACTCGCGATGAAAAGATGAAGCAGATGGATGATCAACTGAATCAGCTTCAGCTTGAGCATTCCAAGCTAATGGCACAGGCCGATCTTGCCCGCAAGTCCCTGTCAGAACTGCATGCTCGGGTATGCGAGCTCGAGAAAGAGGTAGAGATGCAGAAGCTTGTGATCTCTGAGAGCGCCGAGGGGAAGCGCGAGGCGATCAGGCAACTGTGCTTCTCACTCGAGCACTACCGCAGCGGCTACCAGGAGCTGCGGCAGCTGCTGCATGACCAGAAGAGACCACTGGTGATGGCAACATGAACCAAAGCTAGTGATCCTGATGCCATCCTTCTCGGATGCTTTGTGGATGTTTTCTGTCAATGGCAATGCATGCTTTCCTGTGTCTCTCTCTCTCTCTCTTCTACCAGTAGCTTGCTGCTGCTCTATAACTTGTGCACTGTTGCTTCTCCGGCTACTAAGAATTCTGTGTTGTGTCTTGCAATGTGATGGGATAATCAATATCGTTTCTTGTGTACTCTTATAACTGTCGTCAGGTAATGGGCATAGTGATGTCTATCAATCTATGCTTGATCTTTGAAAGATGATATGCATATCAGCTGTCAACTTTGTCAAATGTGTGGATTATCCTTGTGCTTTCCAATCCAATCAATGATGAGTTTGACAGCAGGAACTTTGTTCTCTGATTTGCTTCTTTTAACCTGTAATTTGCTTCTGGTACGTTGTTCATTTGGGAATGTTTCTCTTGTATAGTTGAGCAAAATCAACTGAAAAGGTAGGACGTGCCCAATGGACAATTATGTCATCATGGGCTCTAAGATATGTGTGTGTATGTTGTTTTTTGGGATGTGTTGTCTGTTTCTTTCCCTGCCCTCGATTTTAATCTTTCACGCACTAAATTGTTGTTTTAGAAGATAATAGTAGCATATAATCCGATGCGAGGTTAAAAACGATGGGAATTTTCAATTTGCACAATCAGTAAGACAATTACAAAAAATGAGATTTTCTAACTTGCATAATCGTTTAGGCCAATACCCTTTCTTTTTTTTTTCGAAACACAGAATTCATGTCATGTGGGAGAGCTGCAGTACCGCCGACCTCGTCGTAGGAACACGACCTCGAGAGCGATCGTGGAGTAGGTTGTCTTGTTATCATCTTAGAGATAAGCCAGGTATTTAAAATTTTAATAAATCAGGATTGAGTTAGATCGAGTTTGTTGGGGAATAGGAATTGAGAGTGGCGACAATATAAGAAGTGGTAATCGTACTGTCAAAGGGAATTGGAATGAAGACCTTTTCTCTATTTTGCACGATTCTTTCTTGAGAAAACCTTGTAGTGTCGTGCAGGAAGGTAATGTACGTCGTCCGTGTTGATTTGCTCGGCGTTGGTGTTGGCCTTTGCGGGGATGTGATGCTGCAGAGTCAAAGGCTGAGGCCCATCGTTGTGGAGTCAGAGCTGCTATATCGTTTTAGCAGGTTGAATAACGAGATAACACACGTTTAGTAAAGATGACATGCATTCACCGCGAAGTCGAAGATGTTATGTCATTAATGCACAAGCTCGACAACGACGACATGTGTTTGGGTCCTGTTGATGGTCTGAAGTTAGTGGCCTCGTGGCTGGTGTTGGGTTGTAGTTGTGTGTGCTATGACTTTGTCTAGCCAGCCGTGGTGGCGTTTGTTGTCTAGTATAGATGGCCAAACGGGCGGCATGGCCCAGGCCCGGCCGTGCCTGGCTCGAGGTTAGTCGGGTCGACACGGCCCGACCTACAATACGGGCCGTGCGTGCTAGCCCACGGGCCGCACACACGGCCTAGGCACGGCCCAACATGACTTGGGCTATGCCGGGCCGGCCCGAAGGCACGAGGGCCCATCGTGTTATTCCACAGAATAAGTCTATTTTTCATCCCTCAACTCTGTGGGCTGGGTCCATATGACTGAAAATAAGTCTATTTTATATTCCTCTTCTCTTTAGGCCCTGTCTGATATGGTTCATTAAGTCTATTTTGCGTCCCTCTACTTTTTTTATTCGGTCGTGCCGTGCCGGGCCGGCCCACCGTGCCGAGGGTGCAACCCAGGCACAGCCCGGCTGTCGGGCCAGGCCGGCACGGGCACGACCCTGAGTCGGGCCGTGCCGTGCTTGGGCCGGGCCAAAATGGCATGCCTTGAGCCGGGCCTCGGGCCATATGACCATCTATATTGTCTAGGGTTTTTACTCCTACTTATTGAAATATAAATTTTTTTGAAAGGAAATTTCTTTTTTTTTTTGGAAAAAAAGATAACAAAAGGTTATCAGTTTGATCACTGCAAAGTGCTAATCCAATTGTTGTAGGCAACAATCTTAGCAGCAGCCAGACTTTGGATAAACAAAATGGCATGGTCACAACTCACAACGTTTGGATTACAGAAACATTTATGCTATTTTATAGACTAACATCATTCTCATAACATAAACTAACCAATACAATTAAATAATTTTGATTTTGAGACTTTATGCTGTGTATTGTGTAGTAGTAGTACACAATACGCAGCATATAAATTTGATTTTGGGATTTTAAATGTCAATAAGGATAAATTATCAGAAGGATGGCATTGGACCTTTTCACTAACAATCTGCACCAGTCTGAGGGCATTCTTTCACTCTAATAACTCATATTTGTTCTTAGCAGTGCACAGGGGTGTAGTCAAAATTTTCTCAAGCCTAGGGCTCAATTAGAGTAATTTACATAATTTTGCCTTTATCTTATACATTTTGGGGGTTTTAAAATGTAATTTGTAATGGATATCTGGCTTAGGAGTAGGATTGCAGCCCTAGTTGCCCTACTCCTATTTCCACCACTAGCGGTGCATAACTCAATCTTGTAGTAAGAAAACATCTTTTTTCTTTGCCATCAAGGGATGCATTTAAATTTAGGGTTAATTAGATCCATGTCATTATAATTTTCATACTTTTGAAATATGCTACTACTATTAATCTATTTGAAGTCATACAGAGCTCAACGCCATTGTCATTGACGAACTCGTGTCACCCCGGACACGATCTCCGCGCCAACGGTTTTGGCGCTGAGACGTTATAGCTCATTGCAATTTGGGTTGGCACTAAGGTTGCGATTCATTTTGTAATAAGTTTTTTTGCACGGTTTATTGTTCAAATAAGTTTTTCAAAATAGTCAAATTGTCAAATTTTTGGCAGTTTCTTCCTGGCCCTCAATTCTAATCTTGGGCAAACTAGATTATTGTTTTAGAAGATAATAGTAGCATCCAATCCAATGTGAGGTTGACCGTGCGATTTTCAACCTGCATAATCAGTAAGATTATGACAACAATGCGATTTTCTAACTTACATAGTCATTTACGATAATAAATTGCCATCAATGATGTTTAGGACTGTATTTTATCATACTTTTAAAAGTTTGACCATCAATGATTTCTTAGTTTAGAAAAAAAAAGATATAAGTAGATTTCCTTGAAAAATATTGTCATAATACCATTAATTTAGTATATTTTAAAGTCATTCTGATATTAAATTAATGGCCAAACTAAAGTTCCAAGAGTTTCTCCAAATCTTTTTATTTGACTAGAGGAAGTCCTATGTACACCCTACATGAAGCAAGAAGGTTGATATCGTGCAGGTAGAGAACTTCTGAACATATGCCTTGACTTGCTTTCCACCCTGGAAAAATGATCGCTTTTTTCATACTCTCTGCCATCTATCAAACTTACTGTTGTTGGCAAGTACTTGAGATCTGCCCATGTGTCACATGAAACTTGTTTGCATGCTAGAATTAAAATCAGATTCAGCAAATGCATGACTATGTTATTATTTAGGAAGTGCACAATTAGGTGCCCGTGTCCTCATATATTAAGAATAAATTACACAAAACCATGGGTATAGTGATTCAAGTTGTACAAAATCATAGGAGTTTTGTCACGTAGCATATAGCCCCGGTTACTATGATGCTTTCACTAAACCACACAATTTGACCAATTTAACGAAAATCCGACTTGTGCGGTCTACACAAGTTCTCTTATCCACTGTAGTTATGTCAACATTTAAGAGTTTTATGCATGTTCAGATTTAAATAAAATTTGTTAATATTGTTGTTTTGTGAAATACTAATGCCATAATACTTGGGGTTATATGCAAATATCAAATTCCCTATAGTTTTATGCAAGTTGGATCATAATACCGGAGATTTATGCAATTTACTCATATATTAATTGATTAAAGTATAAGAGTAACTTCTACAGCTGCATTCGAGGGATGAAATTCTAGGTTAGTTTTAGGGGCACACAATATGAAACAGGCATCAACGTATAATTAATCAAGTACAAGCAATTATTACAAACTTAAAAAAAATATTTATTTTTTAAGGAAATTCTATATTTTCTTTTTTGTAAAAATGCATAGTTTGTAGTTTGATAATTGTTCTAACGGAAAACGAAGACAAGGAAGTTGTAATTTGAAGTTAGAGGATAGAACGAAGCCTAAGTAGTTGCAGTCCAACTTAATTATGCGAGGACACAAAAGAAGAAACTAACAGTTGACATCTGTGGACCATTGTCAGTATGATTGGGCTAGTTAGTTAGACACTACTGCCTCAATACCTCATGCACAACCATTGTTTGACCAAGAACAAAAGAATCGGCATATCATTTTGGACCTAAGCTGAAGTATTATATTATTTCCGCTATTATGGATTAATCATATTCATGAAATCTAATATAGAGGTCTGGTTTTTACCAATCCATTATCTAAAAAACATTCATGAAATCTAACGGAATATGTTTCATAACGCGTTAAGGCCACTTGTTATTTTCACCAACGAATGAAAAATTGTAATTTGAACTCAATTATTGAACAGATCCAAATATATAGTCCCAAAAACTGAAGCTTTTGGTATGAAAAAACAATCGGAAAAGGTAACTAGCATCAACAAGTTTTTGCTTGCAGCACATGGAAAGGTGTCCTTTTTCCTAGCTGGACAGGGTATCAATGCAAAATTGCTCACATGTCAAAGGGCCAAAAAGCTAGGGCTTATGAGAAGACAACCATTCACACTATACCAAACCCCAATTCTTTTCCTCTTGATAGGCCAAACCACTTTTCTTGCATAATAAAAAGGACCACCAAACAGCACATTTAGCAAAGCAAAGGAATAGAATTAGCAAAATAATTGATCCTTTGCATCTATAAAGCTTTGCCATCACATTGTGGTTACAATGCTAATAATGATGGTTGTACTTTGATTAACTCCCCAAGTATAAAAATGAACTGCAGTTACCTCACCAAAACATTGTTTATGAGGCACATGATCTGCTCCGGTACTATCACCAAACAAGCCTAAAACAAAGAGTGGCATTGGATCTATGCCCAGAACCCCATAACTTCACTAGAGAAGCCTCTCATTTGATAAGACAGTGATTATGAAAAACTAAACTACCTCACCATCCGATGATATAGATTATGCCGATCTAACGGTCAGAAGTGTTCTTCATGTATGGATAGCCATGTCTTTTTTTTTAATCTAGCTTTAAATGTTCTAAAATTTAGGCAGGGTCAACTGATCCACATGGTCTTTTGATTTCTTCTAGTTGGCTGTTCCCCTGTCTTCCTCCCATGGAAATGACCCCAAGAAGAAAAACTAAAATGAAGTGAACTAACCAATGGGGGCTACCTACCAACATATTTGTTGTCTTGTGCTCCTCTATAATTAGACCCAGCTTTCAAGCAAACTACTCTGGTCAAAGTCCCATAATAGTCCAGAGTTGCATCAGATGATCATAGTTTGGGGCTAAGCACAATTCTAAACAATATTTGCATGTTCATCCCAAAGAAAAGAGAATTCACAATTGATTTGGCCAGTGTTTATGATAGTTCACTGGTTTTGAATTGGACTATTTTATTTACAGGGAATACTAACACCCTGATCTGAGTTCCTGCTTGTTCTGGTGGAGATTGGAACACTGCATTTTTCTTTTCAAGGAAGAGGCTGCACAAACTGACATCAGGGAATCCAGGCTGGTTTATAAACTGACACTATACATTTCTTTGCATGTGTTCATAGCCCACTAAGGCTCTATTTTTAATTTAGGCCAAGATAATGACCTCACATAATTTTAAGGATCCTAAAACATGAATAGAATATGGTTTAGTATTGATAATAGGACCATCCCATCGTTGGCATGTTTATAAAACTGTTGCTGCCTTTGATTTAACCTTTTACAACATTTTATTTTTCCCCAGGAATTTTATAATATTATATTGATATATAGTAATAAAATTATTATACTATAATGATTTTTAGTGACAGATCTAGCAACATTTAATGTCAACGCTAAAGCCAATAAAAAGTTATTAGTAGAATGAGTTCAAATACTATCAATGAAAAAATGTTAAAAGAAGCAATGCTAGATCTATGTGGTTGTTTTGTCAATAAGGGTATGAAATAAGTCCAGAATGATTCTATTATAGCAAATAGACAAGACATATTTCTAGTCAAAGTAAAGTGTAAGTAACACATAACCATAAACGACAAAAATGACACAAACTTTATTAATCATGATAAAACCGATAAACGAGTGAAACAGAAAACTGTTCAAGATATATTTTCGTCTCAACGGTTAACTTTGATTTCGTCTCAACGGTTAACTTTGACCCTCCTGTTACATATTAAAGGCAAACACCGCAACACGAAAACAAATCATCACCCTATAAAAAAGTCTCCAAAATCCTATAAAATTATATATTGATATAGTAATAAAACTATTATACTAATTTATTTACATATCTATCAACAATAAATATCAATGCCAAAACCATAAATTCAAATAATTCAATTAAAAATTGTCAGAAGAAGTAACGCCTAGCTCAACCAAATATATCTCATCACAAATTTACCGATAAGAGTATGGAATAAATCTAATATAAATATATAATGATTTAATGTAGCTATACGTTCAAATCCATAAGATGCATTATGTCGCTAGAAGCTAAAAAGAAGTCAAAGTACCATATTGTTGTTTGTGAGTGGCACATACTTTATTTAATAAAATAGACAAATGAGTGGAATAGAAAGCCATCGAGATATATATTACCGTTTCAACATTTAAATGTACCCTTCTGCTATATATTAAAGGACAAACACCGCAACATGAAAGCAATAAAATGTTTTCGATTGGATAAATTCAAATTCTATAAATAAAAAAAATGTTAAAAGAAGTACGCTTAACTCAAATCCACGGATCTACATCATGGTTTTATCAACGAGAGTATGAAACAAGTCATAATTAAATGTAGCAAATCGACAAGATGTATTTTTGGTCAAAGTAAAGTCTAAGTTACAAATCACCATAAATGGTATGCACTTTATTAATTAATCATGATAAAACATCAAATAAGTGAAACAGAAAACCGTTCAAGAAATATATTCATCCCGTTGATTAACTTTGACTCTCCTGCTACATATTGAAGGCAAACACCACAGTAAAAAACAAACCATCACCCCAAACATTAAAGAAAAAACTTCCAAAATTTTGGAGATAAAAGTCTCAAAAGGAGGGGACTATTTTTGGTGAGAAGAAGAAATAAGGTTGAGCAGGTCCACCAGCCCAACCCTTGAAATGAACCTCACAAAACCATAAGAAAATGGCAGACATTTACTCTCAGAGTCAATAGCTCCCACATGTGAAAGCCCCTCTATCTCTCGCACCCTTCTTTGTTAGAAGAAGCAAGCCTCAAGTTATGTCGCTAGAAGCTAAAAAGGAGTCAAAGTAACACATCATTGTAAGCGGCAAGTACTTTATTAATTATGACAAAACCGACAAATGAGTATACATAAAGCCGTCGAGATGTATATTACCGTTTCAGCGGTTAACTTTGACCCTTCTGTTACATATTAAAGAAGAAACATCACAACATGAAAACAAACCATCATCTGAACATAAAAAAAACCCTCCAAAATTTATCTTAGAGAGAAAATACTCAATGGAAGGAAAATTTTTTAACGAGAAGAAGAAAAGAAGCTCATCAAATCATAAGAAAATAGCATGAACCTCAGGCCTTGTTTAGTTCGCGAAAAGAAATATTTTGGGTATTACATCGAACGTTTGACCAGATGTTGGAAGGGGTTTTCGGACACGAATGAAAAATCTAATCTCATAACTCGCCTGGAAACCGTGAGATGAATTTATTAAGCCTAATTAATCCGTCATTAGCATATGTTGGTTACTGTAGCACTTATGTCTAATCATGGACTAATTAGGCTCAAAAGATTCATCTCGCGATTTCCATACAAACTGTACAATTAGTTATTCATTTTATCTATATTTAATACTCTATGCATGTGTCCAAAGATTCGATGTGATGTTTTTAGGAAAAAAACTTTAAGAACTAAAGCAGGCCTCACAAAACCATAAGAAAATAGCATGCATTTACTCTGAGTCAATCAATAGCTCCCAAATCTGAAAGCCTCTCTCTATCTTTCTATCCATCTCTCCATTCATTCATCTCTCTCCATTTCCAATCCATCTCATCACCGACGACGCGAGAAGAGGGACGACCTTCCCCCGTATAAAAACTCCACCTTTGTCTCCTCCCCTCCCCCCTTCCCTCCCATCCCCCGATTCGCCACCGCGAATCCCACCACCACCCGCAGATCTCCGCCTCGGCGCCATTGCCCACCCTCCACGCCCCCGCCAGATTCGCCCAGATCCACAGCCGGGTAAGGCCTCGCTCGATTTCTTGGGTTTCTTGGGCTTCTTGCCTCTCCGATGATCGAAATGGGATCTCTTCCCGCGTGCAGGTGCATCCGGCGGCGTGGCTGGGGCGCCCTCGATCGGGAAGCTTTGATCTTCGTACCCTTTTTGCGGTGGGCGGGCGGCGGGCGGCGGAGGAGGAGGAGATGGGTGTCGGCGGGGAGAAGTTCCAGCTGGGGACGGTGGGGGCGCTGAGCCTCTCCGTGGTGTCATCCGTCTCCATTGTCATCTGCAACAAGGCGCTCATGAGCTCCCTCGGCTTCAACTTTGGTGGGTGTTGGGAGATCTGGGCTCTTTTTTTTCCTTTGCTTCCCCCCAAGCTTCTTGATTGGTCGCTTGTGATTCGCGTAGATCTGTGATGCTCTGCGAATTTCGTAGGGGTTGTTTTCAGCGAGGATTGCTTATTGATTTATGTGCTTAGATCAATTGTTAGATTTTTTTTTGTAGTGTTTGATTTTTGTGAATTTGGCCGTGGTATTTAATTTAGAGATGGGGAGAGCATCATTGTAGAGATAGTGGTAGGATAAAATGTTTCTCGAACTCATGCAGTTCTGGTGAAGCTTTTGAACAAAAAAAATTTGCTAAGAGGAGTAGTGAATATGAAACTTTGATGGTTTTGATGGTGTGGATTAGATTCACTTGTTTATACTAGTGCAGTGAACAAGCTTTAGTAGCACATCTACCAGGTTGCTTGACGCAGGGGAGTAATATCCTTGTTTGATCTGGTGCTGCAATTTGAATTATGAACTCATGCACTGTATGTGGAACTTATTGTCAAGCTTGACTTGTGCCTTTTTTGTGCGGAACATAGGTTGACTTGTGTTGATTGTAGCCTCCTTTTTCACCTACCATTTTCTGTTACTTCTTTTCTCAAATGCATTGCAATGTATTAGTGTTTGTAGAATTTACATGAATATAAATGACACCAACTGTTTTTCCATACATGGAATTGTATTTTGCAGCCACTACCTTGACGAGTTGGCATCTTCTTGTCACATTTTGCTCCCTCCATGTAGCATTATGGATGAAGTTCTTCGAGCACAAGCCTTTCGACTCGAGAACTGTCATGGGATTTGGAGTGCTCAATGGCATCTCCATTGGCCTCCTCAACTTGAGTCTTGGTTTTAATTCTGTTGGATTTTACCAGGTACAAGGTTTGCGATCTTCTTTACGTTGATTCTTGTACCGGCCAGAATTTCCTAGTTAATTCACTGCAGTCCTGTGCTTATTGGGTGTCTGGTACAGTAGTAAACTAGTAGTGATACTTATTTTTGACCCTTGGTACAATGATAGCTAGAGGTACAGGTAAAGTAAATATCTTCTTGTTGATGTGTTGCAGTTTTATCTATTGCTGTTTGTACAATAAACTTATTACAGAAGGCTTTTATTACAGCACAACATTTTATTGCAAGCATTTATTTCAATTGATGTGCCCTTTCTTCCACACTAATCAATCCACCTAACTTATGCCGAAATGTCCTTTATGTCTAGATGACAAAGCTGGCTATCATCCCATGCACTGTTATTTTGGAGACTCTTTTCTTCAGGAAGAAGTTCAGGTTTGTGTTTTATACCTTTGTGCGCCCGTGTGATGATGTCTTGAGCTAACCCTTGTCTGGATTGACACTGTAGCCGGAGTATCCAACTGTCCCTTTCAGTGCTCCTCTTTGGTGTCGGTGTTGCAACAGTGACTGATCTGCAACTCAATGCTGTGGGATCCGTATTGTCCTTGCTGGCAATTATTACAACCTGCATCGCGCAAATTGTATCCTTCAACTTCAGCCCTTATTTTCCTCTTCCCAAAAAATGAAATTTTATGCATAATCACCCTGTAGTGAGAAAGTAGAATTTTCATACACGGTCAGGCTTTTATTATCATCTTTGGTCAGTCACACTTGATTCTGGTTTGAGTATTCAAGTAGGCAATACATCTTGTTTACATTTGCAATGTTAGATAACTCGATATTTGCCAACAGTATCTCTTGCGATGTCGCTCCCTTTCTAAATAAACAGAAGCTACTAGTGTAACTATTTTTTTGTTTTCCTTTTGATCACTATTATGGATCACAATTTTGTAGTACTCTATTTTGTTGTTGGTTTCTGTCATCCTTAACCAGCTATTAGATGACAAACACTATCCAGAAGAAGTTCAAGGTTTCTTCAACCCAATTATTATACCAATCTTGCCCCTATCAATCACTGACCCTCTTCCTTATTGGTCCATTCCTTGATGGATTTTTGACTAACCAAAATGTATTTGCATTCGACTACACATCCCAAGTTGTGGTAAGCAGTGAAACAACTTTCGAAGACTTACTTTGACCTTGTTTTATCTGATTCTGATTTTGCCCTTGTTTCTTATGCAGTTTTTCATTGTATTATCGTGCTTGATATCTGTCTCAGTGAACTTCAGCACTTTCCTTGTGATCGGAAAGACTTCTCCTGTCACTTACCAAGTCCTGGGCCATCTTAAAACATGCCTAGTACTGACCTTTGGTTATGTTTTGCTTCATGACCCATTTAGCTGGAGAAACATACTCGGCATCCTAATTGCAGTAGTTGGAATGGTCTTATACTCATACTTCTGCACATTGGAGGGCCAGCAAAAAAACGCCGAAGTCTCCCCACAACAGGTAGCTTCCAGTCTGAATTTTATTGCTTGCAAATGGTTCACCATTAGTTCTGGAATCGTTTCAATTGTTCCCACATATCTTATCAGCTCTTCAAAACGCCATATATTACAGGCGAAAGAAGGCGATTCGGCTCCTTTGATCTCAGACTCTCTGAGCAAAGTTGAGAATGGAGGTGGAGTGGTTGATGATGAGCCTCTCAAGGTACCGATGTGGAGCTCAAAGTACTCAAGGGCGTGAAAATACCTTCCTTTTAGAAGGCGGCATTATACAGGATTCAATTTGGTAGGCGGATAGTAGGGTTGGAAGCCAACCCAGATTGTAATGAACATTCCAGTTACATTTTTGGGTTTATTTAACATTACTATCTAGTATCTACTAGCAGTAAAAGGGTTCTTGGGAGGATTTTACCTTCAAGATAGCAGATCTGCCTTGAAACTTAGACAACAGATATTGTATGATTGTATCTGGATATGCTCCACATCTTTCTCACTGTAACTTCCTATGGGAACATAGATCCACAGATAGACTTCATTCTTTTGTACCAAAGATCCAGAGAACTAGAGATCTGCAAGGTTCAAGTTTGTGACTGTAAGTTTATGTTTACTTTGGACCCAGTGATGGAGCTTTTGTATATTTAGGACCAAGTGCAAAGAGGGGTTCTTTTCCAACAAGTTTTCAATGCAATAACATGGAACAATTGTTCTCTTCAATCATGTAATTTCCCATGTTCAAAACAATATTTTTGGCTGAGTGAATCGAATGCCGCATGAACCGATTATCCTTTATGTCTCGCGGGTTTTCATGACTGGTGTACAGACGATGGCTCAACATTTCATATCTATCAGAGGATGTAACCATCAGAGTAAAATGAAGTCCTAAAATAAGTTTCTTATATTTATACACGAATCTGAATAGAGGTAAGTATGTAAAAATGGTTAATTGGATCTATACCACTACAATTTTCATGGTTTTGAAATACACCATTACTATTTAACTATTTAAAATCAGGGAAATTTAACTATTTGCCACTCTTGTGACATGGCAATTAACGATTTGCCACACCCTATCTATAACATGTGGGTCCTCATGTGTCTATGACATGTGGGCCTAGTGGCAAATCGTTAAGCACTTAAAATCATGTCACTGTTGTTTCATAGTTATATGCCACTTCTTGACCCTTCTGTACACTTAATAGATTTTTTGGATCAAATTGCCCATCTTCTTATTCACCCCCTCTCCCATCTTTTCACCGAAGATGTTCATCCCCACCGTCAGCGTCGAGGACGACGTCGGTTGTACCCGACACCTGTGCTGCGCGAACATCTCTAGCGACGAGCCCGAGCCGGCATGGCTAGGGCGCTAGCCGCGAGGCTACCAATGCCAGGGAAGACCTCGACGAGGCGGCTGCAGTTCTAATTCAATATTCCCTCCATCCCATAATATAAGGCATGGTCAAACTTGGCACAATCTTCAAAACTAATCTTTGAATTATAATTTCTCATATACTATAAAGTTTATTGCAACAAAATTATAACCATCTTAAAGTAAATTTAAATGTCAATTCAATTATATTAATTTTAGCAAATAAAATTTAACTTATATTATTATTATTGTTGGTTAAATGTTTTTAAAGTTGAATTTTGGAATGTGTGTATGCCTTATACTATAGCACAGAGAGAGTAATACACTTCTCCTGCTCACTTTAGCTTGCAGTTCGGACAAACGCATATATAAACTTTTGGGACTACATTTTCTTTTTAATGATGCAGCTGCGCGCTTACCAGATCTATCAAAATAGTGGAAAGAGCGACGAGAGTAAGCAGAGAGAAGAAAAAGAAAAAAAAACTATCGATAGATGCAACCACCGTAAAAGTAGAGAAAGAACGAGAGCAAGTTGATTGTGTTTATGCACTGATGATGGATTTCTCTGGACTGATCAAGATGGCCCAAACAAAATGAGAGGCTTTATTGGTAAGTTCATTTGGACTCTTTTAACTAGTGATCGAATCTTATTCATATCCCTAAACCATAATACCGGATATCTCGACCCATAAACTATTAAAATCGGTGCAACTTGACTTCTTCGATGGTTTTAGAGGGCGGTTCCGTTGACACAGCGGTGTTGATTTAGTCTTCGCTTCACGTGACGTTGGCGTGGTATTAGAATTAAAAAAATATATGTGAGACTCATTTGTCATTCACACAAAAAAATATTATAGGGCCCACATATCATTCTCTCTCCTTCCCTTCTTCCTCCTCCCTCTCTCTCCCTTCTCTCTCTTTCTCTCCCCCTTTCTCTTCACCTTAGCCTGCACGTGGGGAATGGAGGCCGGATTGGTGGCGGCGGGCGACAACCCACGCACGCCGAGGTCGAATCTTGCCAGTGCGTGCGCATGGTATCCCATTTGGACAAGATGATACCTCTCGTCCGAACGGACCTACCAGGTATCAGGCGATATCTCTGAGGTATCGTCTCGTTCGAATGGGATACCATCTTGTAACATTTCCCTATTTCATATGTATATAGAAAAAAAAAGGAGGCCCATTCATCTAAAGAAATCCCACTCAAAAGGCCTCCTCCCTCATTATTTCAGGCCCAACGACCCAATAGCCTTAAAAAAGGGCCCAAAATCGAATTTACCTTAACTTCTCCCCTCCCCATTCCCAATTCTGTTTCCTCTCGACAGGAGGACGCGCCGCCGCCGATCCGATTAGTTCTTAGTAGTTCAGTACTCTATTCGTTTCACAACGTAAGTAATTCTAGCATTTTTCATATTCATATTGATGTTAATGAATCTAGACATATATATCTATCTAGATTTATTAACATCAATATGCATGTGAGAAATGCTAGAATGACTTGCATTGTGAAACGTAGGAAGTATTACCTCCGTCCCAAAATAAGTGCAGCCATAAGTTTCCGCGCCCAACTTTGGTTGTCCGTCTTATTTGAAATTTTTTTATAATTAGCATTTTTGTTGTTATGAGATGATAAAACATGAATAGTAATTTACTCGTGACTTATGTTTTTAATTTTTTTTCAAAAAAATTCAAATAAGACGAACAGTCAAAGTTGAGCGCGGAAAACCATGGCTGCACTTATTTTGGGACGGAGGGAGTACTTCCATATGTAGGCACGTTCAATTTATGTCATTCTAATCGTTGCTGTAAGCCTGTAAACCATTATTAATTGCAAGTGTTTCTGCTTACTTGCGAAAATGACAGGTTGCAACGCTCTGCCTGTCTGCCTGCATCTTGCTAGGTGAGCGTGTCCTTTCAAATGCTATATCGTTGGGTAGCTTGAACAATACTTCACACACAATTCAGTGTCCATATGTATTGTTGATGGATCTATTCTCTGGTGAAATGCATTGTTAGGCAACTTGAGCATTTTCGTCATTAGGAACTTCTGAACACTCCTCTTATTATGGCAGTTGGAACTTAAGTTCAGATGGTGCTTTATTCAGTACTCAGTTGTCTTCCTGAGTTAATGACATAACAAAATCCCTGAATTTTTATTTCACCTTTTTTTTTTTCTGGAAGCAAGTCTCATTCTTTGCTGTTGTGGTTTTCTGCATTATTCTGTCCCCTTTGGCGTTGGCCTGTTTTTGTCAGTCACAACAGTCATGACATACAAAATGCACCAGCAAAAGGGTGATGTCGATATGGGTTGCTTTAAGTAGTTTAGCGTTTACCTCCCCATCCACTGATCCACATTGTTTTCTACTGTTCTACAGCTCTACTTTACCTACACAGGCTTTTTTTTAAAGGGAGGATATAAGGTTTGGCCTGGTTTAGTTCCCAACTTTTTCTTCAGACTTTCAACTTTTCCATCACATCAAAACTTTTCTACACACATAAACTTCCAACTTTTCCGTCACATCGTTTTAATTTTAATCAAACTTCCAGTTTTAGCGTGAACTAAACACACCCTTTGTCTCGTATGTACAAAGGAGTCCTTAGGTAATAAGTTTCTCCCAAAATTCCGAACTCCTAGAGTCTAAATATATACTCCTACTTTCACCCATGCTCTCGTTTCCTCCTTGATCTTAGCTAGGATTGATGCCACCGTTAATTGCTGCTTTGTAACAGAAAATTCTTACATTACGTCCGTACCATACTTCCCAAATACCAGGATCACTAGAGTTCTGAGTGGTTGGTGAGTGTTACTGAGGAGCACAAGATTCCACCAGTGTTCGACAAACTTGTTCTTCTGTGCAGCTTCAGGATACTTAGACCGTGTTTAGTTCAAAAAATTTTCTTCAAACTTCCAACTTTTCCATCACATCAAAAATTTCCTACACACATAAATTTTTAACTTTTCCATCGCATCGTTCTAATTTCAACCAAACTTTCAATTTTGACGTGAACTAAACACACCCTTACAGAGATGAAACTGTACACTGCTTGTTCCTTTGAGTGGTCTATCATCTATTGAAGGCTTGAAGCAGTATTCTTGTATGGCAAACTAGCATGTGTTTTGTTTCTTGCTCCAGATGCAACACCATTTTACCCCCCTTTTTTTTCTGTGAGAATTGCGATCTGGGCTACTTCAAAACTGGAAGGTACTAGTATGCACATCACATGCAGGTAGTGTTTTCCTGAAGAAACGTGTCCCTTTCCGTGCTGATGCAACGCAAACTCTTTTCTTCCATCAGAATTCTTTTTAATTTTTTGCCTTCTTGGTGTTGGGCTGTTCGTCTGTTCATGTCGCGGATTCTCCCACCCCACCGACCCTCTTCTCCACCAAACACGATTGCTTGCAATTTGCAAATCTAACGTGCGGGCGGCAGGTCGATCGATGCAAAGCGGCAGCCGCAAACCGGTGAGACCTCGGAGATGACGGGGTCCATTTCGCTTATACAAATGTTTACCAACTAAAAATAATTTATGAATATAACTTTTATATACACCTTGTCTATTTTCGCGACAACGGCACCCTAGGCGTGGCGACGGCGCGGCAGCCGAGCAGAAGTGCGGCAGCGCGAGGGTCCGAGCAGCAGCGTGGCGGCCGCGTGACGTGGTGGCCGGCCAAGGGCAGTGGAGCGGCCTCTCCGATGGAGGCGCGGCCGACTGCTCGGCGGCAGGGCGCTGCGACGGTGACGCTGACGGTGTGGTGGCAGAGGCCGTCGCAGTAGCGTCGTTGCAGGCGCGGAGCTCGTCGTGGCGGTGGCGGCTGTGATTGCGGTGGGAGGGGGCACGGTGGTGACGACCGTGGCTGAGGTGGGAGGAGGCATGACGGCCTCGGACGGCTATCCGAGGGTGTGGCAGACGGCTGCATCTGGCCGCGCAGCAGCGTTTGGAGGAGGGGTCAGAGACCGGCTTGGCGCAGAGAGGCGCAGCCGATGGCAGCGGAGGCCGGCTCGGCGCGAGAGGCGTAGGCGGCGGAGATGGAGGCCGGCTTGGCACGAGAGGCGCGGCCGATGGAGGGAGGCCGGATTAGCGCGAGAGGCGCGTCCAATGGAGGAGGCTGGCTTGGCACGAGAGGCGCGACCGGCGGTGGAGAAGGCGACCTCGGTGCGAGGAGGAGCTGTCGGCGGATGTGGTGCGGTCTTCGGCGCACGAAGGCTGGCCGCGCCGGGGAGGGGGGAGGGGGGCACTGTTGCAGTGGTCCCACATGTCGGCAGAGGTTGAGTGATGGTGGAGCATCGGTGCATCAACCGTGGATTCGCGGGTGGTGAGTAGCGGGTGAAAACCCAGTCCGGCCTTGGCCGGACCGACAACGATGGTTAATTATCCCTCCTGAGGGCGTTGTCGTGCTGTCTCAGCACTCAAGGGTGGTTGCCGGGCGAAAGCCCTATCTTAGCTCCTTTGAGCCCCGACGGACGGCGATGACGGTTTTTCCGTCGCTTATCTTCTTGAAGACGTCGTTTTTGGTATCCTCTAGCCAAAGCCTCTCGACTTTGGGCGATCTCGTTTGTGCTCCTTTGTTAGTCTAGCGGCAGTCGGTCACGCTTAGCAGCGGCCGGTCCGGTGTTAGCCTTCTCCCGGAGTTGTGTATTGGCACTGTCAGTGTGGGGGTGGTGGTATATTTTTTTTCCTTTTCCTGGTTACGACCCTCCAGGGTTGTAATCTTGTAATTTTTTTCTTGCTCTATCAATAGAATCTAACACCGTCTCGTGCAGGTCGTTCAAAAAAAATTATTTATGATTCAAAATTAAATGTTGTAAAATAAACTTCAATAAAATCTCACAAAGTTAACTGTATAAATTTAAAAGTTTAGCTTATAAAAGCATAAAACAAATGATAGGACTGGACGAGTGATCGCGCAGCTTTTTCTTTGAAAGGGAGTGGGCTAAGTAAGGCTGTGTTCGTTGGTTGTGGTCTTGGGGATGAAACTAATCCCTCCGATACATAAAACGAAGCGATTTATTAGCGCATAATTAATTAAGTATTAGTTTAATTTATTTTAAAAAATAGATTAATATGATTTTTTTAAAAGTAACTTCCGATTTGAAAAACGTACGATTTCCGGAGGATATGAGTTGGGGAATAACACAACCCCGATCGCTCGTTGGCATCACGGCGGCAGGTTGGAGATCGCCGTTGTGTAGCTGGACCACGGAGGAGATGCCAGATGCGTTTCTTGAACTCCATGATTGATCATTGAACCCCACGACCCCCCCTGGGCCCACATGTCATCTGCCCACTGGCACCATGGCCCCACATACCATTTGTCCATTGTTGCCATTTTGTCATGGTCACCTGTCTCCTCTCTCTCTCCGAGTCTTCGTGCAGCAGTAATGGCATGGCAGATCTGGGCCGTTGATCGAGATGTCAACAGCCCTGCGGTGGGGCCGGCATGAGACAAAAACAATTCAACCGACGGTGTGGATCCGAGGGGAGAAGGAGAAGAAAAATAATGGGAATCAGGCGAAGCTGCTGCCTGCTTGTACCTGTAGTGTACTGTTCGTCCGGTAGTGGGGGGGTGGCCCACATGTCATTGGCACTGGTTAGGCTCCCTACCAACCTACCGAACCCACCACACCAGGTCAAACGATGACCAAAATATTAGTAGTACTACACGTGTACTAGAAGCAGGACGAAATGGGCCAATAGGAGAGCCGGATCTCCGAACGTGGACCAGCGCCAAAATACCACCCCCACACCACACGCGAACCGACGAAATGCAACATGACCTAACCCCCTAAGGTGTTGTTTGGTTGGAGGGACTAAAGTGGGGCTAAACTTTAGTCCCTCCTACATAAACATAAGTCCCTGTAGTTCACAAACACCTCCTAAATACGGTTTAGTACTCACTCCGTCCCAAAATACTGTTTGGATTGGATGTATCGTATTACTACAAATCTAGACATATCAGATTCATAGTACTAGGTTCGTCACATCCAACTAAAACTTGCTATATTTTAAGACGGAGGAAGTAAATCACCACTGGAACAATAGATTTCTCATTGAAAACAAGCACCGACTACAAACGGGAAATCTAGTTTTTCCTTTCAAGTCACCCCTGGAAAATTTTTGATAAGTTTGCTACCATCGAATTTCATGTAATCTCTAACTCCTACTGTTTGAATATATTTTTTAATTAATGACAGCTGAATCGAGGGATGACAAAACGTTGGAATTTCGTAAAAATCGACCGGTTTTCATAAAACCACTATGTCAACGATTTATGAAAACCGATCTGTATTAGCCTGTTTTTGTACCATGTTGATTGAAAGTCATCGGTTTTTATCGATTTTGTGTTGGATTTCGGTGAACCGGCGAGAAGCGATTTTTACTTTGAAATCGAAAGTTAGACCCTGGTTGAATCTCAAGATTGATTTGGACATAATTACCACATCAAATGTTTTTCCAGATACACTCCATCTGTCCCATAAAAAACCAATCTAGTACTGGATGTGACACATCCTAATACTATGAATTAAGACATATGTATGTGTCACGTCCGGTCTTAGATTCGTTTTTTATGGAACGGAGGGAGTATACCGTAATAAAACAGTTTTTTTTGTGAGCTGTGAGGGGGCGGCCATGTCAGGGTGCATCAGCAGATTCAGCAGACGGCTGGCGGTGACACGAGCAATTTAAACCGTTGCTTTGCCGATTAGTTGTTGTATAGTAGCTCTATTGCTGATTTTTTTTTTCAACTAATTGCCTTGAAAGGCACTTCATTTTTTTTCCTACGTGTCTCTTTTTTCTATTTGACCGTGTATACGCACTAAATTTAACTATTTTATTTTTCTTATAAACACATTACAATCGTAAACGCTCACAATACGCGCGTACTCATCCATATAAATGCACACACCCTACCTCTTTGAGCATCTTCCGAAGATTGAGTCGGCATATCTTAAGATTAATGAAGTCACCACATATACATCGTCTATCACTAAAAGAATAATTAGGCATAAATACAATTCGGATGGGTTGGTTTCACCACAGGAACCTAACGAGTTAAGCTATACTTACTTTGGTTTCTACTGATACTAAGTATGGACCCACCTATATTTTTATGTGAATTCGCTATTGGTCTTGGCATAACGTGGACCTTAACCTAAATAAATTACTTTAATTTAATTTAATCGTGCCCAAGGGTGGAACAGAAAAAAGAAAAACTAAAAATCTCAGCGTTCATCGAGGATCTTATATTTATCCCCGTCTCCGCGCTCGTCTCGGCTCCTTCTTTGCCCACTTCCTGCCGCCGATTTTGCATCTCGCGAGCAGAGCAGGGCGCGCGGCTGCTTCCGCCACATCCTGGTATGGATCCGGATCCTCTTTTCTCATCCATCTCTCTTTATCTCCACCCACTTTCGTCTCGAATTTGTTTGCGTTAACCCTTAGCTTCTCCTCCTAGATCTGGAAGCAGCCATTTTCTTTGACCAAGTAGTAGCAGTTTGTTCTTTTCCCCCAAAAAAATATGTTTGGATCCGCCCCTTGTTACGCGTTTTACTTCGGTTTGTGATACGAAGATTCGATTTTATTTTATTTTTATGTATATGTATAAGATGAGATTAGGAGAGTATAAATGGTTTGAGGTTTCAAGAACCAAATTGATTGATTTGAGTGTTGTTGGATTGATCGTCGCAGGGGGTGGAATGCTTGCCAAGATGCAGTCGTGCCGATGGATCTTGGCTTACTTGCTCGTCGTTCTCGTGAGCCTGCACGGTGGTGCCAATGGCTTCTACCTCCCGGGCACATTCATGCACACCTACACCCCAAATGAGGTGATCTCAGCCAAGGTCAACTCGCTCACCTCCATTGAGACTGAGTTGCCCTTCAGCTACTACAGCTTGCCCTACTGTAAGCCCCCGGAAGGCGTCAAGAAGAGCGCCGAGAACCTCGGCGAGATCCTCATGGGTGATCAGATCGACAATTCGCCATACCGGTTCCGAGTCAACGTGAACGAGTCCGTGTACCTATGCACCACGGACCCACTCACCAAGGAGCAGGCCGAGCTGTTGAAGAAGCGGGCGCGAGATCTGTACCAGGTCAACATGATCCTTGACAATCTGCCGGTCATGCGATTCACCGAGCAGAATGGGGTGACTATCCAGTGGACCGGATTCCCGGTCGGGTACAACCCGATGGGGAGTAACGAGGATTACATCATTAACCATCTCAGGTTCAAGGTCTTGGTCCATCAGTACCAGGCGCAGGGTGATGTTGTGATCACCAGTGAGGATGGCGTTGCCATGGTGGAGTCGGATCGCAAGAGCGGATTCCAGATTGTTGGCTTCGAGGTTGTGCCTTGCAGTGTGAGGCGTGATCCTGAGGCGATGTCCAAGCTGAAGATGTATGACAAGGTTGATTCTGTCAAGTGCCCATTGGAGCTTGAGAAATCTCAGGCTATCCGTGAGAACGAGAGGATTACATTCACCTATGACGTTGAGTATGTTAAGAGCAACATTAAGTGGCCATCAAGGTGGGATGCATACTTGAAAATGGATGGTGCCAAGGTTCACTGGTTCTCGATCATGAACTCGATGATGGTTGTCTTCTTCTTGGCTGGTATCGTGTTTGTCATATTCTTGAGGACTGTCCGTAGGGATCTGACACGGTATGAGGAGATGGACAAGGAGGCGCAAGCTCAGATGAATGAGGAGCTCTCAGGATGGAAACTTGTGGTTGGTGATGTCTTCAGAGAGCCTTGCTGCTCAAAGCTGCTATGTGTTATGGTCGCTGATGGTATCCAGATCACTGGTATGGCAGTGGTTACAATTGTCTTTGCTGCTCTGGGTTTCCTCTCACCTGCTTCAAGGGGAATGCTCTTGACCGGAATGATCATCCTGTACCTCTTCCTTGGAATTATCGCTGGATATGTCGGTGTCCGTGTTTGGAGGACAATCAAAGGAACCTCAGAAGGGTGGAAATCTGTTGCTTGGCTGACCTCCTGCTTCTTCCCTGGCATTGTTTTCGTTATCCTGACTGTGCTGAACTCCATCCTGTGGGGCAAGAAGAGCACTGGAGCTTTACCTATCTCACTGTTTTTCACACTCCTGGCCCTGTGGTTCTGCATCTCAGTTCCACTCACACTTATTGGAGGTTTGCTGGGTACACGTGCTGCAAGCATAGAGTACCCTGTCCGTACCAACCAAATTCCACGAGAGATCCCTGAGCGCAAGTTCCCGTCATGGCTGCTTGTTTTGGGTGCTGGAACATTGCCCTTTGGCACCCTCTTCATTGAGCTTTTCTTCATCCTGTCTAGCATTTGGTTGGGGAGGTTCTACTACGTCTTTGGCTTCCTGTTCATTGTCCTTTTCCTGCTGGTCATAGTCTGTGGTGAGGTTTCTTTAGTCCTAACCTACATGCATCTTTGTGTGGAGGACTGGAAGTGGTGGTGGAAAGCCTTCTTTGCTTCTGGTTCTGTCGCCTTCTACGTCTTCCTATACTCAATCAACTACCTCGTGTTCGACCTTAGGAGCCTAAGTGGACCGGTCTCAGCAACGCTCTACCTTGGCTATTCCCTGATCATGGCCCTTGCCATCATGCTGTCTACTGGTGCTATTGGCTTCTTGCTGTCCTTCTACTTCGTCCATTACCTCTTCTCATCTGTTAAGATTGACTAGAGGCACCCACACTCTTGCTGCAATAGGATCACCTGAGCATGGTGATAGTTATCCCTTAGAAACATATCACACAATAATATTGAATTGAAAAGAAAAATGTAAACATGGCAACGCCCATGGCTTTTGGCCCTGATTAATTCTATCATTTAGCATAGCACAGTTTCTTTAAGTTCATGCTTATGTTTTGTAGGCATGTCTGCAATGTTTCAGCTATGTTTTTTGACTTTGTAATACTATTATGTTTTGTTTTCTCTGGGCATTTGTGAGCAGCCTTTGTTGGAACACTTTGACAGATATTCAATATTAAAGAGCTATTCGATTACAGTCCTTATGTTTCTTCCCCTGATATTATACTGTTGAATGCTTGGTAACTGCTACTTGTTATGCTGCTTCCGCTTGCTCTGAAACTTGTAACGAGATAATGCTGTTGAGCAATTTTCTTGATAAACATGTATGTGTCTACATGAGTTGCTGTCAACCTTGCCGCTGTGAATACTCGTTTTCTGAATTCTGAAGGTTGTAATAAGGTCACAGTTTTTCAGTTAGTTGCCACATGTTCTGACGTACTATGTGACATGATTCACTGTTTCTGGTAAGCTGTAACAGTAGAACAGCATACACAGCTTCAAACCCCTCCAAGCCCTGTATTCTGTTCCCTGTTCATGGTCTGCTTACAGTATTCTGATGTTCGCATTATTTGCATCCTGTGTTGTCTGGTATTGGATCAAATAGATTAATAAAACATCAAACTGCTATATCTGGCCTTAACGCACGGCTCTCCCTTATGTGTATTTACAAATTTAATTTGAATTTATATGTTTATATGCATGATATATCTTATCAATTTATCTTGTTAATCTTTTTTCATGATATATCTTATGTGTATTTACAAATTTAATCTTTTTTTTAGTTAATCTTCCTTGTCATGTTAGGATTTCTTTTATTTTTGGTTGGTGTGCTTGTTTAATTTTGGACTGCGCCTTTTAGTGTGCTACTTCTTATAATAATTGGCTGTAGCTCTCATGAGCAAAGGTCGGGATGTTTCACTCCATTATCTTAAAAAAAAGACATGAAAAACGAGGGTTGTAAACACTTTCCCCTTTCTATCGTTCCTTTCCCTTCGTGGCAAACGTCCAACTACTGCTTTATTAGTTGTAATGCAGTCGTAAGATGCAGAAAAGATGTTAATTAATTAACAAGGTTGGTTAGAGTTTATTTTGTCTAGGTAGTGGGCACTGGATGGTGATGTTGTCTTTGTCCTTTAGTAATCGCAGTTATCAGAAGGTAGATCACTGTTCAGTTAATACAGTCGTAACCAATGATACTAGAGTGTGCTAATACTTAGTACAAAGATACTAGAATCCTTTTCTCATGGATCTAGCATGTGCCCATAATTTCTTGGATGCTTGGGCAATGTTGCATTTGTAGTTTCTGTTTTTTTTTTAATAAGATCAGGACACACACAACTAAATTATTAATTAAATTGTGGACCATTTTATTCAGTCTAATTATCCATGGTTCATACTATGCATGTCAAACTATCAGGATGACCAAACTTGATTAACTTGACATAGTGATTCTTACAAGCAGAAAGCAATGCGCCATAGCAGTTTAATACATACCTCCTCCATCCTAGAAAAACCGAGAAGTTGTTGGTTTTTTCAAGGATGAAGATTTCCACAAGAAGCATAAAAACACACACAAAAAAAATGCATCAGACAAAATCATCACGCAATACATCAACTGAAGTGAGTTAGTGACAGTCGGACAATAGTTTGCTAAAAATACCATTCTGCCAAGGGAAAACCTAATGTCCATTTCTCTTTCCTCTTTTCATGTCATAATAGCTAAATCGTTTGCAATGTATGTATTTATACAAGACAATCCACTGGCTCTTGTTTGAAGTTGAAAGCTCGCCCATGAAATTTGACTGACAACTCGGTATCTACTGACAGTTTTCTGATCAATGGACAGACTAGTGTATAATTTTCCAGCTCCTTGTAGAAAGATCACTCAACCTTTGCAAACCCTCCTTCCGGTAGACTACTGTCATTAACTGCTTCTCGCACAAATCTACAAAGCAAAATGGTAGCGTCAAATAACACGGATCAGTTCCAATTGAATTAATCCATCCAACGCCACTATTATTCTTTAATGTTGCGACCAAAATGGGAGAGAGCAGTACATCTCCAGGTAACTAAGCTAGCATGATTATGATCAATACAGCTTTAAAAGATGATTTATAGAAATTGGGTCAGTGTTCAACCTACAAAACCAAAAGCATGCAGGATGCAAAAAATTAATGAATTCTCATTATTTTTGTTCTACGTAGCCGTGAATAGTTCAGTCTCAGCCTATATACAGAAAACTAACTGAAAGGTGAAAAACAAACCTTGTCAACTTTTCCTGAGATGATTGCAGGACGTAGATTGCAAGGATGAAGGATAGAACAAGCCCTGCATATATAAAAAGAAGCTATTTTAGGACACAAATGTGAAAGCCATTAGAACTAGAAAACTATCACACTTTGCTATATCAGCATAGATGGCATCAGAACATAAATGTTCCGTTCATGATATAAGGGAAATCGCAAGAGTAGTATAGCATGGCAAACAAATGCTATTTGAGTTAAAACGAACTCACCAGATCCAAACAACACATAGAAACCTCCAGGAACATCTATCTCCGATTGCTCCTCCCTGAATGAATCATTTCAAGTCCTTGAATCAATTTCACCCTAGTTTGTTATGGTAAAGATCTTTTTGAAAGGTCATAGTAAAATTTTAAATTACAAAGTAAGTTTTTACCATGTATATCTGACCAGAACATATTTTGGCCAATTCTGTTGATCCCAGAAATTCTTCCTTATGTCAGGATGATGTTCAACATCTGGATAACAAAATGAGCATTGGTTAGCAATTAGGGAAATCGAGAAACAAAACAACAAAATCAGCCTGTGAATAAAAATAATTTACTAGGTGAAAGAAAAACCACTCTAAAAATGATAGCTATCCTTGAAAAAGTCTAGTCTATTGGAAATTTACAACATATGCTATGTGCCCTTATACAAGGCCCGAATATTGCTGCGGTATTGAGAGAGAGAGAGAGAGAGAGAGAGAGAGAGAGAGAGAGAGAGAGAGAAGTCATGAGCATTTGCTGATAACTCCCAAAAGGGCTGCTCTATGAGCTCACCATTAGTTCACTACCGAAAGGTAAACAAAGTTGACTACTTGACTACACTAAGATAAATCTTTAAAGATTCCCCTGAACTGAAAAACAATGCTCATAATGGGTTTATATAAACGAACTACGTTCAGGAAAACAGACATGCAAAGAACATAACTTATTAATGAAGCGCTGCTACACATGAAATGTTTTGTTACTATTTGGCAAACATATGTGTACATGGTACTGCTTGCATGAGAAATAATAACAATACTAAATATGATAGAATTATATAAGTTTAGACATATGCAAAAAGATATATCACGAGGACAGGTGATAACAATACATACAAATGTGTACATGGTACTGCTTGCATGAGAAATAATAACAATACTAAATATGATAGAATTATATAAGTTTAGACATATGCAAAAAGATATATCACGAGGACATGTGATAACAATACATACAAATGTGAGGCATGTCCACTACTTTAGCTGTGACACCAAGTAAATCATTTCCAGAGTATTTCTGCGTAATCAAAGGTAGATCAAATTAAGCACAGAGACAAGTCTTGCTGGAAAGGTATATAGAAACTATTAAGCAAGGACTCACCAAATGGAAATCAATCATTGGAACTTCAGAGCTTTTGCGATTTATGACATAAAGCCAAGGAAGGTGGAACTTTTCGTGACCAATTTGAAATGTTCTACAGTGTCAGAATCAGGTAAGATTGCAAAACACATCTCCAGAAACACACTCATATACAGGTTGTAAATCTCATATGTTCATAACATTTCCAACCTTACTACCATTTACTCTTTTAGTTCTCTACAACAGTCAATTGAACTAAAAGTCAGTTCGTCTTAACCTTACAATGAGTATTATAACCTAGCACAAACTATGCAGAACACCATACCTTCTGAATTCTCTCTCTCAAAAATGAAAAATAACAAGAAAAAGTTTTAACAATTTATGATTTCAGTCACAAGATTCTGGTGTCACAAAATCATCACCGATTATGATGATAACCTTCAAAGTCATGCCCTACAGCTTACTGAACTCACTGTTCTACTCAAAATTGTATAGAACAGAAGTGTAAATTTTCCGTCTAAAACATGAACAACAGCAGAACATCTTACTCACATCTTGTAAGGATCTGCACCGGTGAACCCAGTCGGCTTGGGGATCGGCATCATAACCTGCACAAGAGAGACCAACCCAAATCACCAAAACCACTCCCCCACACACATGAAACGAATCAGAGATCTCGACCCCTCTCTTTCCAAGAACACACCCCCATCTCACCTCATGGTTGACCGCGAAGGACGGGCAGTGGCGTCCCACCACATCGAACCACACCGACCTCGACTGCAAACAAACAAAAAAAGAAAAACCCCACCTCGCAGATCAGATCGCGCCGAAGAACAACGCAAATCAGCCTCAGAATCCGAAGGCTAAGCGGCTTTGCTCACTTACGCCGTGGTACTGGCCGGAGCGGAGCATGGGGACGATGTCGCCGGGGCGGTAGGCGGACGCGAGGGGGGCGAGGAGGGCCGAGAAGAGGAGGAGGAGGAGGAAGAGGCGGTGGTGGGCCGCGGCGGGGCTCCGGCGGGCGGCCATGGCGGCGAGGTGGTCGCCGGAGTTGGGGGTGGAGGGTGAGATTCGGGGTAAATGGGTTGGGTTCGATTTGGAGCGTCAGATTTGGCGATGCCTATTGGACTTTTGGCTTCACTAATTTTGGCCCATTATTCAGCCCAGTAATGGTGCATGTAGTAGGGATTTTGGCCCAATTAATTACTGGGCCTACAAACATATGGAAATTCGGTTCTGTTTGTGTTTATATTTTTTCTTGTTGAGGTTGGAAATGAACCTACGAAATTTGTATGGAATAGGCAGCAGGAAGTTACACAATTTCATTTAGCATAGTTTTTTTTTTTACCTCTGTATGTATATTTCTGAAAAAAAAATGTGAGGCATGTCCACTACTTTAGCTACATGTATCACACTTTCATAATATTTGAAATTCATTATATTTTTTTTTCAAATAACAGAATAGACAATGCTGAGTGTAGATTAGTTGGTTAGGTTTCTTACGATGAAACATTTAAATCATAAACTTGTCGCAGATGCTCCTATTTACGACCAATTGTTCTATCAGTGGTAGGTGATGTACCTATCAACAAACAGGTCATATGTGATGATTTTGCTAACTTTAAGACATGCTGCTTTAATCTTCAGAAGTATAATTAAAGTAGCTATAGTTTACATAGGGTGTAAATAGAAAACCATGCAATACAGCTTCATAAAACCGTCTTATACTGAACTAGTATGTTCCTTTTACTTCATAGAATATTCTATATTTGACTGCATTGAGATTGTGGATGCGGTTGAAAAGTGTTCTGGTGCACTGGTGCTAAAGATAGATGAGGGCATACTTGACGTTGACATCCCCCAGTTCCATAATTCACTGGTGGATAGAATGACATAAGAATTAGACCTATAATAGTCCCGCTTTTCATTTAGTTTATGAGAAGATGAGGTTATCGAATTTACAAAATAAACTAAAATTTGGAAGTTAGAAAACTCAACTTTTCTATATCTCAGAAGATGGCTACCAACAAACCGTTTTTCAGAATCATAAGTTCTGCCAAACAGGCTATTAAGCTCGGTTCGAAAACTCGTTTATCTTTTTAACTCTCTTGATAGCTAGGAGCAAACTTCTAAACGATTTATTTTGAACAAGAAGTTTTTACAAAAGCTTTTTAAAAATAAAATAAACTCATTTTTATTTATAGTGATTAATATTTGATTAATCACATGTTAATGAATGCAACTAAAAGCCTACCGCCAAAATCACTATTGAACTAAGCATAAGCCTTAGTAATTATTAGTACACTGCATGCGCTTAGTATGTTATTTATTTTCAATGGTTTTGTAGACATATAGTTATAAAAAAAGAAGTCCTTTTATATCTACTTTAACCCTTATACGAATGGCAAACTTTGTGACGATCGACAGAACATCTCAATTTCTTTTTAAAAAGTAAAATGAACTGTTTATCCAAACATTAATTTTGTTTATAGCTGATACACAACTCTTCTCTCCCACAAAAAGGGGAAAAAAATGCACAACTCTACATGACTACATCCCAGAATAGATTAGGCAGCATTCTGACGCTATTGCATGGACAAACCATTATCCAAAGAAAAAAAACTACCGAAAAAGTATAGAAAATCCACTTCTTAAGCTTTTTACTAGTGGCTAGTATGATTTTACAAAGGCTGATGTAAAAAGAAAAGTTAAAAAATTGACGTAATTTCAGGTCGTATTTGTGGTGCAACAACCGTTCAACCAACACAGCTAGCAACAAGAGTAGAAACAAAAATTCCCCTCCTATTTTTTACCAATCCCCAGCCATAAAAATTAAAACGAGAAAAAAAAGAAATAATCCCCACAAATATTAATTGTATAAATAAAATCGAAAAGAAAGGAAAAATAAAAAAAATATCCAAAAATAAAACCCCCTCCACTCCCATCCCGTTTCTCCCCCTTTCCCCTTCTCATGGAGTCGTGTAGCTTCCGCACCGCCGCCTCGCCATCGCCATTCCCCTCGCTTCCCTCCTCCTCCCGACAAGCGCCGCCATGCTCCAGCCTCCGATTCCCCGTAAGAAGTTCCCTCCTTTTACGGCGGGTTTATGGAAACTTTTGGGTTTTTTTTTTCTGATGTTTTTGGGATTTTTTCTTTGGTTGTTGCAGAGACCAAGAAACGGGAGGATGGTGGGGGTGCGGAGGAGGGCGTCCGGATTCGAGGCCTTCCCTCCCCTACCTGGTAAGGTGTTCGTCGAGGAGGTGAGCTTTTCTTGGTTTTTGTTTGATTCATGGGTGTAAAGATAAGAGTTTTCTTGGTTAATTTCTTGTTTGGTTTGAAGAAGTCTGGCTTGCCCTAGGCGCAAATGTGGTATTAACTTCGATTGGGGTTGGATTTGCTCTGTGCGACCTCCGGATTAGGCAGGGATTCAGCTTGCTCTGATGCTTCTTTAGAATACAAACTGCACATCTTTGGGAGAAATCAATGCCATTTAAGTGGTTCATGGGTTAATTTCCATCTTTTCTTATCTTGGTTGTACTAGTGGGGTGGAAAGTTAGCTCATGCTTCTTCCATTTCGGAGCATTGGCGAGTTTCGTCTAAAACAGGGCAAGTGACTAAGTGAGTTTCATTTGAGTTTGATGGTTCCCTTTGGTGAATTATCCCCAGTATTGCTGTTCTTGTAGTTGGTGGGTTCGATGATGTAGTACTCTTAGCTAAGGAGTAGATTTTTAGTTCTGTTGCTTGGAATCTTGGTAGTCAGTTAATTACCATATTCATATACTTGGATCACTTATGACTAACATTTCTGAACGTTCCCAAGCTATGGTTTATATTATTCCATTACATGATACACTCTTCGAGGATAAGAGCTGTTTACCTTTCATTTTTGTAGGCCAGGACTAATTAGATGTGCATTTGTTTTTTAGGCAATTGGAGCTGAATATGGGGAAGGTTTTGAGACATTTAGGATGGATGGACCACTCAAGGTCGATGTGGTGAGTATACGTCATTTAACTTACATGGCAATTTTTTCTATATCTAGCATCCTGTATTACTTCCTTAAGTTACATTTTGTATAAGTTTCCTTTCATTGTTTCAGGATTATCTGAACGAAAAATTGCAAGAATGCTTCCTTCAAAGGATAAGACATGCTATGAAGCCAGATGAAGCATGTGGGCTTATTTTCTCATGGGACAACGTAATTGTGAGTTTTTTTTTTTGTTCTTGTGCTAGTTTGTAATAGTGCAATGTCTACTAGCCTACTAGTGATATTTATTTCTTCTAAGTGGCACATTAGGCCTTCTCGTCTGCAGTTACTCGTTGTGAAGATCATTCAAACAAACTCTACCTTACGTGTTAATAATTTAAAATTTGTTTCTGTTTCAACTTCATTACGGGATGCTTTGTTTTTTTGGTTTGAACTACACTGGTTGATTGGTAGAGAAGAACAAGAGTCAGCTTCCTTAAGTCCATTCTTCTCAGTAGTTTATAGAGCTGTTACAATGGGGAAACACTTTTAATCACCTAGGTGGACATCCACCCATTTGTTGCATGTCAACTAAATGGGTATGAAAAGAAAATCAAAAAAAAATTGACAAGATATATTCATATGTAATATATCACCCCACAAACATGCAAGTTCAAATTCGACTTCTACAAGTTGTAATAAAAATAACAAATCAAACTCTGAGTAGTATACGCATATTCACAGTTAAATTTGTTATTTTTGTTTCAACTTATAAAAGTTGAATTTTAAGTTGCATGTTTGTGTAGTGATATATTTTATATCAATCTATCTTGTAAATTTTTTTGAAATTTTTTCATGATCATTTAGTTGACATGCACTAAATGAGTGGACGTCCACTCGAGTGATTAGAATCCACCTCCATTACAATGCCCATTGTTGCATCTATAATTGACTCAGATTTGTCATCCTCTTCTGTTCTCTTAGGCTGATACAGACTCACTAAAGTTGGATGCCTGGAGACAGCTTGCTTTGGAAGAAGGTATACCTTTAAAATAAAAATATTCAGTGTAAAGTTTTATGAAACATACTATTCCTATAATGTTATTGTATGGGTCCTTTTCTTTTTTCCGACAATGCAAACTGTAGAAATCATTTTCTTACTCGTTTAAGTTCATATTTTGTCTTCACATTCAGATTCTCAGTGGTATATTGTCTGCAAGGTCTGAGGAGCACATACATTAACTTACTATAAATATAAGATTCTTATTGTGCAACCTTTTATGACTTCTCATTCAATTTTGACTGAATAAAATCGGTCTAAACTACTTATTTGTCATTGAGGTTTGTGTTTACCTCACTGCCAGGGATGCTACCTTGATATTGCTAATAAATTTATTTCATGCAGGGAAGGATATCCCAAATGCTGGTCATGTCCAAAAGAGTATTCTTCATGGTGCTGCCGACCATGTGCTTAGAAAGGTATGAGTTTTCTTTATACATACGGAAGGTCTATGTTTTAGAGTTGATACCATGCTTGCATCATCAATTAGCTTTGGTACTTTTTAGTAACACTAATTTGCCACTGAAAGTTATTTTGCTGCAAACAAAATAATAATAATAAAAGCATACTCTTTGTTGGGCACATTCTTTCTATTGTGCATATGGCTTTCCTTTTGCAATTTGCACCCAGTGGCAGTTAAAGTGGCAACTCTACTTGTCCTTATTCAGGTTTTATGTTGGGCAAAAGATGAAAGTCAAATGGAAAGACTGAAGGCACGGCTTATAGAGTTATACTACGAAAATCTCTTCAAAGTAATTATTTCTACGCTTCTTTTGGGATAAAAGATGGCTTAAATTATACATAATTGTTTCTGATTAAGTATGTTCATTTCATTCAGCTTGATACACCAGTAAATGGATTGCGGGAATGGTTGGATGCTGTCCAGACAGCAGGCATCCCTTGTGCTGTCGCATCGTCCCTGGATAGGAGATGCATGATTGAAGCTTTGGATCGAATGGAACTAAGCAAATACTTCAAGGTTCTTTTTTTTGTATCATCCTAATTTCCAAGTTTTACCAAAACATTATTTTCTGAAATACATTCTTCGAATACGATGTATATCAGAAGTTAATTTTATTCATTCCTCCTTTATATTTCAGGCAATTGTGACTGACGAGGATGATATGGAGTCAATAGCACATAGGTTCCTCTCAGCTGCTATGAAGGCATGCTTCTGCTCCGCTTCAAAATATTTAGCTGTTTTCAGGATATACTGCTCACATGTTTGTCAAACCTGTCTTTTCTCACCAGCTGGATCGGAAGCCCTCAAAGTGTGTGGTGTTTGAGGATGACCCGAGAGGCGTAACCGCTGCTCACAACTGTACCATGATGGCAGTTGCACTCATTGGTGCTCATCCTGCGTATGTAGTTCTCTCATTTATTTTTTCTTTTTTGGAATAATATTCTTTGAAATTAGAGCACAGTTTGTTCCATTGCTTTCAGATCTTTCTGTTGAACTACATAGCAAATCTTGGCTACTTACCTGCGGAATATACATTTTGTATGACATGTAGGTATGAGCTGGTACAGGCTGATCTCGCCATCGCAAAATACAGTGAGCTCTCGGTTATCAATCTCAGAAGGTTGTTTGCACATAAGGGGTTAAGTTTCATGGACTTGCAGAAGCAGATCATCGAGAGGTCACCTCCCAAGAGGAAGCTGACAGTAGACACCATCTTCTAATGAATTCTTTACCTCCCAATACTGAAAAAGAGAGAAAAGAAAATAGCACCATGCATCCTCCCTACTGTGCTGTGTATATAGCATTCCATGTTGGTTAGATTACATAGAAAGCTGATGTTAGATGATCTGTTGTTGCATACCTCCATTCTGGATGTACTAGATGTAAACTGATGTTTAACCATTTTAATCATGATAAATACTACCAGTCTACCAAACAGAATCATGTCCAGGGTTATGAAGGGTGTGCGCTTCTGATGTGTGGGCCTATGGAGGGTGGGCCCCACCTGTTAGGGATTGATGCCCCCTCGGACTTGGAACAATGCATATTATGTACACACAAGATACATACGTATTGAGGGCCTATTTGGTAGAGCTCCAACTCCTAAATTTAGCTCCAGGAGTTGGGTCTGGAGTGGAGTTGTGTAGCTGCCTAAACCCAGCTCCACCACTCTAGTTCATTTTGTGAGAGCTCTGCTCTTATGTTAGGTGGAGCTGAAACTGTTTGGCTGAGCTCCAGAGCTAGAGCTGTGCTAAACAGGCAAATTGAAAGGCGCACACCTGCAGTTAGATAAGTTAGGGGCTCTCTAAAATTGGGCTATTACTGAATATATGCTCAGAGCAATTACAATTTATTCTATTGCTTCAGTTGGATAAGATGGAATACAATTTGTTGTATTGCTTTTAGATCTTTTTGTTGAAACTGTACCACTAATCTTTGCTTCTTACTACCATTTTGCACTCCTTACAGATATAGGCAAGAGCTGGAACTTGCTGAACAGCTTGAGCAAATATTCCAGAGGTCGCCTCCTAGCAGGCTAGTCTTTTTGCAATGGGAGATTTGCTCTGGTCCAGCAAAAAGTATCTCGAGGTAACGGTACCTCACGGTACCAAATCGTTTCCGATCGTTGGATCTACCTGGTCAGGATGTACAATGTTAGATCCAACGATCGTAAATGATTTGGTACCATGAGATACCGGTACCTCGAGCTACTTTTTGTTAGACCGGAGAAAATCTCTTTTGCAATGGAACATAGCGATGTTACCGTAGGTATTAGGATTTAAGTCAGCTGATAGTAGACAACATCTTATAAAAAACGAGCGATTCCTTTTACTGCTTAATTGTATTTTTCCTCTTTGTTTCTATCAATTATCTTAAAAAAAGGGAACAATTCCATGCTGTTTAATAACATATTAACATAGCGCTGAGCCGCTGATGTTAGATGATCTGTTGCGTAGCTCCATTTCTGGATGCAGCAGTTGTAATTGTATGGATGGTTTACAGGGAAGGATCAACTGCTAGAACCATGCTGCTGCTGCTGTTGACCTGTTGTTGTAAGCTGACATTAGCAGATGATCCATTTATTCATGATAAATACCAGTTTTCCAAACACAGACATGGACATGCTTCAGAAGTATATGCATTCTTGTGTGTTCGCAGCTGGTATATATGGCAGACGTACGTAGTATCATGCTAATGCTAGCAGATTGAAAGAGACGAAAATATCTTTATTTTTTTTCCCTTCCTTAAAAAAAAAAATGAAGAGAAAGAGACTGAAAGGCAGCACGGTAGTTGAGCAGAGTTATATTCCTGTTGACAGCAACAGTTAATTTTGGGACAGTTTGGATGAAAAGGGATTAAGCAAACACTTGGGCAAAGGAAACAAGGAAAACCCCTGTTATTTTTCCTTTCTTCTCAGCCGAGAAATTTGATAATTTAACACTTTTTTTCATTGTCGAATTACTTTAATTGATACTTATGAGGATGACATGTGAGACCATCTGAGTGGATAAAATTGAGACAAGATGTCAAATAATTGAAGCTCTAATTCTGAGCCCCCTGTTTTGTGCTCCGTTCAAACACCAGTTTTCTTTTCTAATATTCAGACACCTGAATGTTTTTGCTCTCTCTCACCTCACCAAATCTTCTCTAATTTGTCCTAAATATTTAGCTGTTAGTAGTTTGGTAGTATCTCTTCTTAAAGATGCTCGTGCCATACGTTGTAATATCATACCGGGTCGATGGCGACTGCTGCGTCTGCTTAATAAGAAGAGCATCAAAGCAAAAAATAATTCATTTTGCGAAGAACAATAATTAGTACTCCCGTCCCATAATATAAGGGATTTTGAGTTTTTGCTTGCACTGTTTGACCACTCATCTTATTCAAAAAAATTTGTGCAAATATAAAAAATGAAAAGTTATGCTTAAAGTACTTTGGATAATAAAGTAAGTCAAAAAAATAAATAATAATTCTAAATTTTTTTTGAATAAGACGAGTGGTCAAACGGTGTAGGTAAAAACTTAAAATCTCTTATATTATAAGACGGAGGGAGTAGTTGATAGCTGAGTTAGTAATAGTATTAGGCAGCTTCTCTTGCCAACTCTAGTGAGACTGTGACATGAAAACTTAGAATTGCAGAGCAGGTGAAGTCGTGAAGATGCAGGAGCAGAGTACATAACAATGGCGTTAGGATTACACGTTCAGAGAGTGAGCTAGAGCACATCGTTGATTTTTGTTCAGCGATCATCGATGGATAGACGGCGGATTCGGCGAGATGTGGAGATCGAATCTGTCGCCGACGACTCTGCCAATTCTGTCCAGGTTAAATCTCTCTCTTCTTAGATGAAAATTGCATGCGATTTACTGTTGATGAGTATGTTTAATGGTGATTAGTTCATGGATTAATAAGCTTATTATATGTTCATCAATTGCATGGTGTAGAACATCAGGCTGGTGATTGACATCGGCGACAGGACGATCCAGGTCCCTCTCAATGGCCACACCGTCGCGCAGAACATCGGCCGTCAGGCTGCCGCCGCCGTCGCCGGCGATTCGTCAGCCGGCGGTGTCAGTGAGAAAGCCGGTGGCGGCGGCGAGGAGTGGCTGCAAGAACAGGACGGCTTGTTGAGCATGCGCGGGTGGCTGATGGCGGTGGCCACGCTGTTCGCCGCCATGGCGTTCCAGGCGGCGCTGCAGCCGCCGGGGTGGATGCCGAGGCCGCGCGACTGGTTCGCGGCGCTGCTCGCCGCCGACCCGGCGGCGGCCGCCGTCACGAGGGACCAGGCCGGGAAGGCGATGCTGTACCTGATCGTCAACACCTGCACCTTCGCCACGTCGCTCGCCGTGCTCCTGATGCTGCTCGCCGTGGGCGACGCCGGCGGCGGCGGCGGCGGATGCGCGTCGAGGAGGGTCACCGCGAGGCTGATCGCCAACATGATGACGGCCGTGGCGCTGTTCGCCGCGGCGACGTTCGCGCTCTGCGCCGCCGACGACTACCGGCTCATGGCGTTCGTCGGCACCGTCGTCGCCGTGTACGCCGCCGTCACCGTCGTGTTCGTCAGGTGCAACCTTGCTCTGCCGTTCCGGAGAGGCGGCGGCGGCGGCGGCCATGGTTGTTGTAGCTGGGTGTCAAGATTGTAATAAGAGCAGATAATACTGGGCCGGCCATGCATTTGATTCAGCCATATTACTATACACGCGCGGCGCAACGCACAATAACGGAGTTTAGTACCACATGGAAAATTTACAGCGGTGGAGACCTGTATAAAAGAGGACGTGGTCGTGTTGCTCCCGCCGAGCTTGGTTGTGCGAGCTTGTCACCCCAGCTGTGGGGGGCGGGAGTTGGCAGGATTGGCCGATGTTGGGAGGATCGAGGGTATAGATAAGATATCTCTCCTCCCTGGTCTCGTTGGGTTGTTGAGGCACAGATGCTAATTCTATTTGTCCGACTTTGGACTTAGGGGGAGGACTATAGGTGTCATCAAACCCCAGGCCCAATTTGCGGCTGGTTGAGAGCCCTGCGTTGTTTAACGTCGGTGGCCTCCTGGTTGCTTTAACGATAGAAGCCCACGGTCGTATCCTGTCCAACTTCTCCTCTTTTTTATTTTTATTTTTAATGATGCTACTCTCCTCTTTTCTTTTTATGATGCTATTTTTCTTTTACTTTTCCCTTCAACTAGCAAGTGGGGTGAAGATGACAATTAGAATTGCAGAGCAGGTGAGGTGAAGATGCATGAGCAGAGTACAAAACAATGGCGTTAATTATGTTAGGATTCCACATTTATTTTAGGATTCCACATTCAGAGAGTGAGCTCGAGCACATCATTGATTTTTGTGCACAGATCGATGGATCGATTGATTCTGTCGCCGACGACTCTGCCAATTCTGTCCAGGCTAATCAACTCAGCTCAAGTGCTTGCAATTTACTGTTGATGAGCATGTTCAATGGCGATTAATTAGTTCATCAGGCTGGTGATCGACGGGACGATCCAGGTCCCTCTCAATGGCCACACCGTCGTTCAGAACATCGGCCGTCAGGCTGCCGCTGCCGTCGCCGGCGGTGTCAGTGAGAAAGCCGGTAGTGCTCGGTGGTAGCGGCAACAGCGGGGCGGCTTCGGCTTGTTGTGCATACGCGGATGGCTGCCTGGATGGTGGTGGCCACGCTGTTCGCCGCCATGGCGCTCGAGGCGGCGCTGCAGCCGCCGGCGTGGATGCCGAGGCCGCGTGACTGGTTCGCGGCTCTGCTCGCTGTACCTGATCGTCAACACGTGCACTTTCGCCACGTCTCTGGCCGGGATCCTCATGGCTGATGCTGCTCGCCGTGGGCGATGGCGGCGGCGGCTGCGCGTCGAGGAGGGTCACGGCGAGGCTGATCACCAATTAACACGATGACGGCCGTCGCGCTGTTCGCCGCGGCGACGTTCGCGCTCTGCTCCGCCGACGACTACCGGCTCATGGCGTTCGTCGGCATCGTCGTCGCCGTGTACGCCGCCGTCACCGTTGTGTTCGTCAGGTGCAATCCTGCTCTGCCGTTTCCGGGAGGCGACGCCGGCCATGGTTGTAGCTGGGTTTCAAGATTGTAAACGCGTCTATGCAAAATTGGGTCATTGGCTTTGTATCCAAACCACGCAAGGACACATTGATTCTGCAAAATCACGATGAGACGAAACATAATAAGACCGGATATGATAATTTACTGGGACTGCGGGCCGGCCTGTGTTTAATTCAGCCACAGCCCATATTATTACACGCGTAATGCATAAGAGCAATGTTTTGTACCATATGGGAAATCTACATCGGTTTAGGCCAGTATAAAAGAGGACGCGATTGAGATGCTCCCGCCGAGCTCGGTGGTGCGAGCTTGTAATCCCAGCTGCAGGGGGCGGGAGTTGGCAGGTTTGGCCGTTGTTGGGGGATCGAGGTATATAGGAGATATTTCTCCCCCGGGTCTCGTGCCGGATGCTTGTTCTATATCCGACTTTGGCCCAGGAGGATTGTGGATGTTCATCCAAGCCCTACCCAATTGTGGTTAGGTTGCAACTAGTTTGTGAGTACTCTAGCGTTGTGTTCGGGTCGGCCCTTGCGCCGCCTAACAAAAACGTCTAGGTCACTCCCTTTCTACTCACGAGAGAAGCCACAACCCTATCCTGTCCAACTCCTCATTTTTTTTAAAAAAAACATGGTACATTCTTATTTTCACACCCTTTCCACTCACGAGATCATCCACGGATTTGATCACTACAATCGATCATGAGAGAAGCGACGGTCCTATCCTGTCCAACTCCTCTTTTCTTTTTAAATTCATGGTACATTCTTACTTTCGCACCCTTTCCACTCACGAGATCATCCACGGATTTGATCAATACAATCGATCCAAACTCTAAATGTGCCAAATGGGTTTAAAGCATTAAAACCTATGTCTTAGAGGATCAACCTAAATAAAGATTGGAAAGAAGTAGAGGACAGGTTTTAGAAAAAAAAAAGCTAAGTTGTTGGAAAAGCAAATTATTATCTGCAGGTAGTAATCCAACTCTTGTTAATTCAATGTTGAGGAGCGTACCAATATTTATGTTAACCTTTTTACGATCCTTTGGGGAATTTTTTTTTAAAAAAACCTGATTATAATGATTGGGTATTCTAAACTTGAATGAGCAAACTAGATGTTTGCTCCGCAAATGGTTATTCAGGTTAATAAATGAGGAAGGGGTGTGGCAAAATATTCTTTGAAACAAAGTTGATGGAAGAAAACTATTTCTTTAGTTGAAAAGAAATCAAGCGATTCTCACTTTTTGTTAGGTTTGATGGTCAAACATGAGTTTTGTGTCCAGGTTCTTTTCTGTTAAAAAATGGAACTCAAATTCGTTTACGAGACTATATGTGGCTTGGACGGAAAAAGCCTTAAAGAGCACTATCCAATGCTATAGGAAAAAGTCTGAATTACCCCTATGTACTATTGTATGAGTACGAATTACTCCCATAAACCACAAAATCAAACAACCTTCACCCTCAACTTTTCATACCGAACGAATTGCCCCCTTGACTCGCTCTAGAGCGGTTTTGGTCCTACGTGACACACACATGGCAGTTATGCTTCTTCCTCTCTTGGTCTCCTCTTCCTTGACTCATCTCGGTCGCTGTCGATCTCTACCCATCGCTCGCCACCTCACCGGCCCCAGCCCAAAGCTAAGCCCTAGCAGCTCGTCATCTTCGTCATCGCCGCTGAGACTTGCTGCACCTGAGGTTGGCGCTTGCTGGGAGGTGCCCATGGCAGTGGGGGAGCCGACGCTCGCGGACAGACCAGAGATGGCTTGGAGAGAGGTGGAGGTGGCCGACGGGTGCGCTTAGGTCATCACGGATGTGGAGGGGACCGCCTGGCGGCGGCCACTCATGGAGGCTGCCGAGGAGGCCCAACACAGGTGATGGTGGGGAAGAGGTACAGGCCTCGGCGCAAAGACGGAGGGCACAACTAGTGGCAGTGCGACAAGGAGTCATCCTCGCCCCACAAAGGGAGAGCAGATCTGACACACCCGTGAGCTGGTCGGCGATCTTCGCCACCTTGCGCTACAAGAGGAGCGTGTCACACTCACATCCCCCACGACCAACGCCATGGCCCGCCATTGAGGGTAGGAGGAGGCTGCTGCCTGCACCGTGTTGACGAGAGTGTGACGGGATTGGGATGGTGTCTATTTTTAATATCAACAATATAATTTATGGGGTGCACAGGACCAAGAAAAGTTGGTGGCATAGAAATTCCTAATCAAACACTTTAGGCTAAGGGAGTCAGAGGAAGCAGTAATAATCATAGTGATCTCTATCTCTGCCCCTTATTTTGTGCTCAACCAAAACATCAATGGTGATAATTTTCAGCTACCTGAATAATATTCTGACGCAGCTGCGGATCGAGGCAGCTCCCGGGTCTCTTGTTAATTTCACAACTCGCTAAACCTCACTAATTCTTTACTAGAGAGTCTCTTGTCTTAATTATTCTGCTGTTAGCAGTTTGGTGGCTGGGTATTAGTCAGCTACTCTGCTTCTCTAGACTTGCCAATTCTAGTGAACAACTTAGAATTGTAGAGCAGATGAACTCCTGCCGATTCTGTCCAGGTCGGTTAATCTCTCTCTTCTTAGACTTGTGTAGCTGGACGTTTAAGCCTCCTTAAGTTGTGTCTCTATTTTTTTAATCAAGGATCTGTTTGTACTCTGTTTTCCTTCTTAATTACTACTTCCGTTTTTTAATAGATGACGTCGTTGACTTTTTCTCACATGTTTGACCATTCGTTTTATTAAAAAAAAATTACATAATTATAATTTATTTTGTTATGAGTTGTTTTATCACTCATAGTACTTTAAGTGTGATTTATATCTTATACATTTGTATAAAATTTTTGAATAAGACGAATGGTCAAACATGTGAGAAAAAGTCAACGGCGTCATCTATTAAAAAATGGAGGGAGTAAATTCCGGCAGAGCTCCTGCCGTCGTCTTCCTCAAAAAAAAAATCTCTCTCTTCTTAGCTGCAAAATGCATGGAATTTACTGTTGATGAGTATATTTAACGGTGAGTAGCTCATTCACTAAATATAAGCTAATTATGTTTATTTATCAATCTGGACACGTAGAACATCCGGCTGGTGATTGACGTACATCAGTAAGACGTACATGACCGTCGTTCAGAACAACGGCCGCCGGGCTGCCGCAGCCGCCGCCGCCGCCGTCGCGGTCGCCGGCCGCAAGGACACGTCAGCCAGCCGGCGGTGTCAGTGAGAAAGCCGGTGAAGATGGTGGCGGCGGCGGCGGCGAGCAGTTGCTGCAACAACGACAGGACGTACGGCTTGTTGTGTGCATGCGCGGCTGGCTGATAGCGGTGTGGCCATGCTGTTCGCCGCCATGGCGTTCGAGGCAGCGCTGCGGGCCGGGCCTGCCTTTAAGCCATATCGGAGACGCAATTCGTATAGACAGAAACGAAGTTTTGTACCATACGGAAAATCTACAGCGGTTTAAACCCATATAAAAGAGGAGACGAACGAGTTGCTCCCGCCGAGCTCGGTGGCGCGAGCTTGTCACCCCAGCCGTGGGGGGTAGGAGTTGGCAGTGTTTGGCCGTTGTTGTGGGGATCGAGGGTATAGGAGATATCTCTCTCCCCGGGGGATGCTATCATGATGTTACATCCGGTCTCAATTGAGTTGAGTTGCCACTGGTTGAGGTCCCTACGTTCTAGGCTGGATAGCCCTCGTGTCGTTAGATTACAATGTCTAGGTGACTTCTCAATTGAGTTACCGTTCTAGGCTGGACGGCCCTCGTGCCGTTAGATTATGATGTCTAGGTGACTTCTCAATTGAGTTACGTTCTAGGCTGGACGGCCCTCGTGCCGTTAGATTATGATGTCTAGGTGACTTCCCGCTCACGAGAGAAGCCCTACTGTCTATGCTGCTAACTCCTCTTTTTTTTTTTAAAGCACAAATGCTTATTAACTGTTTTTTTAAGCACAAATGCCATTTTGACGGCCCTCGTGCCCTATGCTGCCAACTCCTCTTTTTTTTAAAGCACAAATGCTTATTAACTGTTTTTTTAAGCACA